AGCATTGTGGCTGAGGGTTAGAGGTTATAGTGGTTAATAGCGAAAAAGCGGAAAAGCAAAGTTGCGAATAGATGCAGAGATGATGGATTGAGAACTTTTTCTTTTTTCAAGTTTATGATGTTGGTAAGGATAGTGGTATAGAGCTAATACCAAAGTTGTGGTGTTGGGAGAGAAAGAGAAGCTTGGAGGGCATATATGCAGCTCATTTACAAGAATCTTGAGCGAGAATGCGAATGGCCAAGATTCTCTTTCCTTGTCTTGTGTAAGCAACACACAATATATGGTCACATGCTGCTCCTCTTTCGTGCAGTTCTTCTTACTACTCAGTTCAGCCGAGAGATATTATCTTTCTTCTCTTCTCTCTTTTCCCTGAGGACAGGACAGAACAACCTTTCCGAACTAGGGTGGATCGGGCAAGGATTCCGAAAATGGGCGCGATCCAATTGAGGTTTGACGGGGCTAGGAATCTGAAACGCGCTAGGGGTAGGCGTTTTTGATGCTTGAGCTAATGGGGATGGCGATGGATGAAAGTTGATTTGCCATCAGCCAACGAGCGTATTGTTGAAGGTGCATGCGGGATCTGGGCTGGCGCGTATGTACGGGTGAGAAAAAAAGTGTGTAAGAGTTAATAGTTTGAATAGCGTACGAATTGTTTGTTTTCTGCGCCGGGTGATTGGCTTTGTTATTCATCCCATCAGCTCACCTGTTTCAAGCCCGTCTTCTTACAGTAACAGCGCGTGGTACGTTATGACGCCAGTTCAGCAGACCCTGGCCACTGACAGCGTCTATCACCATTTCCTTTCTTTCGCCTCTTCATCCTGCCAAGCCTGTCCTGGACTCTTATAAGCGCTGTCAGAATTTAAAAAGCGGAGGCCGCTTGATGGACAATGCTGCTGGATAGGAACTTTTGGATTTGTACCTTGATTATTTTCTTTCTCAATGCCCTGTGTGACGCACTTGTAACCATTTTGATGGCCCGTGAATCGGGAACTTGGAACACCGGTTGGAGGTGAGGGCTTATTGTAAGGCAATGTGATACAGCGGGTGCAACTCTCAATAGAATGGGCATTCATGCATCATTATACACCTATGTAGGTATGTTTCTTACATCTGACACGTACGTATTGCCCTACTGCGCTGTCCCGTCAGCCTGTTTCATTCCACGCCGGTCGGACGACTCTTGTTTGAGAAACGGCCTGGTGGCTTGATGGGCTCGCATTCCGCTGCCTGCCGCGTTGGGAAGCTCTTCTCTCTATGCAATACCGCTAGCCGTACATACCTGTACCTTGACGCTCCCTATTTCTCTCTATTTCATCCTTTCTGCTCGTCTCATTGGCCGGGGATCGTCAGAGACAATGACATCAAGTCCCCGCAGGCTAGGCACAAAGCCATCCAGGGACCCTGTCAGTCAGCCACTCAGAGCGACCGGACGTCCGAAGAGGCAGAAACGAGAAGCCCAACTGCAGAGTATCGGCGCTGTGTGTGTTTGACCAGCCGCCTGCAGGGACGGAAGCTTTTTTAGTCTAGTTTTCTTTTCTTCTTCTTTGTGCTCTTTTGGATTTGATGGACAAAGGAACAATTCCGATGCTAGGCTCCATGTACTTTATCAGCTGCCCCCTGCATGCAGCCGTCCCACTGACAGCCGCTCACTAAACGTCAAGCACCTGCTCAGACAAGTATTCTCGTGCGGCGCTGGCATTTTCTCCTTCCACCATCTCCCTTATAAACCTCGTTTTCTTTCTTTTCATTGGCGTTGACGCCAATCATTGCCGCATCTTCTTCTCCCTTCCGTCACATTCTGAGCCCTTGTGTTTCTGCCTTCTCGCTTCTCATTCCGCTTCGGGTGGCACTGGGCGGGATCGTCGTGACCCTGGAGAAGCCGTGATAGGGAGCATCAAGAACCAAAAAGTCACACCCAACCCCGGAACTTTGTCCTTTGCCTTCTCTTCTTTCTCACCCCATGATGATCGGCGGTGTTTGCTAGGGGGGAGCTGGCTCATCCTTTCTCTTCTTCTTCTACTTCTTCCCTCGTGCTTTAATGCCCGCGTGTGGGGTGCAAAGTTTATTACAAAAAGACCAAGAGATCGCCGGCTTGTGATTACAGCAGGAAAAGGATCAGCAGTAGGGGGAATTGTTTTGGCCGGTTTTGCCTCTTTCTTTGCATATAAACATTCAACTGCTTCGCATCTGCCTCTTCTCCCCTTTTGTTCTTTTTGGTTTTCTTCTTCTTATGCCAAGCATCTTGAACCGTCTGCATACATTCCTTTGCTGGATGAAAACCGTGTAGGAGGCATCGATCACTCTTTTCTTCATCTCTCCCTTCTTTCGCTCCCTCTCTTGAATCTTCTTTTCTCTTCATTTATTTCATGTTGATGTATCCGCCGCTCTTCTTTTTTTATATGGGATACTTCATTGAACCATCGTCACCATGGTTCCTCCGCTGGATCTCTCCTTGACCCAACCAAAAGTCATGATTGCGCCTCCAAGGCTCAACCTCCGACGCAATGCTTCATATAACAACTCTGACAAGGCTCCTCTTTCCTCGACTTCGGCTCGATTCAGCTTCAACCACCTTCTCTTTTCACCTCCTCCTTCGCCCAGCCTCCCCGTGTTAGTGCCACGGCCGAGGAAGAATTCGCACACAAAAGCCCTGATCGCTCGACCAAGCCGAGTCTTGCGGTATATGCTATATTTTATTACACTCTCAACGACGTTTTTCCTTGCCCGTCTTGCTTTCCGACATAAAGAGTCCATCATAGCGAAATGGCCTCATTTTACAATCGACGACTTCGAAATGATTGGCCAGGATGCCATCCCGGATTTCCCAACTCCCATAGTTGTCAGCCACAGCCACTCTCAATCCAAATGGACCGTCTCTATTCCACACCATCATGACTTCCCTCTAAGCGTTGAGGAGTACGCCGGAATGGGAAGCAAATGCCGAGAGGTCTCGGCTCACACAAGAGAGCTCCGAGGCAAATCTCCCCTGTCTGATGAAGATAAATTGAACTATGACGCTGTGGATGAGTACTTTGTTGACGTATACGAGGCGGAGCTGGATGGGCTTCTACCTCCAGTTGCCCACGGGAACAAGGCCCAAAAGACTGGCCACTTTGTGGGCGTGGACTGGGAATCCATGGCTGGACTGCCTGTTTGCCAGTCCTCAGTCACCTACTTGCTAGAAAGCTCAGATGCTGGGTTGGGAACTGCAGTCATGGGCATGTGGATGCTTTACGGCCTGGCTAAGCAAGACGGCCGGGCCTTTTTCGTCGACGACTCTCGTTGGGCCTATGGCAAATACACCGACATATTCCAAGCACCGCCAGTGCCTGATTGTCGACCACCTCCCCGACATCGGATGCTTCCTTGTCCGGCACAAGCGAGACATCTTGTTGTCACTGGCACAACGCTCAAGGACATTTTCCCGGCTTTGATGGCTAAATATCATCGGGCAGCTGGGACTGATAATAACTTGCGAGATCTGATGGAACTTGCAAGAACCGGCTACCAGGCCCTCTTTAGGCTCAACAGCGACGATCAAGAGTACGCTCGCAAACGCATAGAGGACCTGAGAAAGCAGGCCATGGCAAAGGATATGGCCACTCCACACATGCCTATCGTTGGGTTACACGTTCGACGTGGCGATTCGCACCCTATCGAATACCAGTATCGCAATACCTATGTGCCATCCGAAGTTTTCCTCGGCAAGGCTCAGGAATTGGTAGACGCGTATTACGACTCTGTCAAGGGCTGGCCAACGTCCACGAACCAATCCATCACCCTTATTGCCTCGGACGACCCTGATGTCTATAAGCAGCCCGAGTACGCTGACGCTTTATACGCTCAGGCGCGCATCCGCTTGTCGTCCAAGGAAGCCACCAAGCGAGAAGACGTCAACCCACACGTACTTCACCGTTTCAAGGATGAAACCTTGGGATGGGAAGGCGGTTTTTTTGCCCCCATGTTTTGGAATCTCGGCTTTGACCGGAAGCACAACGGCCATGCCAATGGAGCGTCTGTGGGGCGGATAGAACCGCCTTCTGAACAGACGATTCAACTGCGCAGCTACATGGGCAGAGCGTATATGCTGGACCTGGCAGTTTTGGCGGGGGCAAGTGATAGGATAGTATGCACCGTCAGCTCGATGGGCTGCAAGATGCTGGGCGTGATGATGGGATGGGAGCATGGCATTGAAGCTGGCGGTTGGACCAATGTCGATGGCAATTATCCATGGGCTTGGATGAACTAAACCGGCCTGTGGCTGGCTATCTCTTTTCTGCACGAGAGAAAAAGAAAAGAAAATAGACAGATAAAATAAGAGGTGGCACTGATATGTTTGCCTCGGGACTTGGATAGGGGGTGGTTGGGCATTTATATGGCGTTTAACGGTTACGATATGATGAAGCGGACATTAGCTACTCTCTTTTATATTATACCATTCATTTGATGCTCTGCGGAGTATATTTCATTGCAACAATACAAAAAGCATCAGCCCCACCAGTAATTGTGTGAATTTTTGATGTGAATTGAATCTCATCTGTCCCTCGCATTAGTTGATCTAAAACAGAGTACTTTCACCAAGTGAGAGGCTCACTTTACTTGAAGCCACCAATGTATGAGACGTCTATAAGACTTCAAATATATAAGTATTAATAAATTAGGATTTTTTTCAATTTATATCTTTGTCAACATGAGCTTGTTATGTGACAACCTTTTGCAGTTGAAAGACATTCTATCTATAGTGCAGTTGCCGCTGTTGAATAGCGCGCTAAATGCCCCACATTTCTGCGAGGCTACTGCCTGAGCGCGGCTGCTTCCGCGATAGTTCTGGCAATTGAACCTTTTGTTCTAACTCTGTTCTCACTTTGTCATCAATCCAGCGTCCACGATTCTCCCTTTCGCCTACACTTCGCCATCGCCCATCGCTGCACAAGACATCGACATCGACATCGACATCGACCCTATCTCCTTTGCGAAGCTACACATTCCAGTCCACAATCATGTCGGCGCCTAGCCCCGGGCGCGATGGCTTCTCCACGCCTGCACCGCCCCCAAAGCCGCGGCTCAAGCTCAACGTGAGCCGTACTTCCTCCTTCATCAACGAGGTCGGAGCGGCAAATGGAGCGACGCCTTCATCTGCAACCGCGCCGTTGGTCACTCCTGGCGAAGGCCCGCGCAAGCTGAAGCTCAAAATCAGCTCCTCACAGCCACCGACACCAGCCGGAGGACCAACTGGACCAGCAATCAAAGACGGAATACTCAAGAGCGCGAGCAAGGAAAAAGAAGTCAAGAAGGATAAAGCAAAGGATGATGGATTGCCACCGGTGATAACGACAAAAGCGGGCCGACAGGCGAAACCGAGTCAGAAGCTCATCGAAAGCAAGAAGCGCTCGCTTAGCGACGACGAAGACGAGGCGCCGCTGCGTGGATCGACGACTGGGACGGGTCACGGTCCGCCGGCTGCAACAAAAATCAAGATCAGGCCTATTGTCAAGGTCGGAGCTGGTGGAGGTGGCGCAACAAAGGTCAGGGCGGGATCCAAGGCTGGGCTTACTCAATTGGTGCTCAAGCCTCGTGGCCGTCCGCCTGTACACCCTCCTGGAGATGGTTATGATTCCGAAGCCAGCGACAACGAGGTTGATCCGGCCATTGAAGAGCAGTTTGTCCTGCGCATGATGCCCGGAGAGCATGCTGATTATGTTCGCTGGTGCTTGGAAAATGGCAAGATTGGACTGCCCAAGTCGGCGGGAGGGGCTGATATTCACATCAAATTCTTTGAAGAAGACACTCGACGTGGCTTTATCATGGTCAAAGGCCAGTGCTATGCGACTGTCATGGTTGACCTGCCTACCATCACAGAATCGATGAAGACGTGGGATCGCAAGTCATTGATGAAGTCGGCGGACATCTGCCAGATGTTGCTTGTTTATCAAGCCGTTAAGAGCGAGGAGGAAGCAAGGCATGCGCCTCTGCCAAGTATCATCGACTCCAGCTTTAAATGGCCGCACGGCCTGACGCCGCCAATGCACGACTGCGTGAATCGACGATTTGCCAAGACTATCAGCCGGAAAGAAATCGAGGACAAAGAAGCAGAAGTCGAACGGCTACTTGCAGAGGATGCTAAGTGTGCCTCCACGAAATGGGAGTGGATTGATGAGCGGGACGGCGCCGAGGAAGATGGAGAAGAAGATGCTGAGGGCGAGATGGACGACACCTTGGGCTACTTTGACCAGTCGCATGTGTCAATGGCCCTTGAAGAGGACAACGACTTTGATCTTGAAGCTGACCTAGAGGCAGCGTTTGCTGATGAACTATTCGCTGAGACTCCTGCTACTGCCATGGATACTCAGACACCTGCTGCGCTTGGTACTCCTGCTACGACGGCGGCCCTTCAGCAGAGCATTGAGGCCAGCGAATCTGATGAGGACGACGATGATGACGATGACGATGACGATGACGACGATCTTGATGAAGATGCTCGCGCCCAACGTGACGAAGAACAGGGCGTCAAAGAGATGATCAACGACCTCAAAAAGCAGCTCGCCGCTCGTGTGGCCGACTTTGAAAGAACGCAGAACAAGATTCTCAGAACCCGTCTGGAGAACCAGATTAAGCAGCTCAAGTCTGAAATCGAGCTTAAACAATCTTCTATTGGCATTGAAGCGGATGATTAAAGGGCTGTTTATTCCTCCACTGGAACAAATACTTTATTCTTCATTACTGTCCGTGGTTGACACATCGGTTCAGAGTGCTGATGACTCGTCGTCTTTCGCCCAATTTTTTACAGACGAGGAGAGTTTTTTTTATTATCTTTTATTATGTTTATAATTATTTTTTTTGTTTTGCCATACCTCTGGCATGGAGTTCTGGAACTTGTGGAAAAAGGGAGGGCAACAATTCATGGTGGGCGAACGGCGGACGGCGTAGGCGTTGGTGTGTTATTCGTTTCATTGCCTAAAGACTTCTTTTTTCTCTCAGTGCGGAGATACTATGAACACAGAGAGGGGGGCAATTATGACTTGGTCTAGCTTCTAGATTATGCTGTTTTTTTTTTTTTTTTTTTGGAGGCTTGGTGCCTATCAGCGATTTAAATAAAGAAACGAGTTCAATACATAAGGGCAAGTATTCCTATCTCGTCTAGAGACAAAGGAATAAGTTCTCGTGCTGTATACAATGTGAGGTGGAAGGTGTAAAATGTGAGTAAGACGAGCTTGATATATTGCGTTGTACAATCAACTACCAGCATGATAATTCTGGATTTTTATTAATCGTTGGATACACTTTTTAAATGAGATCGTTGGAGTTGAGCCGTGAAGACTATAACAGATCTGTTTCGCTTTTTTTTTTACTTTTACCTTGGGTTACTTCAGAGATTCTTGCTATTCGCCTCCTTCTACATGAGCCTCCAGTACCTTGATCGTTTAAAATAAAATAACGCCTCTCCATATACCATCATCATGAACAATTTCACAACGCTATATTTCCTCTTTCCCCCAAGATCTATACCGTCTCGTACGCTTTGAGCCCATATCCACACGTATATGTTACAACGTCATCAATAACAGCCTTTAGCCTTCACTTATCAAGAGCCTTGACCGTCTGAACTCTACTTTCGACCAATACATCTTTTACCGTATCAAGAACGTCCTTCCACACCAACATCTGGCAAAACTGCTCAAGACTTTTCGGTCGGGTTTTGGATCTGGGCCGGCCGCTATGATAGACGTGCCGCTGGATGGCCTTCTGTATGTACACTGCCATCTGGGGATCGCGTTTTGACTGTTGCTTGAGATAGCTGGCAATAAAAGCGGCGTCTCTAAGCTGTGTGCTTTTGTGATCGCGGTTCCAACGGCGGGTTGAGCTGATGGCGTCTTCGATACGCTGCTTGATGGTATTGGCTGCTGCTTCTGTAATACACTCGTAAGCATCTTCTGGTGCAGTAGACAAGAAAATAGGAAAGCCTACTTGGTACAGAACGTGGTTTCTCGGTATCTGGTTTTGCTCGTATCTTGCCCTTCAATGCAGAGCGCGTCACCCGAGTGTGACTTATCAAAGCCTCTGCTTCTGCCACTGTTGGAAGCTTGTCCAGCGTACTTGAGATATCGCCAACCCGACCCTTCAAATCACTCATTTCCTTTTTCATTTCCTTCTTCAACTCCCCAATGATCTCATGCATATTCTTTTTACACTGCTCTGGATCATTGTTGCTTTTGCTGTTCCATTCCGGCCCCTGAATTTCCTCCATGCGCTGCTTCACCGCTCGAATCTCCTGCACCAAGCTCTGCACCCTCGCATCGTGAGTGTTCCGAAAGTCCTTGTCCTCCTTTGTGCGCAGCATGAGGACGCTCAGATTCTTTTCCAGCCGCGCTGTCTGGGTGGCCATTGCGCGGACGTTGAGCTCAATGGTCATCCGGGCCAGGGCATCTGCGTTGCGGAGGAGTTTGGAATTGGGTCTTGCGGTGATGATGGAGCCATTCAAGGGTATGGGCGAGATGGAGGGAGAGGGGATGATGGCGGCGGTTAGAGATTTGCTGTTATAGTGGCTATTGTCGGATCCAGAGGGCGATTCCTTTGGAGAAGCCCTTGCTGGGACCGATCGACCTCTGGCCATGTCGAATCTGTTGACGGTAAGAAGCAGTAGAGCTGCCTGCTCGACTCAATGATCAAGAAGAAATGAGCGTGATGAGTTGAAAGACAAGAACCAGAGAGAATATGCAACTGTAGGGGGCCTTAGGCGGCGATCTCCATACAAGCTCCTTCCTGTGCTTGAAGTGCTGAAGTTGGGAAGGCACCAGTAAGCTTCCTTCCTCTTGTGATGCCACCAAGGACCGTGCTGTTTTTTAGTCATGGAATTATCTTATCAGAATGGCATTGTAACAATATGTCAATAATCACTAATTATAAATATTTGTAGGCTAGTAAATACGGTATCGGTAATTAGTACATGATCAACTCTCCATCTTCATAACTGCCACAGCTGCCACTACATCGTTCCGTTTTATACAATATCCACACCAACCCGATATACCGATCTTCGTATATCAAACAACAACAAATCCATCACTTGGCCTCTCGCTTGCCCGCAATCCACTCCAGAAACATGTCCACGTCCTTTGCAATCTGCCCCGGCACCGCCATCTTCTGGATCCACGCCGGCAGCACGCCCCTCGCATCAGACACCGTCCCCATGACCCATTCCACGTTGCCCTGGCCGTCAATCTCCCGGAAGCGCTCAATGGCCGTGTACGTGCCTCGCAGCGCGCCATCAGGCCTAGACTCCTCCGCGCCGGCACTTTCTGGCACCGCCGCAATCTGCACCACGACAAACTCTCGCCGCCCTCGCACGGCCGCCGTGACCTGCAGCACGGGGAACACGCGGTTGTTGAGCGGCGCAGGCATCTTGTGCACCGACTCCTCCAGCTTCAGCGTCAAGTCTTGGTACGTGTCGCCTCCCACCGTAACCTCGACGCCAGCGCAGTCCCACTGCCTCTTGAGCGTGTGGCTCATCACCGTCGGCGTAAACTTCATCTCGGCATCCGCATGGCCCTCCTTGAAGCACCGCACCCACTCCTCCCAGTCTGCGGTGCCGGCCTTTTTCGCCTCCTCGTGAACGCTGCGCCTGAGACTCCATGTTTCCGGCTTGATCTTCGAGCCGCTGCCGCTTGCCTGGGGCAGGTTCTGGTCCTTGGCTATCGTCTTTAGTTCTTCGGCTGAGACGACCCGCTCAAACATGTGTACCGGCGCTGCTGAGTGGTGAAATGCCCTGCATCCCTTTGCCTTCCAGGGCCCATTGCTGCTTGTAGTATTCCCATTGTTCTGGCTGGATCTGCCTCCTGATGATAGTGACGATGATTCGGATGAGTGCGGCGGCACTGAGCTGACAAATGAAAGTGCCTCGGTCAATATTGATTGAAGCAACGGTGTGAGATCTTGAGCTGAAGTGGTTTCTGAAGGCAGTTGTGATGGCCGGATGCCCCAGAGCCGAACATAGGGGCCGTGCTGATCAGCCATTTCGCCAACGGGTATCGTGAACAACGCAACAGCTCAAAGAAGCAAACGGGTTCGGTATTACAGATGAGTGACAGAAGAAAGAAGGCACAAAAAGACACGATACACCAAAAGAAGCAAAATAAATAAACAGAAAAGAAAAAGAAAAGAAAAGATGAGGCTGAGGCTGATGGGCGCAAAGGAGCGCTGTACGTGATAGGCAGGCCGACTTAAAAGATGACACTGAGGCGTCCCAGCAAGCTAAAAGCTACCACCAGGGGGGCTCACTGTTGTATTTTGAGTGTGGCTGTACCTGTTCCTGCTTCACTCCATAATGACAGATAATAATCAGTAGTAATGGCGTGAGAGCAGAGAACTTTAAAAAAGAAGAGGACGAAGAGGGAAAAAAAGCATGTGAGTGACCCGTGCCCCCAAAATACCCATGCCACTTATAAGCGAAAGTGGCCTATTTTGGCTGCCATAAGGTGCATACATACGCATTAATACGCCAGTACCGAGATCTGGGATGTGGTCTAGACCGGATAGGACGGCTTCCCCCCCGTTGCAGGTTAAACGTCTCACGTTTTGGGGCCTCGCAAAAGAATTATTGGGGAATTTTCTAGACTTGGGCGGGCGCTTTGAAATAATCCTACCGATTCGGGTCAACTGTTGGATTGAAAATAATTGATGTGGGCGTTTATTTACGCGTGTTAGTGGTGTGTTTGGAACTCGAGTTTTGACGTGTATGATGTCACAAAAGGAATTAACGTTTGTAGCAAAGCTTCTTCATGGATGCATTTTTACTCAATTATTTTCCTTTAGATATATGATATCTTCTTTCTTCTAGCTCTATTCAAAAGCTCTATTGGCATAATTAGGTGATAGTAGTGTATGACAGCCATGATGTAGCCATTACCATCATGTGTCGTATTGTTTTCCCCCCATTCCATTCCAAATAATAATAGTAATAATAACAACGATAATAGAAAAAACTCCGACGTGTGGTGTTCATGTACAGTAAAGCATTTTCCCTTTCAAATCAGATCCTGATTAGGGGTATGTTTGCCCTCGCTTTTGCCTCAAAAGCATTTCTCATAACGATATTTCCAATATCCTAGTCTCTTCGCTCCCACCGAATCTCGGCAGGTTCCAGCGGTCGAGAGAACAGAGAGGCGTAGTCAGTGCCAACGATCTTGTCGCTGCCGTCCACGTTGCTCAGCTTGAACAAGCGAACAGTCTCGACAATGATGGTCTGTAGTTGCAGGTTGGCAAACTGCTCACCAATGCATCGGTGACGACCGGCACCAAAGGGAAGATAAGGTGAAGCGGCACCCTTGCTGACAATACCGTAGCCGTAGTCGATCTTCTCTTCTTCCTCTTCGTTTCGGGCAGCGATAAGGGGAGCGTTGGCAGAGCCAGGCAGCCAGCGGTAGGGATCCCACTCGAAGGGGTTGGGGAAATAGCTGGGGTCGGAGCCACTGACACCGGGAGCCGCGAGAAGAGTGTGCGTGGTGGGGATAACATATTTGGTACCAGGAACGGGCATGGGCTGCTTGACGGCGCGCATGATGGAGTGGATGGGGGCATGAAGACGCAGAGTTTCCTTGACAATGGCCTGGTTCAGAGGGAGCTTGGCCAGATCGTCGTACTGCAGGGGAGGCAAGTCGGCACCCAGGGCGTTGATTTGTTCCTGGTACAGATCCTCAACGACCTTGGGGTTCTGGGCAAGGCGGAGCATGATCCAAGAGCTGGTGGATGACGAGGAGTGCTGGCCAGCCATGAGCAGAGCAATCATCATGTGGGCGATCTCGTGGTCGGGGACGGCGGTGCCGTTCTTGTACACAGATGTCATGAGATGCTTCATAATGTCGAGTTCAGTGTCTGCATCGCCGAGGGCCTTTCGCTCCTTGATAGTATCCATGTAGATCTTGGCAATGGTGCGCTGAGCGTGGTCACGCTTGCGGTTCCAGGGAAGAGGGGCCCAGTGCAGCACAAAGTTGATGGAGGTGAAGCCCATGTCGAGGTCGTGGTACAGGTCGGCCAGAGACTCGTCGAACTTGTTGCGAATGAGTCTGCCCTGAAGAGCGTGGGAAGCAGTGAAGATTGTAATCTCGGCCATCTTCTTGGGAATATCAACGGTTCCAGACTTGCCCTTGAAGGCAGCGGTGCGCTTGAAGTAGGAGGTAACCTCGTGAGAGATGATGGGAACGTAGGATCGGAACGCTTCGGTGGTAAGAGCAATTTTCATGAACTAGAGATGCTCGTTAGTGATCAGTTCGCAAACAAATCATGCAGACCGCATTAGGGGAGCACAAATCTCACCTTCTTCTGCTCCATAAGCTTGGCGTTGGGGCAGTCGTAGACGACATCGCGTCCGAAGACGGGGGTGGTCAAGACAGTGTAGATATCCTCAGCGTTGACATCCTTGAGCTTTCCGTTGAGGATAAAGTCGTTTCCAGTAGGGCCAACAGCCACGGTGGTCTTCTTGCCGAGGAGAACAAAGGTGAAAACATCGCCATACTGTCAATCAAACGTTAGCCACCGCTGTTAAGACGCCATGGCATATGCCGGATCGGATATCAGATTTGCCCACCTTTTCGCGATTGTCGCGGAAGAACTTGGGAGGGTCCATGCCGTATATCACGGTGCTGCCAATGAAGGGGAACCAGTGGAAGACAAGCGGCGGGTCGGTAGGGTTCCTGAAGAGGAGCTGCTGCATGACGTTGACGAAGACGGAGAGCGCGACAAAGCCCACGACGCCAATGGCGATCTGGGCGCCAATGCTTTGCTGAAAGTACAGCTGGGCCAAGGGATGGCCAGCGGCATCTTGGATGATGCCCATCGTTGCGAATTGGTGGCCCTCTCGCCCGCAATAGGTTGATTAGGAGTAGAAGTCGAGATGGGGAGCCCAAAGGCAGTAAAGACGGGCTTATAGCAAGGAGGGGAGGGGGGGTTGAAAGAGAGAAAGTGTCTGGCTGGTCCCGCGTCCTTTTTATCGACAGGATGCAATGCAACAAGCCACAAAGGAAAGAAGGCAGGAAAGGAGAGAGACAACAACGGCGCCACCAGTGGTTCGATAAGTCAGCCCAAGATGAGCTCTAATCAGTGCCTTTTGGCTCCAATCGCGGCGGGCTAATTTGACATTTGCAGCCAGATTCGCATTAATTTTTTTTTTTTTTTGCTTGACTGCTGCCCAGGGGTATGCAGATCCACCCCGATGTGCCTGGCCCCACGACAAAGTGTGGGAGATAAGCCAATGGCCGCACAGGTTATTGCAGCCAGACCGCCTTAAAGAGGGGCGTCGTATTCGGAGCTGCGATTTTTTGAACAGCGGAGGCAAGGCAGGGTGGCCACAAAGGGCTAGCTGTCGACGCCTCTTTGCTGTCACTCAGCGCAGAATTGCGATCGAATGCGAATACGTCTCCATCAAAGAGGGACAACACCGCCATCAGCATGGTAGCATTACAGAGGTGGCTTTTGATATGCTTTGATACGTGCAGGAGAAGTCTCCGTTTGGGTCACTGCCAATTTAATGCTTGAAGAGTACCTACGAGAAAGAGAAAGTGAAGAAATGATGGAGACGAAGTGGTCTGATGCCACCTTGGAAACCTCCACTGCATCGAACAATATGCAAATCCAGCATGGCCAGTATCACAGACCCAGTTGCGAGATGCATTAGCAGATGCCCTACGCTGTATGTATCAACTGTCAAGGTAGTAGTTGGAAATAACCAGGCAAGGGAGCATCGTCCAGTAGGATAAAAACGAGTAGTATCTGCCAAGGCCCGAATTCATTGCAATTAATAGTGAGTGCCCAAATAGAGACCCAGCTCCAGCTAAATCTAAATTATCATCTGCTACATAGATCCAGATAGATACACTGACTACCTAGATGCATATCTGCGCAAATGACAACAAATAATGGAAAAAAAAAGATGAAGATGGGAAAGACGAAAGGGGGGAGGAGACAGGTAAAAAGGAAAAAGGAAATCCATCAAAACAAAACATGGCAAAGCAACGCTCCCAACCTATCATTCCGTCCGCAATCTGTGAAACGTAGTAACTCATGCCCAGGCCCCCTTTGTCAAACGCCCGTACCCTATCCGCCGTCCTGTGTGTGAAAAGCCAACTGCTGAACAATAAACTATCGTGTATGTGGTATCTGTATGCTTGACTGACATGTGTCCCAAATTTCCGAGGTATCTTTGAATCTCTCAGAGTCGTTATCAAATAGCAAAAAAAAAACTACAAAGTGGCCGTCTCGAAGGTCCATTTTACGCTTGGGCGACAATGCTTCTTCCGACGTCGCCCCATCTGAACCGTCTTAAACCGCCGCCAGATGAGCGAAGAACGTCACGGCCGGAAGATGCAGTATCGTTGACGCTGTTGACACTTGCAGCCAGGCCTTCCTGGCGGCCTACTTCGCGCCCAATAACGTACCCGGCTCCAAAGCCAACTACGGATACGAGCACGACGACACCAGCACTGACGACCCAAGTGAGAAGGGTCGGGGAAATAAACGTCTCCTCGGTAACAGCAGTAACAGTCGCCGTCCTCTTCTTCTTCGTCGCCCGAGGGTTTCGGCCAGTTGATACTGTCCGCTTGGCTCTGTCGGATGACGATTGAGTCTGCGAGCTTGACCTAGCAGGGGAGGACTGTCCATGTTTGTTGACTGGGGTGGCCGCCGCCCGAGGCTTCTCAGACTCTTCCTCCAGCTCCTTTTCTGGAACGAACCGCAGCTCCATAGGCTGGCTACTGGGTCCAACTCCGGTTTGTGCTGCCCGCTGCGCCTCCGTTTCATCCTTACTCTTGGGCAGGCCTCTAGCTGCTGCAGCACACGACAGGAGAGTGGTCAAAGACGCACGGAGGGCTTCGTCGTTGTCTTCCCGGACCGATGGCGACATGAAGCTGGGGCCACGCTGCACTCTCGTATTCGAGCGCTGAGAGAAGGACGGACGGGTAAACTCCCTATGAGGATGCGGAGACATGGTCGCATTGGACGAGTAGCTTCGCTGGTGTGACGGAGGATGCGAGAATGCATTTGGCTGTGGCCGGAAGACGGGCTGGTGTGCTTGTCCTAACGCCGTGTCTGCGTCTCCGTCCGACTCGCCGTCAGAGTCCTCCATATTCTCCTCCGGCGACGGCTGTATATTTTCTGCCGAGCTGGAGAGGACGTGATCTTCCTCGCTGTCGCTTTCATCGTATTCATCCTGGCTGCCGGTCCCCGTAACGGGGATGGTTGTCTGTACACGCGGTACCGATCTCGCGGGTGCCTGCTGTCGTCGGCGACGGTTGTCACGGCTGTCAGAGCCCCTAACGCGCAGCCCCGTTGTCACGATTTCATCGCCGATGCTGGAGAGCGACGAGGACGATGGCTGAGAAGCGACTTCGATCCAGGACTCGGTATTTTCTACTGCTATTAGCGGAGGTGGACGACGGCGGTCGAAGCATGTCACTGGCGAAGACGAACCGTTGTAGCGGCGCTGGTGAGCATTCGAGTTCGCGAGCACGTTTGGCATGCTGACGGATCGCTGCGAGCCGGGGCCCGCCTGCTCATCAACGCGAAGCTGCTGGGCCATGATTCTTTTTTATATTTTTTTTTTATGTTGTTTGGTAAGTTAAACACGGAGTTACGAGCCGCAAGTCCCCCAGAAACGCTGGCGACGATTGGCGATAGATGCTATTCCCTGTAAGCCCGCAACTCCCTATCGGTGACCGTGACGGCAACGCCCCACCCGATCGCAAATCGGTCTCCCAAAGCAGGTCGCGCGCTCAAGCTCTCTCGGTCGCGACGCTGCAGCAGAATATATATCGGTTGGGCGGAAATCGGGTAGATGAGGGGGATGAAAGATGAGGCAAGCCCTCGTCAGGATGGACAAAGGGAAAGAAGAAGAAAGGAGAGGCAGCGAGGCAGAGAGCCGGAGATAGAGCACAGCAGCCGTTCTGTTGAGAGACGCTAGAGTCAAGACAGGCCAGCCTGCTGCATGACGATAAAAGGGCATGGAAAGGGTAAAGTCAGCAGCGCCTTAGCACCGGGTGCTTGTCAGTCAGTTGCTTGTGCTCGCCGTACTAGTACCGCTCCTGGTACTGCTACTTTCGTCACCTTGTCAGGCCGGCAGGGACAGTGCGTGGACCCCGTCACGCGCGCTGGGCCAATTGCGTCAACTGCCGCAGAATCTGGGGAACGAGACTTGCTGGGAGCGGCGACGTGCACAGTATGGAGGCATTTGCAGGGGCAGCCAAAGCCGGGTGAGACACCGCTGGCTAAATGTAGGCGAGCCGTTCAGTAGCAGTACAATTTGAGCACTTGCTTTCTTTCTTCCTCTTTCTTTCTCTATTCCTTATCATTTAGCGGAGCTGCCTCTTTGTATGTTTTGCAGCACAGCAACATGAGAAGCGCCGCAGGGTCCAAGTTGAACGACCAGGGGCCTTGGACACGCAAAACCCACGAGGTAATGTACGCCGCCGATACAAGCGATGAAGCGGAATTGCCCAACACAGACTCTGCTTGGATAGACTATCGAAGGGGCAAAAAACGGCAGACTACATGCATTTTATGTAAGTCGGCCCAATTATTTAAAGTAAACAACTGCGCAAGATTCCCTTGCAGCGAGTATTCGCCCATGAGGCCACAAACATTCGATGATCAATGACTCGGCAAATCCCCAACGCTTTGAAACCACCTGCGTGTGATGCTTACTCGTTGCCAGCAGAACATTACGAGTAATAGAGACATTCCAGCACAGTGCATCAACACCAAACGAGCATCACTCAGCGGGCGGTGTGCATGATCTTCCCCCCAAAAAGTACAAGTACATCGTCTCCAAGCCTGGTATTTAAAACACACATCTAGGTGACGCGGAGACACACCCCCATCAAGTCTATAATATGATTCAGTGAAAAAAATAAAACTTACAGGGCAAGAAATGGCAAGCCACGGGTAAGCCAGGTTTTGGGGTCATGAGCACAAAGGCGGGGCTTTGCCTAAAGCAGCTGGAGTCTCGCGCATGAGCAGCCAGAAAAGACGTAATGGATGCATCTTTTGCCCTTGCATTTATTAAAGCGCTGTGATTTGCTCTTTTCTTGTAATGGCTTGGCTGGGATTTTCCATTCTGCTGCGTATCTTACCCTTAGCCGGGCTGTCAAGTGGCTTTTTTTTTTAATCTCCGCGACCTTGTCGTATTGCTGTGGGATGACGGATGCGGCCTCTGCCTACAGAAAAGGCAACTTTATTCCTTACAAACGCAGCATTTTGGCTTGAAAACACATACCTGTAGCCTAGTAGACTTCGTACTGGTAGATGCTTTGATTGCTGTAGTAAGTCAGTGTCTAGTATATCCAGCATTCTGTATGCACTCTCTGCATCCTACTATCCAGTACAGTCAGACTGCAGAAAGGAACGGATCAGAACAGCAAACACCACCCCCTTATCCTCAGAAAGGGATCTGCCCAATCACTCCAAAGAAATACAGCAGATAGCAAACGGCAGCAGCACACGTGTGTGCAAGTGTGGCAATGCTAATCAAGGCAAGGGATGTAAATGGCGTATTGCCTGTCACACGCTTGGACGGCGCGCCACCGGGTTTAGCTCAGCCTTGTTGCAGCGACGCGATAGGTCATCTGAGAGCTCGACAGGCACCAATCGTTGTTTGAGCAGATAGATAGATCAGCCGCTTAACAGTCTATCACTTTACCTCCCGGCGAATTATCAAATGGAACGTCATTTCAAAAAAGAACTCAAGATTTCAGTCAGATAGACAAGTGTATTATTGTTACTCGCATTCTAGAGTTGGAAGACAGGATCATGTCTGGCAGATATAAGAACAAAAAAAAAGAACAGAAAACTTTTCCCTAGCAACGCCTATTTTTACAATCCTATGCAAAGGTCATGGGCGGAGACTTACCAAGTCTCTTGGAGCAAGATTTACGATCGGTTGTACGTCCGAGAGGTTACTTTTGAATCGAGTTTAGCAAAAGGTACAAAGCCCTCAAGTGCAGCCCACGCATCAAGTATTTGCATTGTGTATGCAAGCCCCCAGGTCCCTCAGAAGTAATTCGCAGCCATCAAAGTTGGTCTTCGCTCTTGACAAGCGAAATGAACCGAGATCAGCCCTCAAACCCCTCAGAAGCCCACTGGTGTGTACAAGGCGCTGACAATACGAATTGCCAACGCCGCCGACGCCGACAAAAAAGCCCAGCTATGCCATCTTTGCCACGCCTCTAGAAGAAGCAAGGCAACGAGCCCTCAGATTACAAAGTAGAGAAACCCCCAGCAGTGATCTGCGCTCTTTGTTTTCAAAGAGCTTTCCCAAAGCCCACTAGATCCCAAAAAGAAAAGCCAAACGTAAATTGCATCAAAACCCGCAAATGCCCATAACCCACGATTATATGTAGATGTTAGATATTAGATCAAACCATCTTAGTCAAAGGAGATCTTGGTGCCAGAGAAGCCAGGCTTGGTGCGGTTGACAGAGCTGAAGTTGCCGCCACGGCCACCGCCGCGACCACCACCTCGGCCGCCAAAGCCACCGCGGCCACCTCCACGGCCACCTCCACGGCCACCGAAGCCACCGCGGCCACCACGGTCACCACGGTCACCACCCTGGGGACGGGGCTGGGAGTAGTCAAGTCGCAGAGTGCGAGCGAATCTACCGTTGCCAATGGAAGAACCAGTCTTGGCGTTGTAGGCCTCTCTGGCGTCATCAACGGAGCCAAAAGTGACATAACCGAAACCCTTCAGGTTACCGCTCTCACTGAAAGGAATGTTAGTACATTGCAAAGCGACGAGTTCAAGCAAACACAAGAGAACTTACGGGTCGGTAGGCAGTCGAACGCTGACAACGGGGCGAACCTCGTTGAAGAACTCAGTGACGGTGTCCTGGTCAACGTCGAAAGGCAGGTTGCCGACGAAGAGAGTGTCGCTCTCAGGGCTGACGGTATCGCCGTGCTTCTTAGCGCGGTCGGCAGCACGGGCCTGAGGAGTGGCATCGTCGGAGCGAGCGTTGGCATAGTCAAGGTTGATGGCACGGCCACCAACATCCTGACCCTGCATGGCCTCGTAAGCCTTGGCAGCGGACTCGGCATCCTTAAAGTCGACATAACCGAAACCACGGCTGCGGCCAGTAGCCTTCTCAGTAACGACACGAGCACCAACAAGGCCATCGAAAGACTCGAAAGCCTGGTACAGGGCATCGTCATCGATGCTCCAGGCCAAGCTGCCAGCGAAGAGGGTGGAAGCAGCGTTGCTGTCGACCTTGGTCTTCTTGGCAGAGGTATCATTCTCGTCGTCAGCCTTGCGCTTCTTGGAAGCGGAGGCATCCTTCTCCTCCTCATCGGAAGAGTCATCGCTGTCCTCCTCAGAGTCGCTAGAGTCAGACTTGGACTCCTAAAAAAAATTAGTCAAAATTCTTCACACATGAATAGACTTGTGGCGAACTAACCTTGGCAGCAGGCTTTTCCTCATCAGAGTCGGACTCGGACTCAGAGTCGGAAGACTCAGCAGCCTTGGCCTTGCCGTTCACAGCAGGCTTGTCCTCCATCTCCTCATCGGACTCAGAGTCATCAGACTCGGACTCGGACTCGGAAGATTCCTCCTTGGCGGCGGCCTTCTTGGCATCCTTCTTGGGGGTCTTCTTGGGAGCCTCCTCCTCAGACTCAGACTCGCTCTCGCTGGCGGAAGAAGCAGATTCCTCCTCGGACTCAGACTCCTCCTCAGAAGAGGACTCAGGCTCGGCCTTCTTCTTGCTCTTCTTGGAGGGCTCCTCCTTGAGGGCCTTCTTGGGAGCGGTGGCCTTGACGGCGACAGGCTCGGCGGCCGCGACCTTCTTGGTAACCTTGGTGGACTTGCCCATTGTGAAGAATTGGGTGAATGGGGATGGAAAAGAAGGTAAAAGTAAGAGATGAAAGTCCAAAGACGGAAATTTTTTTCGTCTTCAGGTGTAGATGTAGAGAAAAAAAGAAAGACACAGGAACTGGCAGCCTCGCAGTTTTTAAAGCCTGGGTGGTTGGGGACTTTCCGCCTACTGCACAACTTTTTCTGATTTTTTTTTCTTCTGTCCGGCAGAATAGTGGAATAGTGGGGTGGTCCAAGGCGGTGGGAGAGTTCGGCGTAGCTCGCCATCACTTCTCCACATACCGTATGCAAGCTGTGTGGCTCGAATCTTGCTGCCTGAGGCTGCAGCAGCGAAAGACTGGAAAGGCAGGCTAGTCGACCATCCATAGTGGACTGCCCTGGTAGGTCGGCATTCGAAGGCGCTCAAAAGCATCAGGAGATATTCGAGCTTCCGCTGCCTCATCCCTCGACCACTTAGCTTCAGTCGACCCCCTACCTTTTCAGCCCGTCGAATCCCAGCCAGCTCCCCATCATGCCGACGCCCGAGTCCGAGCTCTTCAAGAGCCAGAAGCCCACGGTTCCCCCCACATTCAACGGCGTGGACTTTGACGACACCAAGGCGTTCAAGGCGGCCGAGGATGCCATAATCCGGGAACAATGGGTTGGCGCCATGATGACACGTCTCGTCCAAGAGGAATTGGGCAAGTGCTACGTCCGTGAGGGCGTCAACCACCTGGAGAAGTGCGGCCACTTGAGAGGTAAGCCGAGGAAGCTCCCATATGCATTGCATTGGAGACTATGGACGACCAAAGACTCATAACTGTTGATTAGAAAAATACTTGCAACTGCTGGCCACGAACAAGGTCAAGGGAACCAAGTTTATTCAGCAAAACTATATCGAGAAGAAGGACCAGGAAATTGATTTGGAGCGCAAGGTGCACACGAGCGACAAGGTTGCCAAGCTGTACCAGGGACGATTCTCATGAATCTAAACAAAGCTATCGCTTAAAAACATAATTCATTCACACACAGTTCTTTGTTTGGGCTATCGAATGGCCGAATTAACCGGCTGAGGCCTTGGCTAGGATGGAGCAGAGGCTATGGATGGTTTAGAGGACTAGAGCCATGCGTGGTATTGAGCGCAGCGGATGGAACGCTCTGCCAGTGTACATATCAGGAAGCAACGGAATCACGTTAAAATGTAAAAGAAATTAAAGAAAAACTTCCAGTAGCTCTTGAAAACATGTAAAAGTGCTATTCAGGTGCAGTCAGAGTTATGACGAGGCTGAGAGCGAGCAGACGCTCTAATTGATCCCCATTGGTCACCCCACTACGGCATAACCAAAAATTCTCCAACCACCAATAGCAGAGCCTCGCCATCTCACCCAGAGCGAACAACCTACACCAACACATATAAAAACCACCATGTTCTGCACCCGGTGCCTGCGCGCAACGGTCGCGCGCCGCCCCTTCTCCTTTTCACGGCAATTCTCATCATCCCTGCGATTCTACTCGGCCGAACCTCAGCTCTCAACCCCCACCACCGACGCCGGCGAGGCTGCAAAACCGGCTGCTGCTGCTGGCACGGCGCGATCCAGCTGCCCGGAGGGAACCGTGCTCAATGGCTTAAACTACATCAAGGGCGGGCAGGACCCGGTCGCCAAGAAGGATGAAGACTACCCGGAGTGGCTGTGGTCCTGCCTGGACGTTATGAAGAAGGCCGATGAGGCGGATGACAACCTGGGTGACGAATTCTGTACGTTATCTTTTCTCTTTTACTTTTCTTCAATTTCCAGTTGTTAAAGACCAACGCTGACTTGTCTCACTCAACCCTCTAGCAAAATCCAAGAAGCAACGAAAACTCGCAGCCAAGCGCCAAAAGGCCCTCGAGGCCAAGCTCCTCGCCGAAGGCAACCTCGAGGCCCTAGCGCCAAAGGTCCCGCTGCAGCAGCAGTCCGTCAACCTGCCCGGCGAGCAAAACGGCTCCGTGCTGGACAATCTCGCCGCGGCGGAGAAGCGAGAGGAGCTAAGGAAGGCGATGCGCAAGGAGAGAAGGGCCAAGATTAAGGAATCCAACTACCTAAAGTCAATGTAAAACAGTTATCATGTGTGGAAGAGGAAGAGAGAGAGAAAAGCGAGTGTTGGTTATAGACAACATATCTGTACAATATATAACGAAGTATTTTCAAGACAAAAAGGATCTCCTGCCCATAATGTGATGTATATTATTTTTAATAGGACAATCGTATGTTGATAGTCTAGTTGTTGCATTACAAGTGTAACGTTCGCTATTTTATATCCGCATGCTCAAGCATAACCGTAGTATAGGCAAATGGAGTAAGGGTCTTTTATGGCACCCAGATAGAGGCTCTCTTGTCCTTCCAGTATTAGTCACATACCATACGTCGTCAATTTTTCTTTTTTATCACAGGGTGTACCGTCGTCCCGGGGAAATGGATTTAAGAAAGATATCATCTATTGGCCTAGTTCAACACGCTCAAGTCCAGCGGAACACTGCTCCCTCTACCTGCTCTATATCTCCTTACGCCCCCAACAAAATCCCTAGGCTTCGGCAATACGCTCTCGTCCTTGAAGTGCCACCTCTTATCGTCAATAAAGATTCGTCCACCGCCCTGACTCATCGTTCGTGAGTGGTTAGTGGTTTTGGGCGAAAGGGCTGGCGTGCTGCCTCCATTCGCAGTTAGGGTAAAGGAGCTCGGGTCGAGCATCGTATGGCGGAGAGAAGATCCTCTAGGCCGTGTTGCGGGAGGAGGAGGCCCATTGGAAGCCGGTGGAGCTGAAATCGGGGGTGCTGGCGGTGCTGGGGGAAGAGAAGGTGCTGCTCCGGGAGGGGCTGGAGGCGGTGGCGGCGGTTGAGCTCGCGGAGCTGACGATGGCGAGGGTAACGGAGGCGCTACTGAAGGTGGAGGAGGTGGTGGTGCTCCAGGCAGTACCGGAGCGGATGTTGCTGGAGGCGGCGGCGGTGGAGGAGGTGCCGCAAAGGGAGCCGGTGCTGAGAATGCTGGTGGTGGCGGAGGAGCTGAAGGAGCTGAAGGAGCTGGAGCAGTGAAAGCTGGAGCTGGCGGAGGAGGAACGGGAGACGGCGTGGCTCGGGAGGGCTTTCGCGAAGTTGGTAGCGGCGGCGGCTTTTTGCCAATCGGAGGCGGCGGTCCCTTTGTCTTCTTCAGGCCTGCTGCTGCGCCTGGGGGAGGGATTGGAGGTCCTCGCCCTGGAATAATGGGAATAGCTGGTGCAGATGGTGCAGCATCAGCCGGCGGTTTCGGCGCAGCAAACGTCGGCACAAGGGGAGCAGAATGAGATGGCGCTTTCTCTGAGTCAGAAGAGTAGGAGGGCGCTGAGCCGGCTCCCGTATCGATGTTTCCTCCTCGTTTCTTTAGCTTCGGCATGCCGCCGACAAACAGGCCTCCCAGCTGTGGTGCTGAGTCGACTGGGCGTACATCTTGGTGCGCCGCGTTGTGATCACTGTTGCTTCGGGCTCGGTTTGCTGAGGGAACGGGCGGCGCAAGCGCAAGGGCGGGAACCGGAGGAGCGCCGCCTATGGCAGGGCCTCCTGATGACCCTGATGCCTTGCTAACAACTGGAGCGGAACGATCGTTGGTGACGGCCTTTTTTAGGGCTTTGCCCTTGTTGATATCGGCAAGAAGAGCATTCTAAGAGCAAGGTCAGTCAGATAGTTTCTCCCAGAAGTCTTGGTTGGCAAGAGCACGCACTCGACCTCCTGAACTTGGCGGTGGACCTCTGGGCAAACCACCGGGAGCTCCTCCTGGAGGCGGAGGGGGAGGAGGAGGAGGGCCTCCAGCACCGGGCAATGGAGGCGGCGGCGGAGGCGGAGGAGGTGGCATGGCAGGATATGGGCGAGAGTCGCACGAGGTGGTTGAAGTCTCGGGGTCTTCGCAGCGCTGAGCTGGGGCGTGGGTGGAGGTGCAGATGGGCGGTTTGTGCTAGTGCAGTGCAGGCTGCGCGGGTTGCCGACGGTGCTGCGGCGGCGTTAAATACCGGTGTCTGAAGAGCGTCGCGAGCGAATTGCAGCGTCTGGGCGATGGCGAGGATGGCGAGGATGTCGACGCGGGCATGGCAGAGGCAAAAGCTCGTCGCCGGCGTTTCGTCATCAAGGCTTACGAGCCCGGCGCAGTCGAGGAGAGGCCAGGCCAGCCAAGGGCCCCACTCTTTTGACAAGGCCCTCAAAGCTGGAGCCTGTTCTATGTATAGACGGATAATAGAAGTATTTGTAAAAAGGAGAGGTTTGTGTGATCAAAGAGATGTTACAGAGCAATATCAAATGTCCTTTGTTTGTTATAAAACTTGCTTGAACATATGATTGCAGTCGCACAAGGCGTTGTTGGATACATGTACCGCAGCGATCAGCACTTTGGCACTCGCTCGCAGGTACCTGAATATGTCACTTTTCCCAGGTGTGGAGCCAATCACAGCCTTGCAGCAATGATTTTATGCCAAACTCCAAGCTCGCAACTTTTCCGCCTCGCTACCTTGGCCTTGCTTTTCCGCGCAGCATCTTGGGCCTAGTCAAGTTGCGAAGCTGAGTTTGCGGCACGGCAATTCGATACGAACTTTGCGCCGTTCTGCAATTGCCAGTGGCTACGCTTCAGCCCGGCTCCATCCCATCTCCTCGAGGCTTTTTGCCGGTCATATCGCATTCTGTCTCGCACCATGCGGCGAGCGAATCCCCGGCAGGTTGGCTTTATATGCCAGTCCTGTGCTTCATTACCGGCACAGGTGTCAAGGCAACCTTTCCCTAGCCGCATTCTATTCTCGATCCCCCGCCAGGTTGTTCAAAGCTCCGTATGGAGATCAACGCCTGCAAGATGGACCGCTTCAGTGTCCGCCTCAAAAGCAGCTGCAGACGCCGGATCAGACGCAGACGGGAATGCAGTGCCGGCAACACCGCGGCCGGTGACCGATGCTTCGCAATTGGCAAATATGGCCGAGGATAGTGTCAACAAGTTCCTCTCGGTCGACGGCATCCCAGCAAAGCAGCTTACTACTGCTGCCCTGCAGTCGTGTCTGCGAGCAGCCGCTGCGCTTCACCCCCAATTGAAGCGGGCAGAGGCGCAATACAGGGCTTCGGCCTCAAAACTGGTCTCTTTGGGAGCCGAACGGACGGGCGCCAGGATACCCGTCGACGCCAAGCTGACGGAGGCGACTCTCCGAATCTCTCACGCGGCATATGCCATTGTTGCGAACCCGAATGTGGAGATGACGCCGGAGTTCCTGGAGTTTTATGTCGCCATTCAAGCGCAGCTTGGCCAGCCAGAGTCACTGCCTGCTGTTTTTGAAATGTTTGCAAACAAGCCAAAGCCCGTCGTCAAAGATGGCCAGATTGCGTACGTGAAGCAGAATCCCAATGCGGCTGCTCGAGCCATAGAGCCCGCCATCGCAGACATGGCTCTGCAGACGGCGATTGATGCCAAGAGCCTGGACTCTGCTCTTGGCATTATCGAGTCTTCATACTCCCTTCCTGCGTTTAAGCGCCAGAAGCTGATCAAGCACGGTACGGCGCCCGCTCTTGGCCTTGCCACCCTGCCGTTTGGCATCTTTGGCCTATCAACAGGCTATGCCGCCTACTGGCAAAACACCATGGATATCAGCACTGCTACGGGAATTGGTGTTGCCGGCATCTCGGGCTACTTCCTTGTGGTTGGATCCCTCGGCATGATTGCCAAGCTGAGTAACAAGGACCAGATGAAGCGAGTGACTTGGACGCCAGGAACGCCGCTGCGATATCGATGGCTAAGAGAGGAAGAGAGAGCTGCTTTAGACAAGGTGGCGTGTGCATGGGGCTTCAAGGAGCCTTGGAGACACGGTGAGGAGATGGGCCCGGAGTGGGAGGGCCTCAAGGAGTACATGGGATACAGACAGATGCTGCTTGACAGAGTTGAGTTCATGGAGGGCATGAGCTGATGGCTTCATGGGCCACCCTGTATATGAATTTGTAAAATAATATCTACTTGGAAATACAAATGATTGACGTCTTAGCTCCAGCATCTGATATGAGGGCGGCTTTCGAAAGACTTCTTTTTGCGCAATCACGATCTCCACACCCATGATGGTTTGCTTTCTCAGCAGGCGATAGAGCTTTATTCGTCAAAATTCATCGAGCCTCGTACTTTTATCAGATGCCTCAGTTCCTAACACCTAGACCTCCCGAGATGCGAAATCTCGCTCTGAACCAGCTACGTACATGTATCTAAAGAGTAGTCCGAAATGTCAGCAGAACGAGGCCTTGGTCAAGCCCGTCATTTACTGGTGCATGAGGCACGCCCCGTGTTGTTTACATGTCGGTATTTCCGGTGTTTACTCAAGATTGCCCTAATAATGATGACCACGACGATACTACCGCTCATCCCAATAAGGCTTGCGCTCTAGGCACTTTTCAAGGCAACAGTACAAACGGCACAAAGCATAAACGCCCAAGAGAAAGAAAGACGAAAAAGTGTCGCATGACAAACGCCGGTCATTTTGCCCCATCTTTCTCTTTTCTTTTTGTAGCATCTAAATCAGCCCTCCAGGTACATATACATCGACCCCTGCAGATAAAGTTGCTCCGGCTTACAATTCTCGGCAAACTCACTTTTGAGGTCTCTTCACAGCATTTTTAACTCTCCCCAGGCCTTGATAGATTTAACCAAAATTTGTCGTTATCTTGTTATCGGAAGGCAGTTTAGTGTACTTCACAGCATTTTTTTCTCTCCCCAGCCCTTGGCTATTAATCTATAAACGCCCTGCTTTGGGGTTATCGAGATCATCTTAATCATTTCACAGCATTTTTAACCCTCCCCAGGCCTTGGCTATGGATCTATAAACGCCCTGCTTGGGTTATCGAGATCATTTGTTTCACAGTATTTTTACCCCTCCCCAGGCCTCGATATCTAGCCACTTAAATTGTAACCTCGTCGTCGGAGTGGACTTTGCTTCACAGCATCTTACAAGTCGTAAACGCTCTCCAAAGCCATCTTCATACAGGCCTGGGAATCAGATCCACTTGATGCTCCCATAAATTAGTAGCCATGCACGCACCCCTTGGAGGCTGTTTTCGTAGTGATGGATGCATGCTGGCTATTTGGGCGCGGTCCAAGATCCGGCATCTTGGTCGCAATACGGGGGTGATTGGGGTAAATGCTACGCTGAATCTACTTGTTGGTTGAGGGTGCTTACACCAGACATCACGGGGCATTACCACAGCCTATCTGCTTATTTTTCATCCTACGCCTTCTTCCCTTTTTCTTTAGCCGGATAACCTTTACTCTCTCCTTTTATGACTCCATCTCCTCTTTTCTTTTTGCACACCAAAGGATGCAGGGGCTTAACCTCTAGTCTTATTTAACCTGGGTATGTGCAAATTCAACCAGCAACTTGATCCGATAAGCACCCATCTATTTGTGGCCCTTCCTAACAGTACTCTATTGCAGTTATAGCAATGTGTCCCATCAACTTCCATCTATTCGTACATTAACAAATTATTCAAGTAAACGGCGCCTTTTCGCTTAATAGTACTTTGTAAGCGACGCCTTCTCAACTCCCCGCCAGGAACCCTTACCCAGGGTAACCAAAAAGGGGTACAGCAAAAACGGCCTTTCCCGATCCTCTTCTGCACCCCATTCCATCGTTCTACTTTGGTAAAACTCGCCATCAACGGGACCAGTTACACCGAAGAGAAAAAAGAGAACAACCCCTGGTCAAACTCGTGGGAAACACAAAAAGAAATATTACAGGTAATAAAAAAGGGGTGGAGGGAACCACGAGACGAGCATGGGTCGGCCCATGCCGGATCAGCAATTTTTTTTTCTCGTGTCCCCTCATTGTCTGTCTTTTCTTTTCGTTTCCCATTGAACCCTTTCTTGGCTAGAGTGGAGAGGTGAAGGAGGATGTGCGGCGAAGCGAGAGGGCGGGACTTTGTGGTGCCATTTAGTAGCTGTCGCGGATACATTTCCGTCTAGGTTAATGGAGGTATGGCCATTCAGTTTCTATGTGAGCCAGCTTTAGACTGTCTACAGAGGAAAGACTAGAAGCAGAAATGTCATGGCGAGGAAGAAAAGGAAATATTACGACTACTATTGATACTGGTAGGATGCGCTTGTGAATGGCCCCAGTTCGAGAGCGCATCATCAATGCTGTTTGCTTTCTTTTTGCTGTCCTTCATCCTCTTCTACAAGGATCCGTAAATACCAGTGCAGAGTCCGCATTGGCCGAGAACAACGAACCCCTGGCACCAAGGCGCAATGTCTGCATAACGCTAGATCTGGGCATGGAGAAGGGGACTGTTCTGGACTGCCAAGGGCTCTCTCTCCACATTAGCATTCAACATGTCTAGGATTGCCAGGGGTTAGTGATGCAGTACCGGTACTGTAAAAAGCAAATAAATGGATAAATGGCAAACGGTTGAATCATGTTCTGATTGGTATCTCTCATACACAAAGGAAAAGAAACACAAAGAAAAAGCGTAAGTGTATGTACAGTAAAGGCCTTGTCCCCATATCGTCATAAATGATATCTAAATCTCCAAGACGGAAGGATTGGTACTAATGTAATATATACAAAAGAAACAGAATTAGAAAGTGGATGAAAGAAGAAAAGAAAAGTCTTAGAGAGCCGGTCCCTACATAATAATCATGAGAAAAGCTTCCCTAAAATAGCCACATATAACATGAGAAAACTGGCATCTTTTCCTCTGCTCTTGTCAAGCACTCCATTATCGCAAAAAAAAAAAAAAAACATCATAACAGCCTTTTAATTTTTGTATGGTCCGGTCTCGTACGAGACTTCGTACTTTGTAGTCTTGCGGATTGCTCCATCCTGGTCGTCTGACGAGCCGTGTCTCTGCACTGATGTGAGGATAAACTCCTCGCTCGTATCGTCGCTCTGGTGGGCGGCCACGCTGCGGGTGACAGTATCTCCACCTGGTCCAGAGTAGGGTTTCCAGCTTTGGCGGCGTGAGGGCGAAGTGGAGCGTTCATATCCGAATTTGTTGCGACTCCCTGATCCCAGAGCGCCAGATGCTCCCGTAGAGCCCTTGGAAGCAATATTGCTGCCGAAAGTCTGGGGGAAGAGAAAGGCCAGGACGATACGGCACATGGGCAAACAAGCGCAGATAATGGCCACATTTTCTTCGATAATGGTCCACAGAGTCGAAGCAATGTCAACTGAAACCCATTAGAAAACATGAATTCTCAAAAAAAGGGGGAAAGTATCTCACAGGTCGTATCAGGGCTAGTTGTCGAGAAGTTGAGAGTCGTGGCACGCATGATAGATGTCACAGTAACACTACAATTGGTTAGTTACATATATCCTGGAAGCAAATTAAGTCACTTCTCTCAACAAAGGCATAACTCACAAACTACCAAGAGCAAAGACAAGCATCAAGGCTCTCTTTTGGCTAAGGGGCAGTTTGCTTGCCCAAATGGGCTGCATCGGCAGCAGCAAGATCAAAACATCGGTGGCAATCGAGTAACCAGCGTTGGCGTACCAGTTTTGCGTCAGACTGACACATGTAGGTTTGGACGACTTGTCCCAGGCTCCGCTAATTGGGCTGCATTGGAAGATGGACACGAGTGTGCTGGCAATGGCATATGCCGTGACGATGCCTAACATGATGTAGCAGCAGATGCGAAACCACCTCTGGACAAAGATTCGCAGATACAAGAGAACAATGGACGTTTTGGTGAGGCCGATGGTGAGCTTGTAAAAGATTTGCGCAACGTAAAACCACTATTTCAGCAAGAGTTTATGTGAGTTGTTTTCCACCGAAAACTAAAGCCGCCAAAGTGAACTCTGAATCATACCTTGAGAGCAGCCAGCCTGTCTGGGACCGATAATGTCCCAATGTGTTTGCCGAATCCATAGTTGACTGATATCATCATGAAAATTTGCACCAGCAGGGTACAAAACTAGTAGTCTAGATGTTAGTTCTTCAACCCAATCACAAGCATCCTACCAAGGAACAGAGGAATGACAGATATTCATACAAATGACACCAAAACTGTGTAATCGTCCCATCCCAGCCCTGTTCTCCTATAGATACGATTCCAGAATCTGATGGCGACAAAGATTGGCGTCACGGCGAAGAAGACGATACTCGGGATCCGAACGAGGTCGGCATGGCTGGCAGCCGCTTCATCTGGAGTCAAAAGACCAGGCATCTCTCGGGTCTGTTGGTCGTGTACGATCGAAGTGTCCCCCGGCAGTTGGCAGAATAAGAACGGCGCAAAAGCCGGAAGGATGAAAGGAAGTAGATTATCGGAGGGGAGGGTGTGAACATGGGGACAGCCTTCCCTAAATAACCTCTTTCCCCGGAGGGTTGACTGGGCTCACGATTTACTAAATAGGCAGAGACGGGAGGCAAAAGATGGAGAGAAGGCGAGCGAGGTAGAAACGTAGCACCATTCTGTGCATATGATTCATCAAGAAAAGCCAGCTAACGGAAACGACCGAGGGCATTACGGTACGGACCAGGACACACACACACAAGTTTTTAGCCTCGCAGAGGAACTACGGCTAGCAGAGTTTGGCTCTCGCGTCTAACAGAAGCTGCATGGCCGAAATGAAGTGCAGCTTGGGATGTCAAGCCAGCTAGGCGGTTTCATCAGCAGCGCCGAGGAAAAGAGTGGGCTTCAATGACACCAACAAGGACCCTGTCAAAGGGCCGCGATATTGGCCCTGCCACTCCTCTCTGGTGCATGGCTCCAGGCAAATAGAGAGAGAAGGGAGCTGAGTTGAGTGTCTTTTCCACGGACTGCAAGGGCAATGCGTGAGTGGACATGGGTCTCGACGTTGGCCTGGACGAAAGTGGAATGAGAACGAGGACCCCAAGGAAGAGAATATTGGCAATATACAGCACTGCACTGTACTGTACTTGCATGTACCTACTACTGTAGCAATCGTCTCCGCATGCACATGTCACTCACGAGTTTGCACGGCTTGTCTCGTGCTTGGCGCTGATTCTACCCTGGCCGTGGACTTTGGCCGTGGACTTTAGCCTGTTGCCATAAATCTGTTCTATATCGGCTGCCGACCCTTGAAAGAGGAGGCTAGGTATTCACATGTACAACTAGTTGTGCTTCATACCTGCTCCAGCCAAGGAAGCAAATCCTTCGCAAAAAGAAGAAAAGCAAAGCCAAAAGACTAAAATACGAGAGGCCTTTTCTCGCAGTTGAGACTACTGTAGGACCCAGCACGGAAAGCCAGCGCTTCTCCCCGGCGGCATCGTGGTTTGTTTTGCAGCTAATCATCTTAGCTGCCAAAGCCATGTCCGCTTGGTGGATACGACACAAGAGTCTTGTACAAGACACGCCACCACCCGAGAGGGCCGAGAAAGGGCATGGACAAAGCTAAACTGAAAGCAGATTAGCCCAGCGTTGCCGACGGAACGGGATGGAGAGAATCAGGAAAGCACTTCCAGTGGCTTTGGTGGGGACTTGCTGTGGAAAAGGAAGAAAGAAAAAGGTACCTTGTCGTTTACTTCGTTCCGCGCATACTTGAGACGGGCTAGTACATCACTTTTTCTTTTCTTTTTGCAGCCTGCGTTACATGACATGACGCTACGAAAAGTCTCTTTAGATTGTTTGCAAGAATAGTGGATAGGAAGGATTCAGAAAGGATTTCAGCTGAGGACGCTATTTCGTGTGTCCTTTTTTCCGAGAGCCGTCTATCCTTTGCTCACAAAGGTACAGTAATAAATCCCGAAGATGGACTTGTAAAATAACTGGTACTGTTTCCGTTTGTGTCTAGGTTATGGTATTGCATGGGCAATCGAATATTAATTTGGCAAAAGAGTAAATAGCCGGAACCCGGAGCGGAATATCCAATACGAAGCAGGCTGTAAGTAGACACATGGCATGGTATGGGGGAGGCTGTGCATGCTGATTATCCTGCCGAAAAGACGGGAACCGATATCTGCGATCGTCCTGAGTTGGATGCTTACCTACTGCAATGCTACTATGATTCGAACAATAGTACCTATCCGGATTCTTTGAGGTATAAGTAGAAGCGCGAATCGTCGAGTTGGGCCCCCCTTGCTCTTAGGACGTTTTCGCATGCACATCTGCTCGTTTTAGCCCTCTCCATCTACGATATGTCACGCAGTGGATGTTTGAAACCTACTTCGCTGGCTTACTGTATTAGACATCAACGAGGCAGCGCTCTTATTCCATACATTTACAATTATTTGCAGCTGCGCCTGTCAAGGTCTATGCCCATACCAATCGGTCCCTGACATGCGCCGATCTATCGTCGGAAACAGGCAAGATCTGCGCGATAGACACGCTGAGCATCCACCATTTGTCCAAAGGACCGAAAAAGAAAAGTCGAAGAATGAGAACGAGATAGAATAGCTGCAACACGACTTGTAATGCTTTTGCAAGTCAAGGCTCTGGCAGGTTTCGTCGCTTTTCGAGTTATCGATTCTTATTGTTTTTGGCTCCAGGCTAACGGCCTCTTGGTCCACAAGCCGGTGGCTTCAGTTGAAAGGCGGCGGGAGAGCCGTCAGCGATCTCCCGTGGATCACCCAGATCTCACTTGAGTCAGTTTAAACTTTTGTGACGACGCTTGGGAAAACAATTCAAAATGCAGCAGCAGAATACGGGTTGCTATAGCCCTCCAGCTGGCTTATTGCCGATAGTACTGTATGATATGCATTCCGTTGAAAAGGCTCCAGGTTGTGCTATCTCGTTCTTTTCTCACTGTACGGCAGCAGCAGCAGCAGCAGCACGCTCAAGTACGTGTATTCGTAAGCACAGGCGAACCGCGGTCGAAGCGTCCAAGCATGTACCTCAAGGTACTTTGGTAGCCAACCGGGGCCCTTAGTACCTCTCCACTATACGAAGTGCCCAAGCGGTACTAGCACGATTTTGCTCAACGCTAAAGAGGGCCGACGACATGTCGCCAATCTTAAACCCTGCTCCAACGTCGTCTCTTCGCAGGACGAGGACTCCGGTCACTGCATTGGGTAAGGCAGGCCCGTCAGCACCAGAGCGCCGAAATCGCCTCGCTGGCCAAAAACTCGGTGCTTCTGGCGGCGAGAGCGAGCCCCGGAAGAGCGCCGGAAAAGAGAGGAGAGATACAAACGAGTTGCTCTTCTCGAAGGCGACGATACGACCTTTTCGCGCAGATGTATGTCGTGCATGGATCCAGCGCTGATCCTTCTGGGGAAGCGGGCGCAAGTAATCGATCGGACTCGAGATTTACGAGCAGCAGAAGAAGATATAAGCCTGTAGTCGGCCACTGTTTCTCTCGCCCCTTACCTGCTGTTACTGCTGCTACAGCCCACGACAACGGCCATGCTCCATCAAGACTAACAGCCACTTTTCCACCAGCTCGGCGGGGAGCTTCCTCATTCTTAGAGCTGGCGTCCTTACAGTAACGACTCCGTCACTCTTCTGACTTTTCAAAGCTCGTCAGTATAAGAAAGAAAACAGCGAGTTATAGCCAACAGAAATAAAGCATCTCATCAAGGCGGCAGGCCCGTTGACGCTGGCCCGTGGCGCTGCGCCTACGGCGTGCCGTGAATGCCGCTTCATTCTACAATCCCTGACCGTGAGGAGTTTGCCGGCCCTGCCGCGCGGAATGGCTGTGGACACTGCTCCAACTCCGAACCCGTCAAGTCCACTTCCGTCGCATATTCGACTTCTCTGCAAAAAGCCTCTACTGGGCAAGCGCGGCAGCCTAGCGAACTCGCATAAACGGGCAAAATATGCGCTTTTGCAGCAACATAATCATGGAACAAGGCCTCCAAAGAGCAACGTGCTTAGAGAGCAGAACTTGCTGGTCCATCATGCTGCCATTCCAAAGAAGCAGCTCTTAGAACTACTGTGACATGAAAACATCCAAAGTTGCCTTATGTTGGCCAACGAGAAAAGAGCCCCGAGACAATGTCTCTTCGCTGCGGCTATGGCCCTGCGCTAGCCTGCTGGCGAGGAGAGTGCTTAACCAGAGACTAGAAGCAATAGTTTGCTTCCATTCATCTGATTATATACAAGAACCCATATCAATCGCATGATTTCCTTTTTTGTGGCCGCAAATTGAAGCCTTCAAGAGATGATGGACCCGGCCAGCTGGGAGCCTACAAGGGAGACCCAGAAAATATGCAGGAGTCACCCATTCGCTCTCCATCGATTCAGTGGCACGACCTACCGGAGGACGAGGGGAGGTCACTCAACTGAAGCCAAGGCGCTAGAAGACGCAGAATGCCAGCCTGCTGGATGGGACACGAGGTGCTAGTCCGCTCAGCTCGTGCGGTGAGGACGGCAAACTCGGCCGGGAGACGGAGCAAGGTAAGGAATAACATTGGGACGACGCCTGCATGATCTCTGAAAGGAGGCGGCTCTGTTTCCAGTAAAGGTGGAAGTAGGAACATTAGCATTGAGTAGGGTAACATCTATCCAATTCAGCAGACAATATTGGGACGTCATACGGAGAATAATGAGACGAATAAACCGGGATCGAGGATTCAAGTATATGCCCCTTGGCGACGGCCCCGGATGAGATGATTGGGCTCAACGAGTGTCTATTTAAATGACCCTCGCTGAGCGAACCGCAAAGGGAAAAGTTCTAGCAAGCGATGACGGAGAGGCTGAAGAGACGTAGAAGGAAAACGTGGTCGTGGTAATATCGTCTGCATGGCTTGATATTCCCGGGTGGATAGCGCCATGCTAGCTAGACAAACGGATTTCTACCGGGTTATATGTCATTATATTGCTGACGATGCTCCGCGTAAAGCATTGGCGTTTCCTTGCATCTTGCGAGTGATTGTAACTGCTGCCGGCTCTAGTACATACTAATATCGATGTATGGTGATGAACCATGTATAACTACTCTATTCACATTTACTTGCTCACTCTCGTCTGAAGCGAATGCTGTTGGTTCTGCCACCATCCTACGGCACCGCCTCGTGCCGGACCCAGACGGGAGACACAGCGCAAATAGGAAAATTAACCGGCCGTCCCTCACTTGGTACCTGCAAGAGAAGCTGTGCGACCAACTGCAGGTACCGTTGCTGGTACCCCGGCGGTACCTTGCGCTAAAAACAGCGAGGAAAACCTGCCCGGCTGTATTGGCTGCAGAGCTCGGCTGGGGCTGCCGCGGAGAAGGAGCTGCAATCAAATGCAGACAAGAGCGCAGTGGCTGCATGCGCTAAACTGGGAGAGAAGCATTGAATCCTTACAGGCCTGGCTTCAATTGGCTTTCAGCTCAAGCTGTTTTGGCCTAAGAGAATTGGAAATTATGGGTGCAGACCACCATGTCTTGATTGAGTCAGATTGACGGGCGCTCGCTTGAGAAAATAAATTGAGTAACAATGAAGTGGCAGAATCTTGATTTCTTTTACTAATTATCCTTGACATTGGGGCATCTGCAGCATTTTGTGCGTTGGTACCTTGTGGCAACCTGCAGAGTACCTCCTCGGTGGATATCATGCCGACCCTGTACTTGCATGGATGGGATGGAAAGCCTCATCGTCTCCAAGCCCTTGTCCCGATGGCAACGAACCGAACCCTTCTCCGCTCGCCATGCGCAGTCCATCGCCAATGATTCTTCCTCCCCTGCTAGAGCTGGATAGTAGCAGCAGTAGTAGAAACTGACTAACATGGCGAACATTTCTTCTTCTGCCTTCTTTAAATGCTTCTCTCCCACCCTCCCATCTCTGCTTCGCTTCGTGTCCTCCTCTCTCTGCTTGAGCTAACCTCCCTCCTCTCTCTCTCTCCTCCTTTACGTCTTATACCCTCACAGCCACAGCATCATGAAGGTCTCGACTCTCGCCTCGGGCTTCGTCTCGGCCGCCAGCCTCGCCGCCGCGCAGCTGCAGCTCGCCGCCAACGGCACCATCTCCAAGGGGCCCTTCCCGGCGGACCTCAACGGCTCCAACTTCACCTACCCGTGGCCCGTCAACGTCTTCAACTTTGAGAGCCAGCAGCAGCAGCTGCAGATGGCCTTTATGGACGTCAAGCCCACCTGCGCGCCCAACGGCCAGACCGCCGTCGTGCTGCACGGCAAGAACTTCTGCGGCCCGACGTGGAACGACACCATCGTGGCCCTCGCCGGCGCCGGGTACCGCGTCATTGCGCCCGACCAGGTGGGCTGGTGCAAGAGCTCCAAGCCGGAGAACTACCAGTTCAGCCTCAACCAGCTGGCCTTTAACACGCGCGGCCTGCTCAACACGCTGGGCGTCGGCAACATCACGCTCATCGGCCACTCGGTCGGCGGCATGCTCAGCACGCGCTTTGCGCTGCAGTACCCGCAGACGATCGACCGGCTGGTGCTGGTCGACCCCGTCGGCCTGGAGGACTATGTCGAAAAGGGCGTGCCGTACGTGTCGATTGACTACGACATCGCCGCCGAGGCCGCGCAGACGTTCGACGCCATCAAGGCCTACGAGCAGGCCATCTACTACGTCGGCCAGTGGCAGGACTCGTACACGGTCTGGGTCACGATGCTGACCAACATCTACTTCGGCTCGCGGCGCACGCAGTTTCTCAAGAACCAGGGCCAGATTGTCGACATGGTGCTGACCTCGCCCGTGGCCCACTACTTTGGCGACATTGTGTCCAAGACGTTGTTGATTGTCGGCGACGAGGACAAGGTCGCCATTGGCTCCAACTGGGCGTCTCCCGAGGTCGCCGCCACGCTGGGACACTTTAACGTGCTGGGGCCGCAGGTCTGCGGCGAGATTCCCGACTGCACGCTGTACCAGTTCCCGACGCTGGGCCACGCGCCGCAGATTTCGGCCCCGTCCAACTTTACAAAGGTTGTGCTTGACTGGCTGAAGGAGTAAAAGAGTGAGTGAGTGAGTGAGAGTTTTAGTAGAAACTGAGGCGTTAATTCCATGTTCCTATCCCATGCATATGTATATATGGTATATATATATCAATGAGCCTGATGACGATTTGTAGACTTAATTATTTATTGCTCTTGATATAATTGATTATGAGAAAAGGAGCCACAATATCTTTCAGTAAGCTATGTATTTCTCGTTTCGGTGTGTTTGTGTATATGTGAGCGTTACGTTTTGCATGCGAAGGTGCACGTGAGAAAAACACCAATTTCTGTATGAGAAATGAGTTGCAACGCACACTTATACATGATCAACAATCTCTTCCTTAGATATATCAATTGTTTATTTTGCCCTGTTGATGGATAATAATAGACGCATTGTTTTACAACAATACCAATTGAAGCCTTCACCTTATTCCAACTTCTCTTTGTGATCTCATTTGAACATGTCTTTCACCTCAACACCACCCACTCTTCACGTCCCAGACTTCAGCTTCTGTTCACTTTCATCACTGCATCCTTCTCATAACAAAAACTTCACCCAATGCTCCTCATTTCTTTGTCTTCTTCTTTCTCTCTTTCATCTTTCTTCATACAATCTTCAGCTTCAACCAATTTATACAACATCTCAACACCACATACCTTCACCACCACCAACCACCAAAAATCCATCATCATGACTTCTCTCTCCCTCCCACCACCAGCTTTATTCCAACTCACCCCCTTCTTCCTCCTCATCCTCCTCTACGGCGTCTGTCCGCAACACTTCCCCCCCTCCGCAGCAACAACCTCCTTCTTCATCCTCTACGCCATCGCCATCCAGCTCGCCATCCACCGCGCATCGACAGTCTCCGTCCTGCACAACCTCAGCATCATCTTCCTCAGCGCGGCGCATTTGGCAGTCGCGGCAATCTACACGCTCTACTACACCGCTCAGGCAGTCATGCGCGCAAGAAACGCCCTCTTTGCGTACTTTGAAAGAGTGCACCGGCAGATTCACCAGTTGGCGAATGTAACGAGATTGAGATTCTTGCGTGTGCCGGCGCCGACTTGCTTGACTCTATCGCTGGATATGTTTTGCGATGATGAAAGTACCTTCTCGGAGACCACTTCGGTCTATTCTTCCAAAAATAATACAGTCTACACCTCTCAATGGCGCTATAGAGAACTATCGAGCAGCAACTTTGTCCCTCCATCTTTTGAAATGCGCGGCTATCTGCCCTATCAGCCATATCCAATCGTCTGGTTCTTCCGCCACTTGTTTTACTTCACACGAGCTGTTGTGTCATGCGTTTGTTCCACGCTTCTGTCGATATTCTTCACTGTAAAGTTATTCCACGATACGACTGTTTCGTCTATTTGCTTCACAAGGGCCTGCTTCACGTTTATTAACAAGTACATTGTCAAGCCGTACTTTCCCACACCATGGTACCTCGCAAAGTTCAGCATGCAACAATTTCCAACTTTTACCCTCTTCGCCATGCATCTTACTATCACGATAATTGTACTGTCCTTGGGAGAGACGAATGCTCTGGGGCTGTGTATACTATTGGAATTCTGGCTGCTGTCACGACTGGAGCGGTTATGATTCAACAACTAGCAGTTCAAAGGATTCAAAGGGAGGGGGAGAAGAGAAGAAAAAAAAGTTAGGAAAGTAAATCATTTGTTTTCATAAAGATATAAGACATCTCATAAATTGACCACACCTTTAAGTTGCGCTAGATGCTGTCCCTTTTACCATTTATACCTATTCATACATGATTTGATATCTTTGACCAAAAAGAAAAAAAAGTAGGAAGAAGAAAAAAGAACAAAGAGGGAAAGTTCCACCGCCAGACCCAGTAAATAACAACAATACCGCTTAATTGGTAGTAATTCTGCGAACCCATAGCGTGGTTGGTTCGTATTCTGCATCCTTTTCTTGACGCTTGTATGCTCTGTGTAACTTCAAGCCCAAGTCGTACTCTTCGTGCTGTATCTCAGCCAGCTCTTGTTTCAGCCCTTGGATCTTCTGTTTCTCAACCTCCCTCTTTCGAAGCACCTCCTCACTGGCCATCAGGTTATCTCGAGGCATCAGCTCCGTCATCTGCTGGATGCTCTTGCTGATGTTGACCTTGCGGCGAGCTAATCCCGACAGAACAGCGCGTAATTGCGCAATTCTGTCATTGGGCGAGGATGCTAGTTCTGGCGGCGCGGGGGGCAGTGGCTTGGACATGGACATTATGGAACTGCGACGCGACGATTCCATGTTACTGACGGTCCGGCCGTGGGGCGCAGGCCCGCTGAGAGATGCCTCGCTCGAGACTGCAATCTGGTTACCAGCTCCGTATGGGCTGGACATCTGCGCCCTTTGCTTCGGCATTGTTATTGTGTGGCTGGCAGAAGGAGCATTATGAATTTCCTGCTTCGAATATGGGCCCGGACGGGTCACGACAGGGACGGTAGAGTTTGTCATTGTCGGCGTGTAATCTTTAGAAGGCTGTTGGGGAGTGCCTGCATTTGAAGTAGCATAGGTCGTGACACTGAAACGCGAAGGGGGTTGCGTCCACGTTTCGCCGACATTGGTGCGCTGAGGCGCTGTTTCATTAAGTCCAGTATCGGTAGTAGTAGTAGTAGTAGTAGCGGCAGCAGCCGAGGCTCTCCGCGGAGGAGGATTTATGTAAGCCGGACTTGAAGTTGATGGATTAGCGGGTGGCGCTGGCTCGGCTTGGTGGTTTTGCGCTGGTTTCCTCTTAATGATTCTCAGCGCTGTGGGAGTCAGTTCCGCAATTGAAGGTGACTGCGCACGAACTGATTCCATAGATTGTGGCGTCGGGTACCGCTGATTGGGAGGCGGCGTTGGAAGAGAATTGATGCTGTTGACATTCTGTGGCGTGAAACTGGACGGATTCATACTTGTGTTTTGGGTTCTTTGCGCCCGCGCCGAGGGGAGAAGGTCACGGTCTGGTATTGCCTGCTCGCGCGGAGGCGTTTCTAGCTCAGAGGACGACTGAATAGACGGCAGCGGAGCTGATATGTTTCGAGGCCCATTGTAAGTGCGGCTGATGCGCTTGCTGCTTCTTCGTGGAATATGCACCGGCGCTTCACCTGGACCACCCCGCGTTGGCCGATCAGACAGATTCTCTGTCGGCGTCGCTGCTCCCTTGGTGAGGAACTTGAATCGTTGCGCAACTGAAGTCTCGTTGACTGTAGGTAAGCGCATCTTGTTGCTCCGTGGCAAAGCGACATGTGGCGCCGGCACGTCTGCCAGGCCTCTTGGATCTTCAAAAGTCAGAGGCATGGGCTCCACAGGTGGTTGGTAGGCTCTGTATTGATGCGATTGAATGGGTCTATCAGTCATGTGCCGTGGCGTCGTGAAAGGCTGTTGTCTCTGGTTTCCCTGAAAAGGATTCTCTCGAAAGTCGGCGTCCTCGTCGTCGATGGGAGACACGGGCGCACTATGTGAGCAATGCTTTTTAGTATGTACGCCTATTGAACATGGCCAAGGCTGCTTGCAATCGCCAAACCCTCAGTGGGCCGAGGAAGGTAGCAACAGGACATCTAGATTACCGGCACGCATCACTTACTCGTACTTGAAAGCGCCGGTTTCTGGTGAGCTCGGAGGTGAAATCTGATCAAGCGCCGGGGGGCGCCGCCTCGAATACATGGCAGCCAGCTTGAAGTTGGGGGCCGGGGACGAAGAGTACCCGTCGCCGTCACTGGTATAGTTGGATTCTGAATCGGTGACGATCTGAGGCTCTGGATTCGCCGGTGTAGCGAGGGACCAGGTCGAATCCTTGGAGTATTGTTGCAGAAGCCGTCTGGGGTTCCGCGGCGGCGGCTCAAAGCCAGGGTGCGATAATGACGCTGCGGAGTCAGCGAGATCGTCTGTCGAGATTCTAAGATTGGAGAAGAACGACGTCAGCCGCGGGTTCGCTCGAGGGCTATTTCAAGCAAACGGCTAATACCAGCACTACTGATATCATAGCGCAATGAACAATGGCGGGCAGGCAGTGCAGATAGCGCGGGAATAGCATCATGCGACCAAGACGGATTCTTTGGAGGCAAAACAAAAAGCCCGATGCAGAAGACCACGGCGCCTTGTTTTTCCTCTTGTCGTTCCTTGTTTGACGCGCATCTGCTGGAGGCTGTGCCCTCAACAAGCGACCGGTATGTGGCTTTGGGAGGGAGGGCAGATGATAGACATTGGCGAATGAGGCAGCGGCATGAGCTGGAGGGATGGTTCCAGCGCAGGATGCCTTACAGAGTGCAAGTACAAGTACCGTGCATGACGCAGCCATCGCCACCAATTGAGTGTACATCCAAGTACAGAAAGATGGGAAAACAAGAACATCAGCCATATGGCGAGATACGTACATTCCAGTGTGGAGAGCCGATGTGACCCTGGCGCTCGGAGCATCAGCCTGTGGGCGCTGCGGTCTTTGCGGCGCTGTAGCAGTGTTTGCGATTTCGATGCCCAGTGCATTCGCAGGCCCGTCGACGTTGGTTTGGTAAAAGGTCGAGGATGAAGTCGAGGTCGAAATCGTGGTCCACGACATGGGCGTAGCAGCGTCGCCCGCGTGCTTTCTGTCAGCGCCGGGGCGGTCGTTGTAGCCCGCGGTGCTGGTGCTGCTAAAGCCACCTGCAGTGCCTGTAAGATGACGGCGATGCATCCTGTCCAGACCCGCTGTGGCAGAGGCTCGGGCGCGGTCCCACATGGCTGGATAGGTTGTTCTAGGGGGATATTTTTGGCAGCTGTAGGGGTTGCGCCCCAGCAAACTTTAGCGGGACGGCCGTGCTTTATGTGTCTGGTGCAATATCAGTGCGGGTGGTGCGCTGCAAGGTTGGCTGCTGCTGCTGTTGCGGTGTTGCTCTGCTTCTGTGCGAGCAGCCGGTCGTTCACGGGCGCTGTGTCAAACAGGTCTCAGCGTGTCGAAGCCGTTTCCAGAGTGAGAGGAAGACGAGGAATGTGTAGGAATGGGTGTTTTGGCCGGTAGGTTGGAGGATCGGCAGCCGGAAAAGAAACCAAAAGAAGTAAAAAAAGAAATGAAAAGATCGAAAGCAATCGGGTGAGGAGAGCAAGTCATCAAGATGGAACAAAAAGGAAATTAAGGAAATTGAGTTTGCAGGTAGGTTGGCAGGTAAGACGTGGTGGTGGTGAATATGCGGGTGCAGTGCTGCGGGTGAAATGAAGCTGCTCAACTCTTTTGTACTTGATGCAGCCACTCGCAAACACTTCCTGTTCTCTCCCCAGCAGCGAGATCTTCGCAATGACCAAAAGTGCGCGCGCAAATAAAAGAAGAAGAAAAAAAAGATGTCCTTCTTCTTTTCTTAGCAACGAGTGAAGAATAAGAAGAAATCAGCAAGAGCGATCTTCATCTGCTACTGCTTCCTAGTGCTGAGATTCCTCGACCCGGAGAAAACCCCACGCCTTTTTCCTATTTTTCTTTTTTGGCGCAGGAGGCTTTCTTTTGTTTCTTAGTGACATTAGCGGCGGCCCTCGCCCACCAACCAATTGGCGCTCTCGTAGCTGCAGCACGCGGCCAGGCACCGTTACAGACACGTTTCGGCGCCAATTGAGTGGCTGTTGGACATTTCAATGCTGTTGTATAAGTGCTGCTGTGGCCCGGCCATTTCACCAGATTGACACCAGCCCGCGTTGCATGCGCTCTGCCGTGATTGCGGGATGCGCCACCTGTCTGGGTCCGCGACTGCTACGACTATTCTGAATGAGATTGAAACGCCGAGGACTCCACGGCGGGATTTTCTCTTCTTCTTCTTCTGCTTTTGAACCCCTGCATATTGCAGGTACTATTGCAGTCTCCGGACGGCTATCGCAAGCGGACTGGCTGGTCGAGAGACTCGAATGTCTGTCACGCGATTCCGAGCCGCCGGCCATGTACAAGGACTGGACCAACATGCCATACGTGCTCTAATCTCATGATTCCAGATTTCATTACTGCGCTTAATTTCTTGCTCAAGATTGATTGATTCATTCATTCATTTCCAGTGTTAAATATCGATGACCTATATGTTGATCACTGAGTGGACTCGCCGATCGGTTCCTATCCGCTGTGACGCGTTGTGATGCGATCGATTGTGCCAGCAACAACAATACTTTCACTCAGGCCGCTCCACCATCTAATCGAAACACGGATTCGGAGCAAGGCCCGGGGCACAGATCGATGCCTCCGTCAATCTTATTCACAGAGCCGGTCTCCGTCTATTCTTAGCGCCATTCCCAATCATTTCCCAAAGTGACGGCGTCTGTTTCAAGTCCTAGTGCCTTACCTCAGATTGCCAGGGGAGCGCCCTGTCAACTCGGCTTCGATTTTTGTAGATCTGGCCAGACGCCTTCCAGAAGGGGATAACAGAGTGCATTCGTTCAGTAGGTGTTCCCACTTATCTTAATCAACCAGTACACGTCCCGTGGAAAGTATCATAAAAGGGTTGAGATGCTGTGAAGATGCCTGCTCCAAGGAGAGAACGTGTATGTATACAGCCTCAGAGATGAGTGACTGCTGTGAAAATATTATGTGTAAGCAAATTGAATTGCTGGGTACTTTTTTCAAGTGAGGATAGAAACACTTAGGGAAGATTTAGAAATACGATGGATATGCTATTGAATATGCTGTGTGACACGTTTGAAAGAGCCTTGGGGGAGATTAAAAATGCTGTGGCGGAAGTCACTTTGCCTTGTAGGATTGCGCCACTTACCTACCTATGTATAAGAAGAGCCTTGGGGGAGATTAAAAATGCTGTGAAGGAACGCTTCAATGCCTCGGCCATGCCCACTAAGCTAATTCACCAAGTAGTTACATAAAAGACGTTTGCATCTTCCAGCGACCAAAATTTCTGAAAGATTCACAGTTGTAAAATAATGCACATCTGTGGCGGCTAACATTTGAACAGCAAGACAACACCAAATAATTAACTTATAAGACACCATTATTCTAAGTTAGGTACGTAAATTACTAGGTAGCTATTAAGTACATGAGAAATCCAACTTAGTCCCATCCGTGTTTATCCAAGTTATAATATCTCTTTATGCATTGGTTTTTTTTTCCCCCTTAAGAAATAAAACCCCCAAATAAAAGTATACGCGGCTTCCAAACCAAGAGTCAATATCGTCCAAACTCGCAGGCAAATTGACTGCTTAATGCCTGGTTACTTATGTCCAGTTCACCAACGCTGTATCTCCCTCTTCGATATTGGCTGCGCCATGTCCGTATTGCCACAGCTCTTTTCTCTTCGTTTCATCTTTTGCATCTTCAGCAGTCTGATTGCTCCGGTTCCATCCCAATGTAAAGCCTCCCCTTTATATGCCTCGATCTCAAAACAGGCTCTGATGACATCCGCGGCGCTCTTCCATGAAGGTCAAAGCATGCCGTTGGGACTGAACCGCACGCTGATTTCCGATAGCACGGGCATTATAACCCTCGTGGCAACAATACCAATAAGAAAGCCTGCTCTACGGCCGAAACTGGTGGGAATGGTGCCTGAACTCAAGCTCACGACGGAGATGTTGTTTAGTTTCGGGTCTTTGGCTATACGATTTGCTAATTCTTCGCTGTAAGGCACATATGTTGAGCATTGAGTTCGACGAGATGGCTTAAGAGAAAAGACGCGTAGGAAAAGCAGAGGCAAACATCATACCACAGCATCACAGCACACAGCTTGCTGGCCCCATATCGACGGAAACCCTGAATTGATGCCAGGATCGTCTTCAGGACGACTCCATTGACCTTTGGCGAGAAGTTCCGCGCCAGGAAACAGCGTTGGGTATCTAGTATCTTTATACGCGCCTATCACTATATCGTTGCGGGCATCTTCGATACTGCAGGCGCACAAAAAAATCTGTGTCAGATTTCTATGCACCATTTCGGCTCTTGAACTCTGTCGACTTACTCGTGAGACCAGCTACTGACGAAGAGGATGCGTCCGTCCTGCGCATCCATGCTTTGCAAGAGGAGCAGCGACAGGAGCATGTTGGACAGATAGTTGATATGCCATGTCATTTCGAACCCATCCTCACTCATAACCTGGCTCGTACATTCCGTGTTATTGATCGTACCAAAACTTGATTACCGACGTGATTCAATCAGCACCGCTTACCAGATTAGTATAATCTGAATATCCAGCATTCAAGATGAGGGCCCGAATCCTAGGCAACTCGCCTTTAGCAACTCTTGCATTGATGTCTGCAGCCGTCTTCCTCACGCTTGCCAGCGAGCCCAAGTCGACGTCTACCGTCTCATCCTTGTGATCTGACGGGGCACGACGAAGGACCCCCTTGAGCGCCGTCGCAGTGGCTGCTTTTCGCACCGCGTAGATGCCAACGTAGTTTGAGGCCAGATCGGGCGTGCTGAGGATGTTTTGCACAATGGCAGACCCAAGTCCGCCGTTGGCCCCCGTAACCAAAATGGTTCCTTTTGACATGGTGATATTTTTCCTTTCCTCTCTATTCCCGCTCCGTCGAATCAAGAGAAACCATCAAGCCGCAGCCAATATTTTGTCCTTTTCCATGTATAAACTAGTTAAAAGGGACCTCGCAAAACGCAATGAATCACAATTAACTAATCTGATGAAGAGCCACAGCCAGATAAGGATCAGTCTTTATATGCAAGTGCTTGCCCGGAAAGAACAGAATGCGCCGGCTAAGATCGGTTAATCTGGATTTCTCTGTGTAGCCCCAGATGGGAAGCTGTGTAATAGCTAGAGAATGAGGCCTTGTAGCTAGAAGAATGGGATTCAGTACACGGCGGTACAGAGCTCATGTGTTCAGCCAAACTGTTACTGTGGTTTGTGTGAAATGAGCAAATTGACACGTGAGGTACGGCGCATTCTATAACTTTTCAACTTGATTATCTCAAACGTCTTTTAAGATACCCTGGCATTGTGTAAAGTAGAAACTTCTGCAATCTGTTCCACACACTCTCACGCTCATAAGTAAGTAGGTCGATCCGAATGTGTTTGTCCGCTGGTAGTGTAGCTTAGCACACTTTATCTAGATAGCCTCAAAACAAGTAAGGATATCTAGTTCAATATTGTAAAATTATATCCCTTTCCTTATAAAATGTTGGCGGAAACAAAAATGCTCTTTGGCTTAGTTCATATCGCATCCACATATCCAACTGGCATTTACCCAAGGATACCCCAAGAAACTCCCGCTGCCAACGCCGTGAACAGCAAAACCAGATTAGGCGTGTTTCGAAGCCCAAAACTCCTTCTCCCACTCCTATCATCATTATGGCCGTCGCCAGTCCTCCCATCACCCGCATGGCCGTTATTCGCAGTCGGCGCATACTCGATGGTGATGTAGTCCGTCAAGCCAAAAGGTTGGCAAATTGTTCCCGCTGCACACGGGAAAGCAATGCTCCAGCTGCCACTGGCGCACCGCTGAAATGAAGTTGTCATGCAGTTCCACCGGCCCTCTGGAGAGCACATCTGGCCAATAGGCTGTGTCATTGCTGGAGAAGGGTAAGTGTCGTTTTGAGGCTCGTTGGCGGATGCGAGAGATATTCTCTCTAGTGTAGGTTCGTCGAATGTCAGGATTGGAGGAGCAGTTGCGGGAGATAGAAGTTCCCAGGGAGGCATCGGATATCCATTATCCTTCATCGTGGGAAAACTGTCAATATTGCTTAATGAGCAACCAGAGTTGTTGTTCGATGTCTCGCAGAAGTGTTCCCAACAGCAATGAGTAGCGTCTCTGACCAAACTCTTCTCCTTGTAAAATATTCGAACAAAAAGCTAAAAGCAAACTTTCTAGTAACTTCGATATATCTAGAAAGTGGTAGTTTGATAAACCTCTTTTGTGCCGAAAAGTCAAAGATGAAAGACGTCGAGCAATTTGGTGCTAGGCGGGGTCCACTCAGACGTGGATGTGTGCTATTGGATCATAAAGCTGAGAGTAAGAAAAAGATATTCTCCAATGCGCACCACGTACCATGAATCACGGCTTAGGAAGGAATAAAAATGATGACGATGCACATATACTGAATGATGAGTCACTGTCCTAAAAAAGCAAGCCACTACGGTCAAATGTGTGCGTGTTGCTTTCAATTTGTAGCATTTGCTAGCTACCTACCCTATTGACATGCCATCATCGCATATAATATCCAGCCGAGAGATACGCGTACAATGATGAACAGAGTCAATATCCTTGCTTAACGAGTGGCTTGCATTTTATTCTCTCTACATATGTAGATGTCTCGTTGACTTCAGCCTCGAGAACCTTAGTTCGTTGCCTCCAAGCTTCTTTCAAGCCCTCCCTAATAATATCCACCGTAGCCAAACTCAGGCTGCAAGTCTTCTTCTTAGACTTCTTCTCATCCTAAAAGAAAGCCCCAAACACTCAGAACTCTCACGCTTCTTCCGTCCAAGTCCCTGTCGCCGCATCCCTCTCGCTGATGTTCCTCCACCGCGCCCTCCTTCTCACAAGCAGTATCCCAGCGGCGACCGCAATCATGATAAGCATGCCTCCGCCGATACAGGCTGCCACCCATATAGTCTCTTTGTGCGCATCGCTGATAGAAGGGTGGAGGTAGACCGCGTTTGTACGGAGAGATGAGTCGAGATTGTGGACGATTGGCGGATCCATGGTGTGGATGGCAAGTATCTGGCTGTTGCGGCCTTTTGAGCTTTGTCTGACGCGTAATGTCGCTAAGTATAAATAATGTACTATAGGGATTAAATCAGATACGGGCCCCGTGATGGCTTGCTGGTCGCATATACCTACTACCTTTTTGCGTATGTTGTTCAATCCTGGGAGAAAAATCCTGTGATACTATTCCCGAAGTCACAGAATGGCACAAATAATCTGCCCAAACGTTAAAAGAAAAGAAGAGCGGGAACAGCAGAGGAAAAGATCGCATTTATAAGTCATTCTGAAGAATCCTCCAAGTTCATTAAACTAAATAGCAGACGGCCAAGCTATTGTTACCTCCCGGCTGCAGATTGTTGCGTCGGATCCTTAATATTGTCCCCGGCGGGTGCTTGCATGCAGCTACTATAGTTACCCACGATATGAGATCTTTGTTGCACCTGAGCAAACACTCATTTAGAATTACAAGTACGAGCGATTAGTGAGGTGCGGCTTTCTGGCCATTCGTATCCGTGGTCACATGTACCATTCAAAGCTTTATGGATAAGAACTGCGACATCGCTACGGCATCATGCACTCGCTCCTTGCACGTCCATATCCATCTCATCTTATATGCATTCTGTATTCATCTTATATCTCATGCACTACATGGAAAGCCGCAACGTATCCAGCCCTTGGTTTGCGTTGCAGCCAGCCGGGAGAGGACCCCTGTCCCATTCGCAGAGGAAAGTTTGCTCGCTGGCGGCAGCAGAAACTCTCCCAGCAAACACTCGAATTCGGATCCTTCTTGACAGCATTATCATTATCCAATCAAACAGATCAGGAAAAGCAAATAAACAGGAAAAAAAAAGCAAAAATATCCAAAGACTTGAATGCGACGCAGATTTCCGCTTCAGATATTCTTGCTGTAACTTCATGTGCCTCTGCATTGGAGGCATGGTGTATGTCCCTTGAAGTTTAAAATATGTACGATTGAAAGAGACGGATGTCATCTTGCCGTTTGGGCGTGACTGAGAGCTTTCACCTTAAGACGGCGGGTGATAGCGATGTACTACAGTCCCGTTCCAGGCAGGGTATGTAGTGTGCCATTGGCCATTGTCATGGGTGCTTGTGGAAGACGAGTAGATGCTTGACCAGGTAGAAGTAGTGGTCGGCAGAGACGTGATAGCTGCCCAAGACGAAGACACTACCGTAGAGCTAGACTGCCAAGCAATGCTTGTGGTTGTATACGATGTGGAGGCGCTTGTGGAGGCGACTAGCGTACTGGATGTACCCGTTGTTTGAGGCGTTGATGAAGTGGTTTGTTGAGAGCTGCTCAGTGTAGACGAAGTTGATGCCGTTGCATTTGAGCTGCTGTGTGCTGATGAAGTGGTTGGGGCCGCCGTCGTGACAACGACCAACCTCGTGGTAGTTGTTGGCTTCGAGGTGGTCGTCACCTTTGAAGTGGTGGTGAGTTTCGAAGTTGGATTAGCCTTCGAGGTTGTAGCTGCAGATGTCGAAGATGTCGAAGCAGTGGCTTTAGACGTGGTGGTCTTCTTCGACTCTGTAGAAACCTGTGAAGCTGTAGCCGACTTTGAGACCCCGCTAACGACAGGCGGCAGAGATGGTGATGTCGTCGTCGTCGTCGTCTTCGTCGACGGCGTACTCGTGGTGGTGCTGTGCTTGGTAGGAGTGACAAAAACCGTCTTGGTCACATCTGCCGTGATGTCGATAATTTCCACCGTCGTCGGGATCTCACGAGTAACAGTCGAAGCTTTGGCGGTCTCGGTAACCGTCTCAATCACTGTAACGGTTTCATCTCCGCTTCCACCACCACCACCACCGCCGCCGCCGCCGCCTCCTCCTCCTCCATTTCCACCGCCTGGCTGTCCTTCACCTGGTTCCAGAGGTACGACGGAATATTTAGGCTTCGCACGAGCTTCTACAGCTGCTGGGACGCGGACGACTAGACCTGGTTGAGGCAGCGCAGCTACAAAAGAGAGGCATGTTGAGAGAGCAAGGATCAACGAGACGCCGCCAAGCATCTTGACGAGAAGCCTCTTCTCTTCTCAGGTCTCCAAGAGGGTTATAACGCAGGCATGCAGGGGAGCCAGAAGCGGTTAAAATGAGGAAGAATGCAGAGCAGGATGATGCGCTGGATCGCTTAGTAGTTTGGCCTGACCCAAAGGACTTTGATAGGAGGAGAAAGGAAAAAGAGTGACATTTTGCCGGGTTTCTTTCAGCCCAGTTGGAAATGCGAATGGCTGGTGGCTGGGCTGGTAAATCCGGAGGTTGGCGACTCGGGATCGGGCCGCCAAATCGACAGCGCCAGGGGGGGAAAGTAAGCCGGCGGGGGCATGGAGCGCTGGCCCTTTGATGTTTTGGGGAGCCCAGAGCACTAAGATGCCCGGGTCTAGCTGTCAGCGGCAGCTGCAAGGGCGTTGAGGCGGAGCAGCCACCAGCCACCAACCACGCTTTCGCCTTCTACTGTACTTTGCTTTACGTGTTCTCTGGTTGTTCTCACTTTATTCTTTGTTCTTTTATTCCCTGTGGAGCGAACCTTGTTTTCTCACGGCAGATAAGTCATCCGATTGGCATCCCGGCCTGCAGGGCTGCATGCAAAAGAAACAAACGCTCCGTAGTCGGTGGACCAGGCAGATCCCCACAGCCAGGGTCCTGCGCATGCTCAACGCCGTAGCAGGTACGACTTGAATTAGAATGTATCAAATCTTGTCTGTGATATACTTTACTTGATAATAGCTGCGATAAAAAGCTTCCTTGAATTGGTGGAACAATAACAGATCCCGGCTGTGGCGTAAGCTGCCACCACGTTGCGCAATACTTGTGGCGCTGTGCCGCCACAGCGCCTCGCGGGTACTTGTTCCAAAGCTGGTATCATTAAACACTTGCGCACAGCTATGGCCTACTACGAGTACATGTATGCTGGAAGACGCTGGTGGCCAAGAATGCCCCTACGTCAATATGACAAGGGAAGATCAGTCAAAGACCGAGTACAGAGTAAGCTGAAGTGATTGGCAGCGGCAGCATTGGTGATGGATCAATGCGCAGAGAGTTTGAGTTACACACCTGGTTCGCCCTCAATACTGCTCGATGTCATCATAGTTGCCCGTGTAAGTGCATTAGCATCAATCCCAAAGTCATGAATCCTTGGCATCGCCTAGATATCGGTCGTATTAGCAAAACTTGTCTGGCTTTTAAGTTTGGAATATTGGATTAATCCAATGCGACTTGTATTATTGTTCCAGTATATGCATGGAATACCGTAAACTGTCATGATTTGGCATTGGCGTCGCTGCGCCATTCGCCCTTGTGGCGCCGGCAACATGGCTCATTAAAGCCATGACGTCCCACGGACTCGGCACAGCCACTGCAGCCCGCCAATCAGCGCCTCTGCCTCTCCAGGGACGCTACTTGTACGTTATGCTCACGCAAGGCAGATCTTGCGCGAACAAGCTCGTGGATCCAGGTCTCGGCTAGTTCAGCGTCAAAATGCTACGACAAGTCTTGTACAGCCTACTTGTTAGTGGCATGGAATACTGCCATCGCTGCTAGCCAAGGCCAGTACAAGTACGTCGTCTTAGTTAGTGGAGGAAGGCAGCTACATAATAAGCCTTTCACCCCATCCGCTTCTTCTCCAGCTTGTTTTTCGCTTCTGCATAGCACGACGTCACCCTACAAATTCACTCTTGCGCATTCTTCACGGAGCTTGTGCGCAGAACCAATCGCGATATTATGTCTTATCAAGGATATGGTCAGCAGCCATACGGCCGTAAGTTGACCCCTTTGTGAGATTTTTCAGCCAAACGAGCATGCGCTTGCTGTTGGCTTGCACTGCTGCAGCCTTACTGCCCCCCGCGCCACCTCGGTCGATAATCTGACGCATCGCAGAGCCGCCTCAAGGCTACGGCCAATACCCCCCTCCTCAGCAGGGCCAATACCCTCCTCAGCAAGGCCACTACCCGCCTCCTCAGGGCCAGTATCCTCCGCAACAGGGCCAGTATCCTCCCCCTCAGCAGGGAGGCTATCATCAGCAGCCTCCGCCAGGCCAATATCCCCCGCAACAGGCGCCATACGGACAGCCGCCGCCGCAGCAGTACGGAGCGCCTCCTCCACATTCACCACAGCCCTACGGAGCTCCCCCAGGCCAGTACGGCGCTCCTCCTCCGCAGCAGGGAGGATATTATGGTGCTCCTCCTCCCGCGCCGTATGGAGCGCCTCCAGCGCAGGCCGCACCGCCTACGCCGCCTTCTTTAGGCTACGGCGCACCGCAGATCATTCAGTGGGATGGCACCCCAGACGCCCAGGCTTTGCGCGCTGCCATGAAGGGCTTCGGAACAGACGAGAAAGTGCTGATTAACATTCTGTCAAGAAAAGACCCGCTCCAGATTGAGGTGCTGCGGACGGCTTACGAGCGCCAATTCAAGCGCAGCCTAGTAGAAGACATCAAGAAGGAGACGAGAAGCTGGTTCGAATATGGCCTCGTTCAGCTTGCGCGCGGTCCATTAATGGCTGATGTCCACAACCTGTACGATGCCATGTCTGGCCCAGGGACCAAGGAGGTCGTCTTGAACGATATCCTCCTCTCGAGATCCAACGCCGATCTGCAAGCCATTAAGAGCGCTTACCAGCGAACTTTCCGACGGAGCTTGGAATCCGATGTCAAGGGTGAACTGAGCTTCAAAACGGAAAGGATGTTCTTGATAGTTTTGGCAGCCAACAGAGCCGAAGACGCAGCCCCAGTCATACCACAGCAGGTTGAGCAAGATGTCATGAGTATCTACAAGGCGACCGAAGGCAAAGTCGGAACGGATGAGATTCTTGTTTGCAGCATTCTTGCCAACAGAAACGATAACCAGATCCGAGCCATCTCCCATACTTACAAACAGAAGTTTAACCGCAGCTTGGAATCTGTCATCGATAGTGTAAGTTGTGTTAGTTGCCCTAACTTGCTGATCACCACAAGCATGGACTAATAGTTTCAACACAGGAATTCTCTGGTCATATGAAGGACGCCCTCTTGTTCCAGCTGCTCCATGCTGTTGACAAGTATATGCACGCCGCGATGCTCCTGGAGGATTCCATGGCAGGACTGGGCACCAAGGACCATCTCCTCATTTCTCGGGTTGTCCGCTTCCACTGGGACAGACAAGAGCTTGCAAACGTCAAGGGAGCCTATCAGCAGCGATATAAGAAGAGCTTGACCAGCCGCATCAGAGGAGAGACGTCTGGCGATTATCGAACACTGATGGTTGCTTGCGTCGGAGAGTAAACGAAATGAGCCTCACAGGCGCACTGATGGAATAATTACACCCTAATGAAGTTCCACCTAGATTCCTAATAACGGGCAGCCGGAGGGCACGGTGGCGTTTGGGTATTTGGTTTTGGATTGTAGCAACAAAAGCATGACTACCTACATGTACTAGATAGTGAGAGGTGGCCAAGCAGTGTATGACTAGCAATGCGAGAAGAAGAATTCGATACCTTGATTTTACCTTTTTTCACATCATGTTTGCTGTACTTTTGCTGCGGATCAGCGATGGCTCAGAGGTGCCCGCTGTGAAAGATAAGCAATTTAGAGGCATTTGTTGTTCAGGCACGCGGTGAATGAAGCTGCCAAACTTGCACTGCTCGGCCAGGCTCTTGGCAGTGAATCAGAGCTCGTTTTCGAAGAGGGCAGATCACGCAGCTGTCCCTTCCTTGTTATCGCCATCTCAATAGTAAATAGTAAAGATCACATCTATTAGTATCTCAGCCCATAGTCCACCAGATGTTCTTTCCATTCTCAACTTCTCTCTGATCTACCAGAAAATTAATATATTCTTTTCCATCTGTTTTTACCCCTTTTCCCACAACAACACTATTACTTCCCGGCGGCATGTGTTGGTAAACTTATTTCATCTTCCAACATCATTCTCTTCCAGGATCCTTACAGCGTTATATTTCACATCCACTTTACCCTACTTTTGCCGCACTCCATCACGATGAAAGTAGAAGAGACCAAAGACACTGCGATGCCTCTCGAGGCCATTTCCCACGCGGATAGCAACATGACACCCACTTCCTCTCCTATCAACCCCAAATGGAGCCCGCAGGATGAGATCTGCGCCAAGTTGTTTGGCCCATGGGATAATCTACCTTGCTACGACCATATCAACGAGGTGCGGCTCCTGCGAGACCTCGATAACGCCATCGTCCTCTTCGAGCAGCAGATCGACCACAGTGATGCCGGCTTCCGTGCTTGGCGGACCCGACACATTCAGGCAATGGAATCTGGTTTGGCTCCAGTTCCAGGATTCCCATGTCTTCAAACCGTTCGTAAGGGAAAGCGGATCTGGCACGACGACGCATGGGAGCAGCGATACTTCTATCTTGTTTATCAGCGACGCGAGATCATCATGGGACGCTTGTCCAGACTGCTGGCACTGCCCCGATACGCGCAAGAGGACTTTTTCGGACAGCGACCTGCGCTTCCTCGAATGATGCTGCAACGCGGTAACGGGCGTTACACCCGGCATCTTTTGCTGCGATGCGACTGGTGGCAGTCTGTGGACAATCTCTTAAAAGCAGCGGCCGAGAGGTGGAAAATGGACGAATCAGAGTTGAAGGCTCGATTCTGGGCAGATGACTCTGCATCCAGCGGCGAGATACAAGCGAAAGAATGGGACGGCGTGATCAAAGAAGAGGACAGCGCTGGATCATGCACTGGGAAGGACGCATTCAGCCCGTTCGACTTTGCGGCAAATTGGGCTTCAGAGGCATGGTGGTATGTCCACGGTCGACGAACAACACTATGAAGTAATGGATTATGTCGGATGCCAAACGTTTTTGGATTCGCAAGGGGCGAGTAGTGAGAGATTATACGCATGATTATCGATACCCGACTTAGTACCTATGCAATATAATGGTTCTCTACGACTAATCTCTACAACTAATGTGCAACCAGTGATGAGTATCAAAGTCTCCATAGAACGTGCCAAAGCAGAAGCACAGACACTTCAAGTAGTTAGTTGAGGAAATGGAGCATTCTCTAAGAACGTTTGAATCATAGCAGTAGTGCCTACTTTAGGTGGCGGGAGAATTCTTTAACTCTATAATGGAAGGTGTCATGGGGCCCAATGATAGATCAGATCCGAGATCCATGTACGATTCTTGGGTGTCTGCCGAGATGTCCGCCGAGCGTATTTGCGAGCGTATCTGCTTGGTACCTGCATTGCCAAAAGATACGCATGAACAAGAAGCTCGCTTTCGCTCTTCTGCGCTATAATTTATTCTTGGCTGCCAGCCTGTTCTGTAAATTGACAGTGTATAGATCCAGCTTGAGACCACATGTAACCTGCTTATCTGATACCTTGTGCAACGTAGTTTTGTAGATTGAAAAGTTTGGTTGTGCAAGGAGATCGGCAGTGTTGAGCAATACGTTGAACCATACCTATTAATAGAATCCTTTCTCTGACCGGAATGCCTGGTTATAGTCATTCTTCTATGGGCTGTATTGTTGCTTCTTGTTTGCTAGATGCGATTAACAGAGCAACATGCCTTGTTACTGAGTGAATAGAGAGTCTTCAGGTGCTGATCGTACCGGTAAAATTACTTTTGTAAATATACAATATACCAGAACCGGTGCTCGGACTTGTTGAATATCGCAAGCAAGACGAGGAAAGGGTTTGAATGTAAGGGACGTTGGTTCAATGGTCACCCGGCAGGGTAGTGACTCCGTATATTCCCTTCCTGTTTCGGTCAAAGATTAAGTCGGAGACTTTTTTTTTCGATTCAAATCGGGTAAAGGTTTTTCATGGTTAGGTTGCAACTGTACATAGATACTACTTTGCATTTACTAATGTAAATCCGTTCGGAAGCAAGCCCATTAGGCAATATATCCGGATACGCCCTATACTACCCGCTTACCGGTATTTTTTTTTTTTTAAGTTAGCATTAGGAGAAACGAAGGATTTAGACTGCAGTTCTATTCATAGAGCTTTAACGGTGTTCCAGCATCGGGGCGTCGGGGCTTTGCTGACTTGCAGATAGCTTTTTCGCTTGTCTTCTTCTTTCGTCTCTTTTCTTCATTAGCTTGTTTTATTCCTCTTTTCCCTCCAAGCTCGCGGGCAGACCAGATATAATCGAATATACTCACGCTTCACGCTTACTAATGGGTACATGTTGGTGGTTGGCAAGAGTTACATGTATGTGAATTGGAAGGAGTTGGCTAACCAGGTGTGTATGAGTTGTTTACTAGCTAGTGAATGCAGCGGAAGCTGTGTGGGATAATGCCGTCTCGATGATTGACTACCTACTCTACTTGAAAAGGTCCTTGATTTTGTAAGTCCGCTTGTATAGCTATAATTGACCCTCAAGTATGAGTTGTGATACAAGACATACATGACTTCAATCTCTATAGAGTTGGAGCACGAGACCCGTCACGAGCTCCAAGTCAAATGATTACCCAGGATTTACACCGCTCGTGGTAATTTAGCTTATAAGAAGTAAACGCTAGTGGTAATGAAAACATCAACTAGTTCTACTAGCTGGGGAGCATGGAATAGGATCGTACGAGTATACGCAAACTAATAGTCTGCGGTAAGGTCTCATATCAGCTTTGGAGTGAGTCGGTGAGCTTCCTGGTCTAGTAGAGTACGAAGTCTTTTTGCAAAATTAAAGTACTGCAATAAATAGGGGCTGTTGTAAGAGGACAGGTTTGCTTTATCCTTCTATTACCTGGAGTCAAGGGCTCGATCTCTTTTCTTGGCCTAGCCGTTGGACTGTAAAATCTTTGGGCACCTAAACAGAGAAATTAGCTAGTTGTCTGCAGCATATGCTACTAGCGCCTGATTGGGGGAAAATACTCTTAACAGCACACCGTATGTGAATACGAAAGCAGTGTCTAGATGGAGTAATTTTTTTCGGCAGTCATCAATAGTAAACTAGCTACTACGTAGTTGTATCCACTGCGTAGCTGTTTGCGTGTATTCCTTTTATTCATAATCGGATACTTTTCGTATGTTAATTCGGAGCGTCGCTAGTTGTTTTGTTCCGTAATCATGAACTTTTGGTAGATACCAGGATGTATTGCGTTGCGGGGCCGAGTGTCACCGATTCCCGGAACCTTGCCGTATTGCGTTCTTGCGAAGACTTGAGTCCTAAAAACTCTGAGAAGAGGGGAAAGACAAGATGTTTGCAATATGCGATTATAGACAAAGCCCACCGCGACAGCCATCTACCCGCATAGTACATAGACGATGGGATTAATTACTATTGGATAAGAGTAACTGAGCATATCACTAGCAACAACAAGGGCAACAGCAGACATGCTCATATACCCATTAACATGTCTTTAGTTACTGCACATGACACCGAGATTATTGTAACAACTCAAATATTGCAGCGTTTTCACCATATGATGGCAAAGATGGTTGTCCGCTTTTAATGAGTTTCCCAGGCGGTCTCAAACCGACTGCCTTGTGACACCTTTCCTAACACAGGGATAAACAAACAAGCCCATTCATGCACTATGCCATGTGCCAAGCGGGCTAAGTGTCTCTAATTAAGCGGAGTATATATTACACTAGAACAGCGCATATGTAGATATTATAACATACTGTATAAACCGGTTGTAATTAAGCAAGCTTATGAAGCAGCACAGGGGATCTTACAGTCGGTATATAAATATTTTCTTTTAATATATATAATTATATTATATAAATGTTTATATAATAATAAGGTGCTTATAAGTTGCTTATTAAATGATTTCAAAATGTTAAATTAATTAAATACTTGTATTAATACTAGTATTATTATAACGTCCGCAGCGTTCCTAATAGTATTACTATTTATTTAGCTAAAAATATATTTAAATATATTTGTAAATTAGTATAATAAGCGCTTACTTATATAGAATATAAGTAGCTCAAAGTATTAAAACTACTAACTAATTTAGGTTATAATTAAAGCATTTCTCCTTTTTAGCTTATATTACTTACCTAGGTAATAGTAATATTATGTTTCAGTACTGTGTGCAAGGACCTACTAAGTTAATTAGACAGCTCTCTTACCAAATTTACAACTAGTGCCTAGGTATGTTTAATTTAATCAGGCTGTTCTAAAATAGCGTTCTAAGTGGAGCTGCTTCATTAAATGCCTAGTCTACTTGGATAACTCATAGTGATGATTATAAAATCATTGCTCAGCTAATTAGACTAGCAGTATATACAATCCACACGGCTATGCCTATTACAGGTTTCATAAAACTCTAGGGAGACAGTGCGCGAATCGCCAACGGTTATTGCTCCTCGGCGGAGCCCATATGCAGCCATCCCTGCTACTGGTTGCAAGTACTGCTCAAGTCTCTCAACTGTAGCCTTGGTTACGTTGGCTCGCAACGGACAAGCTAGCCGTTGGTTTGGGTTGTTGCTTCGCCGTGATTTAACAATGAGAGAAAAAATTAGGTCGGGGCAACTTAGCTAAAGTTTTTGCGCGGCGGTGACTTTGGCAGCTGTTAAGCCAACTCTTCTCTCTTCTCTCTTCTCTTCCTCGCTCTCTCTTCCTCTCTCTCTCTTCCCCCATTCACTTTCCTCTCGCTTCTTCCCTTTCCTTGTTTCACCCCACATCACACTCGATGATTGTGCAACATGGCGGCCAGTCCTCCTCCTATCATTTCTGACTTACCGCAGAGCACGTCTCAAAGCCCGGTTGCGCCTCAAATAAACAAGGCGCGTGGGGACATCGCGTCGACAGCTTCGACCGCCGCAGCTCAGATAGCGAGCCTTTCACCTCCGGCTACGAGCCCTGCGAGCCGGCAGCCATCGATGGCTGGATCAAATGCAATAGGCAGCTCCCCACCAGCTACTACGCCTGGGGCTTCTTCGATTGGAGCTGCCACGAAAGTATCAGTGGAAGATGCACTGGCACAGCGCCTCGTGCGCAGCGTGAGCGCTTCTACCAATGCTAGCAACGGAGTGGTGGATAACACGACGGAGCGAAGCGGTTCGCATTACAGCCAGCCGCAGTATGGCGTGTCACCAAAGCCCTCGATGGCATCGGTAGCCCCGACGGCCGGCCACAATCACGGCGCTGCGATGCCCTACCAGCGAGGACAGGAGCATCAGAACGGGCCTCACGGATTCTCTGCTCCGCCAATAGCGAACCAGGACCAGGAAAAATCCAGCGCGTATGCGGCGCTTTGGGAGCTGGTGCGAAAGACGGATGCGTCTGTGGTTCGACAAGTTGTCCGGGAGAACTGGCAAAAATGTCTGACCGGATCAGATTACCACTCTACCTTTATTGTAAGTTCTTTTGCGGGCACTGTCCTTTCGCCTTGGAGACAAATCAGTCCACGGCTGGGCCTTGCTATTCTAAAATCTCTGGTGAGCAATGTCCTAATAGATGGTACTAGATAAACGCCACCATCACTTGCTCCTCCCCTGCGGTCCTGAGCCGCACTCTCTTTGATACCGGCAACAAAGTCGTCAAAACATCAGGCCGTGAGATCGCCCAGCATTTTGGCACTGAGGATCTTGATCAGGTAGCAGACCTCCTTGGGCCTAAGCTTAGCGCACACTTTCAAGATCGGGTGATGGCTGCCCGTTTGGAGACCATCGGCGCGCAAGACCTCATCAATGCTCTGTCCAGAGCTGAGCGTCTTGGCTACCATGTCAACGACATAGTCCAGAAGCAGCCTGGTCCAGGGGGCGAGACCGTTATTCCTTCCATGTCGGCAATCCCTCCGGTGCCACCACACAACAGCCGTGTCGGTGCACCCCCACCTGCAATGGCACCCTACCAATTCCAAGGACCCCCGCAGCAGCCTCAGCCATATAGAGGCCAGATGAACAGCATGAGTCATCTAGCAGCCCAAGGCTCTACTCAGACGCCAAAACGATCTGCTCCAGCCTTGCCGCCATGGGCAAAACAATGCCGGATGTGCAAGCGCCCTTGCAGCAGCGAGGAGGCTCTCAATTATGTAAGTGCCCACTCCTTGCAAAAATCTTGGGAAAACCAATATTTGCTCACAATACAATTAGCATCTGAAAAAGGCCAAGTGCAATACTTCAACCCCTCATCCAATTCCGGTGGATGGGAATACCTGTGTTCATTGCGGCTGCCGTTTTGAAAGCCCCGGGGGCCTTTCATATCACTCTAAGTGCGACGTCTGCGGAAAACACAGCGAGGAAAAGAGAGCGCAAATGACTGCAATACTGCAATATGCTGCCTGGAGCCAGCCGGCTAGTTTACACGTAGCCACGCCTCCGGTAGCTAATACAGTATACACTCCCGTCTGGAAGCAAAGGGCGACTGGGCCTTCATCGACCCCAAGTCCTTCCGGCAACGACCCATATGCAAAGCTTTCGGCGACGGATCGAGTGAAGTTTGACGCGGAAATGAAAGGGGTCGATGAGTACTACGGTAATCTGATGAAGGAAGCTTCTGCAAAGTTGCCAGCTGGACAACGCGAGGAGGAACTCGCTAAGCTGAAAAACCGATACAATACCAAGCAGAGCAATACTCGAAAGAAATACGGAATCCGGCTTCGCGAGAGGCGTGCCAATACCGATGTCGATCGCTCCTGGAACACCAGCGCCGCAAAGAGGGCCCGCGTTGATGAGGGACCGGCAGGCCCTCCTCAGCCTGTTCCTAATCAATCGCCTTTCCCCAGCGTCAAGGAATCTCCACGAATGAGAGTTCCTCTGTCTACAATGGGAGGGCTGTCGGCATCCTCGGCTACTGCAGAACTCGTTGATCCCACATCATCTTCCACTCCAGTTAACGGCCAGTCTTCAGTACCAGCTACAGCTTCACACGGAATTAACAAAGCCCCGCACAACACACTACGAGGAACATCTGGCGACCCTATGCAAATCGATAACAACGACTCTAGCAATAGTACGGACTCAGAAGATGTGGATATTCCGGCTAGAATTTAACAAAGGGCGTCCAATGAGTGCCCCAAATTGAGCGAAGAACCGTCAAGCTCAATCATCAGACGATTATACGTATCCTCACCAAATTGCGGGTCATTGTTGCGGCCGCGAATATGCATTGTACACTGTTGCCCCAAGGCAATTTCTCAGCGGAAGAAGGAAACAAACCCAAAACAGCGACATTGGATTAGTTATCTGTCTCTGAGACCATTCTTGATGCATTTCACCAGTCTTTTCAGTTTCTTTTCTTTTCTTTTTCTTTTATCTTATTTTTTCAACCTATCTTCTTTACCTTCTCTTCTTCCCACTCCGATTAGACAAGAGATCTGAATTCTACAAGGCATATACAATGGCGCACGGGTGGCTGGTTCTTTTTTTTTTTTTATTTTTCTACATCATCATATTAGCTTGGCTTTGCTTTTTTGTTCTGTCAATTTGCTGAAGCGCATGGCTTTGGGGGAAGCCATTACAACAGCCAAAACAGCGGTTTGGAAGTTATGACAATAGAATATTGATTAGGGATACCCGGTTGGGGACAGGACTCATCTACTTGAAGCAGAGCAATCTTGGGCGATATCTCCCGAGACTGGAACATTCTTGGGCTTCTATCTGATATTTTTATACAACAAATGATACCCGCGCATCGGAATGCAATCCACCGAGTGGAATAAAACTGCCTCACAAATTGCGGATATATTAGGCATTATTGTTATTATGAGTAGTAATCAATAAAATGAGGCTTGCTTCCCGATACAGTATCTGTTTGTCCCTGCTCATGCTGCACCGTGTTAATAATTTGGTGCGATGATGCAATTTCATTGTGTCCTTTTGAGGATAAGCCAACACAGCAGTGACGATATCGCCAAAAAGTTTCCGTAACAGGACATTGATGGACGATTTCCATAACAGGAAGCGGCCCAAATGTAGTCAGTAGTGCTACTAAAGACAGCGGGATGCAGGGAGCAATACGACGCTAGCGAAGCAGATCAGCGTAGCCGTTATGCAGAGACTATGGCGTCAAGACAACTCAGCTTTGGACAAACACTCAGTCTAATGGAGTAGTGCTGGTTTATTCTTTAATCCGATATCATGATATTAGGAAATACTACAATGTGATCCTGCGTTACGGCGGTGAAGAGAGGGAGTGCGAAGAGGCGCCTTTGATAATACCACCCGGCTCCGTGAAGCAGGTTATAAAAGCACAACTGTTCCAGTAGCGTGCTTACGATGGGTGATAACAAAACCTATTTTCTCTCTTTGTTTCTCTTCCTTTGTTCTCTTCTGTTCCCCCCTCAATATCTGGTAAACGCTCAGAGAAGAGAAAGTAATAACGAGCTATAATGGAAAAGAGAGCAAGCAAAGAATTAAAGAGACGAAGAACAATACAATGCTCATGGTCTTTGTTGCTTTTGTAAACAGTAGATAATTACAATTCAGTGCAAGGGTTTTCAAGAGTCGTTGAAAGATGTGATTTCGTGATAAACATTGAGAGCGTGTATCTTGGGTAGGTATGATATGGCCTTGGACCTTTTCTTCCAGTCACCAGGTCACAGCGTTGATAAGGTCGCAGTGCCGGTGGAGTTACATGTACGTACATGTAGGTGCATGCTTTTCGTAGGGGGCTTCAGCTGAATGTAGGGATCCTGTCAGCTTATAAATATTTGCATGGTAGTCTATGTCGTAGCATGTCTTCTCGAAAGAGGCCGCTTTTGGAGGGAGGCGAGCGCCAAATTGAGGCTCTATAGTAGTTCGACATGAAAGTACCGGGCTTGTTATTCTTTTGCAAATTGGTGCATCATAAGTGATACCCACGGTGGGTACGTGCATCTTCGCAAAGCACCGAATGCCTCTTTCAGGCCTTAGAGCACCTAACGCACTGCCAAATGTGGCTTGCGGGAGCTGCCTTTAATTGAAGGTACCTACGAGATACTTTAAGCTGTACAGGGGAAGTGCTAGAATTGTGCCTGCCTTAAGGGGAAGCGTCTGCATCGACAACTGGATTAATCCCGTGATCTCCTACTCTGCAGCTGCGAGGTTCTCCTTCTTTCCTCACTTGCTTTCTTTCTCCTCGCTCTTTTATTTCATTTTCGATCTTTTCTCCCTTCTCCCCTTCTCTCTATTTTGATCTTCTTCATGCATCTTCCTTCATTTGCTTCCGCTTGCATTACACCATCCACTTTTTTTCCGTGTGAGACTTTGTGACTTTATGGTGTACCACGCTTCATTTCAAATCATGCTGTACTGCTTCAAACAAGATTAAAGCACAAGAATATCCAAGAAGGAAGGGACAGAGAGAGAGAAAAAGAGAGAGAAACGGTCGGCCGCTTTCGACTAGCCGACTTCTTGATATCTCCGATCGCAAGCGAAAATGAAATGAGATGGTGACAGCAGAAGAAGATAATTCGAGGGGAAGGAATGGAGCTATGGTAAGGCTGGCCCGGGTCCCATCGAAAGGGCATCCCGACGATGCTAAGCTAATTGATGCGCACGGTAAGATTACGATGTTGCACACGCCGCGATGGTACCTCGAAAAAGTCAATTATATTGATAGCGAACCTTCAGATGGCCCCCGAAACGCGCGCTGCCCAGGCCCAACAGAGAACCAGGGGCAATGCGGCTGACGGGAAACGGCTGAATAAACATTCTTTCCCGCGAGACTTCTAGAACAGATGCGCCTCAAAGATGTCGCGTCAAGCCTGCCAGACAAGCTGCGGCGCTGGCGAAGCTGTTCAAACACAGAGTAGCAGGGGTGATGGATGCCATTGCGCACATGCCAACAGCTGCCTCTGGCTTTTCTTTAGCGGCAACGGGCCTTCGCGTTTGAGGTTGGTGGTCGCCCTGTGAAACGCGTCGGGGTGTGTGCGCTTCTCGTACGTTGCTCTCTGTCCTGCGCCCGCCGCTATTTTTACACCTGGAACAAGCGGTAGATCACGCGCTCCTCACCACGCTCGCCTGTGTCTTGTCGAGAGCCTGCCTTGCCGCGCCCAGCCCGAACCGGCATCAAGCTCGGTCTGTGTGACCAATATGGCGAGAACGCTGGCCAAGTGGTAATTTCATCGGTGTGGGAGGACGTCGCCAACAAACAGCTGCGACGGAGTGGCCAGCCTGATACCACCCCAGATGGAGATTCCCCAAATGGGACAAGGTCAGGCTGCGTCGACTCACACACAGACAAGTACTTGTACACACGCACTCCGCTACAAGTACCACCCCTGGAGGAAGGGGCCATCCTCTTCTCAGCATTGTTGTCGTTACACGATGGCCCTGCTGTTTAGAATAGTCGAGAGCAGCACAGAGCATTGACGGCCATCGCCGAAAGTATGGTGTTCTTTTTTCGGATCTGGGCATATATAGTGTTTCATACAGCCTTCCCGTCATCTGTTCGAGGGTTTCATGAGAGATGTTTCGTCATTCATTTTGGTGAATTGCTCACACTTTGTAATTCCTAAGCACACATACATTAATTCGCTATATTCTCTCACTCATACTCGTTACAACTCACAATTTTTACCTAACACGTTGCCACCCACACAGTGAGCAACCCGGAACAGGCTTACTGTTGCTTATTGATACCCCTTCCAGTTGACTTTGCTCCTTCACCTCTTCTATTTGTTCTCTCTGTTCCTTCTTCCCCGCCTTCTACATCCACCTACAATTAATTTGTTTCCCTACTTTATAATAAGGCCTCTTTTAATCCCCATATCGAAACACAGAGGCGATCCGGCAAAAGATATCATGAGCGGCTCTTCTTTGAGACCGAGTATGCCTAGTCGGCCAGTCTCCAATATAAGCCAAATATCTCTGAACAAAGCATTACCGCCAACGCCTGGGCCAGATGCTTCCGACCTAACCACTTTACTTATTGGCCCTAAGAAGCGCCGATTCAAAGTCAACCACAGGCTACTTTGCGAAGTCTCTCCATTTTTCCAGGAACGCCTTGAAGACCCTTTCCACTCACAAACAGTCTCATTGTGGCTTCCCAGCGAGTCGCCAGCCATGTTTGGCCTATTCATTGAGTGGGTACACTCTCCAGAAACATTCCGTGACTATCTCGACAGCGCAATTCACTCGGCCTTCAAAAAGAGAGAACAGGCGTCACTCGATATTCACTGGGCAATCATTCACCTCCATCTCTTTGCCTCACAACTATCTCTAAGCGACCTACAAGATGCTTCTATGGATGCCATTCAGGATTTGTACCTCAAGTACGACTGGGATGTACCGCCGAAACTGATCGTTTACCTTTACACCGAATGCGAGGCAGAGCCTTCAATCTGCCTTCGCCGCTGGGCAGTCGCCATGGTAGCATTTCGCCTCGCTGTTGGTAGCCAGCCCACGTTCCCAGAACAAGATTCGACAAGTCTGGACCCTAATCAGTTTTACGCACTGTTCCAATCGCTTTCCGAATTCTCAGCTGATTACGCTCAACATATCAAATATATGAAGGAGTCTGGTCATGATATTCAAGTCAAGAATCCACAACTCCGTATGCCGGAAAATGAAGAGAGCAATGATGGACAATTCTATGGGTTCCGGCAATGTTCGTTTCATTCACATAGCTCCGAGGTTGGCGAGGGCCCATGCCCTCTCGCGGCTGGAAGGTCACCCAGCAGAGCTATGAGCGCACCAGATCTACCAAAACCGAGATGGGGAAAGCACAAACGTCAAGAGAGCAGCAATCCACCAAGATCTTTATTTCCAAGGAATAGCAACAGGGAAGACGAAGAGAGAACGGGAGGCTTCTCACAATCGCTTAGCTCGATCGCGTCTAAGTTTTCATGATATGACCAAAATGGGCGCTCTCTCTCTCGATGCGACACAATAGTGTGTGCACTGGCTTCTACAAGATTTCGCCCTTTTCCCCTCTCAGCTTACGCAACGATGTGTAACGTATCATTTTTATCACTCATGGGCGTCATAGGCGTCAGATTGCGCCTTGATGCCCACTGGCCTCTTTGGTCACAAGTTTTGGGCTGAGCGGGGAGTTTGGATCTGAAACAGCTCGGCACATCACGTTTCAGATGATTGGGTCATATGGCAGTTCGTGGTGCCATTCAACAGGCCATATCGGGTCAAGAGCTCAGCTAGAGGATTTTCATTTGTTTCATGCGCCTTAGCAGATCGAGAAGTTTAAAAAAGATGCTGGTGAGGATCTGAGGTGGCGAGGGAGGATAAAAGGATACCCGGAGCATTAGCTACGATCCTGGGAAATAACATATGGATACCCCTGGCCGCGTCCTTGTGGATGAATACTACTAATAATAGTAAATGAAGGCCCACAAAAGTGACGATTTCTTTTTTTGGATTTAATGTCTTTTTTCATGTTGAACAATGTCCCCATAGACCGTGTTTTTCTAAATTAACTAATGATCAACCAAGAGTGTGTTGTTGTACACTCGCTTAATTTCGTCTTTCCCGTTTCATTACTTGTACTGATAGAGATGTGAAGTGTCTTAATGGGTGATCACTGTCTTACTGAAAGACTGTTGAACAAAATATTTTCTTCATTTTTTTTTTAAAAAAAAATGCTAATAGTATCATTTATCGTAAAGCTTATAGGCTAAAACAGAAAACAAGGCAATGCCCAAGGCTGTAGTTAAATGGTACTGCTCCCTGCAGAAAACCACACAAAAAAAGAAAGAAAGAAAGAAACATGTAGGAAAGAGACTAAAACACCAGCTAGCACTCCCGTTGAGGAGATTTAAAAAAAAATTCTTAGAAACCTGCCATGCACATCATATATCCTCATCAACCATGTTCCGTATGTTTTTGCTGCGGTCCATCAAAAAATCAAGTAAATGAAGCAAACTTTGACATTTCAACACCAAGGGGATGAGTTTGTAAATTGAGGGGGAAAAAAAGAGTAATGGGGTGTTAAGGACCATAAAAAAGACAGATATGGGTTTGGGTGTAAAGACACGCGCGCGCTCCTATAATCGCTTTTTGGAAAGAAAAAAGAAACACCTTAACAAGTCTGGTGGTAGATGACGTGAAAAACCAACGCTTATTGTTGATGAAAGAATGAATGAAGGGGGGGGGTTTTTTTTATCTGTTTTGCCTTTTTTCGTGGAGGGACATAGTATGAACCGCCCTCTCGTACTGTTTCAGCATCGGGTTTCAGTATCCCGTCATTGCGGTCATAACGTTATTCATGACCGTGGAGAGTGAGAGAGACAAAAAAAGAAGCTGAGAGAAAAGAGTTTTTCCGAAATGCTTCTAGTTTTTGTTCTTCCTCCATCAATACATGTGGACAAAAAATTGAGAAAATGTTCTTCTTCGTCAAGGAGTGAGAGTTCGTCAAACTGAAGCGAGTGGATAAATTTTCCGTTTCGAGCAGATAGAATAGTATCATAACAAATCGGGTACTCTGATATATGGCGTTGGATATATCGGGTATCTTAAAAAAAGCAAAAGAAAAAAAATGACGCGGAAGTACTCCAAGAGAAAGACAGATATTCATGACTGTATACAGAAATCAAGAAAAGCAAGTCCGTTGCTGTCGTCTAAAAGAGGCATGCTGTGCAGAGTTGTAAATATAAGCAGAATGCAAACGTCGTATGCAGAGTGCGTAAATAGGCTGTTGAAAGGAAACCGTCGATATGGGGGGAAAAGGCATTGGAAAAACGCGATAAAGGGATGTCCTTTGTTCGATAATATTGATGACAATGCGGAGAGTTCAAAACCATGCGCGCCAGGAGAGAAAAAGAAATTGGGCCGAGGTTGCAAGAAAAGCAAGCGGAGAAGACTTTTAAAAAGGTGGTGACTGAGATCGCCGGCGAGTCTGGTCGCGGCGGCGGAAGTCTTTGATCCGTTCATCAATATACGCAAGACGACTCCGCAGAGACGACCTGGTTGGTGTCGTCTCGGATTCTGCGGGCTGGGGCTGCTGCTGCTGCTGCTGCTGTACAACAGGCTGGACAGTGGCAAACGGCCTACGAATGATGCTAAAGTCGATGGCGGAAATACTGTTGGACCGCCGGCCCGGGAAGGAGAAGCTCGTCTTCGCGGCGGAGAACGGAGAGCCGAGTCTGGCGGGCTGATCGGCGAGAGGCGGAGGGGCCAGCAGAGAAGATGAGGCAGCGATGACGCGTTTGCCGGAGCCGGGGCCGAGAGTGGGAGGAGACGAGGAGGAGGGTGGAGATGAGGTCGAGGCCGCGGGATGAGAAGCCTCAAAGAGCTCCTGTATATTGGCCCGGGGGATGAAGAGGGCATCTCGCTGGGTCGCGGTGGTGGAGCTGAATTCGGCGGATGGCGTGGTTTGCGTTGAGACAGCCCCGTTGTTGGATGGATCAACCCAAAAGTCGGAGCCCAAACTAGGACGCTTCCTCCTGGGCTCGACGGCGGCAGAGAGCTGCTTGGACCTGCGCTTTTGGTTGTTGCTGCTACCCCGGCTGTTGCTGCTGTATTCGTTGCTGCTGTTGTTGAAGCTGCTGTTGTTGAAGCTGCTGTTGTTGAAGCTGCTGTTGTTGAAGCTGCTATTGTAGTTGCTGCTACCATTGCTGCCGCCGCCGGTGCTGCTGCTGCTAATAATGGCCGGCGATCCCAAGCTACGCCGGCGAGTCCCCACAGAATTGCTTAGCCTCTGTGGCTCCAAAGTCATGCCGAAGCTGTCTGCAAGCGAGCTGGAAGAGCTGGGGCCGTAGCTCCTAGCCACGAAAGGCGAGCCCAGCCGGGTAATGTCCGCACCGGCAGCTCCCGAGGCCGACGCAGGGACAGCCGCCGCCTCGATCAAGGCCGGCGGCGCGCAGAAGCCGAGGGGCGGCAGCTGCTGATCTCGAGATGCCGTCAGCTGCGCCAGCGGCCCCTGAGGCTGCATCGATTCGCACGTGCTAACTGCAAGAGATAGGGCCATGTCGTTGCCAGAGAAGGCCGATTGGGAGCGGGACGGCGGCGCCAGGCGGCGGCTCCAAGCGCGATTAGCGGTCCTGCCGAACGGCGTCGGGTTACGGGCCCCCATGTAATGATGATTGCGTGCAGTGCTGGTCACACTAGCTTTGCAGAGCTCTCGCAGATGGGCGCGAGTAGCCGCGCAGCTGTGTGGCCACTGCAGGTAAGACGTCGCCGGCGCCATGGCTGCGGTGGGTGTCGCGCTTCCGCTGTGATCGGCGACGGCCTTCTTCTTCATCTGCTGCGACTTGGGGCCTTTCCAGCTGCGCTTGGCCTCTCTGGCGACGCGCATACACACGCCATCAGGAGGGATTCCGCTCTTGCTGATGTGAAACGGGGTGACGTGGGGATCTTGCAGGTAGGTCATGTATACGGACCACAGGTGCTGGGTCATTGATCTGGTCCAGGGTGCCTTGCGCGAGCGCCGCTTTGAGGCTGCTGCGGGAGCGGCGCGGATGGGCTTGATGGTCTTGTTCGCGTCTTCAAGTGTCACGTCGCCATCGAATTGGCCAATGTCGTCGGGATCAATACTAAACTGGCTGAAGTTGTCCGAATTGAGTGAGTACCGGCTGAAGAGCGAGCTGCTCGTCTGCGTTGACTGCGCCGTCGACGGCCGGCTGTCGCATTCCGGGCTCGACTCAAGGCTGCTGTAGGCCTGGTCGAGCGACCAGTCAGGGAATCGCTTTGGTGACAGCGATGGAACGGCGTGAGGCGCGGGAGTCTTGGGAAGCGAAGAGATCCTTCCGCGAGGCAGGTCGCCTTCGTCGGAAAATTCAAATTGGCGAGGGCTGTATCGAGGGACATTGGTACTGAGCGTATCCAGCATGTCTTCATCAACCAAACGAGGCTCTTCAATGCTTGGAATGGGCACGTCTGCTGTCGCGACGGACGCGAGGAATTGCTGAGTGGGAGCCTTGAGATTAGACGAGGGAGCCCGCCGTCTAAGTCGAAATCGCGGTCGCGGAGGAGAAGGGGGCCGAATGTCAGCGGTTGCGAAGGGCTCTGGGGTTTTGGGTCCGCGAGCAGCTTTGCGAGACCCCCGTGCCCGAGGCGCCATGAGCGATTGCAAGGGAGGCATCGTGGGAGCCGGCCAGGAGGTATGCGAACGGGTGGTGATGATTTCTTTGCCAATCGCGCATGTACAAGACAATAACAGGTCGCTTGAAAAAGGGAGGCGGGCCCAGCGCTAAATGTACGATGTCGCGCGCCCTCCAGACGAGTCAAAAGCGCTGGAGCGTGATTGTGATGTCTTGGAAAGGTGGAATGGCGCCGTTCCAAGTTTCTCTTTTACTTTGTTTGGGTAGTTTTATATTGTGTCTTTCTTTCGTCCTTGTTCTCCTTCTTTCTTCAATTCTCCAGCGCAGCGGGTGTAGTCGAGAAGCGCGATCATGCAGGGTCGGGGTCGGTTGAGCGAAAAGTGAGAAGCCAATGGTCAGTCTGTCCGCGGCATGCGACTTGAATGCGAAATGCGCCCGAGTGAGGCGGCGCGGGATCCAGCGAGAGAAGAAGCTCGTCGTCCAGCAAGTATATCGTAGTTGTGCCGGTCTTCAGTACGAGACACTCTTCAGAAAGGGCGTGTCGTCGCGACTCAGCTGCTGCGCGCGATAGTGGGCGTCGGGTTCCTTTTGACTGCCGTTGGGTTGTGCGGTGAAGCGAAAGCAAGGGGGGCGTCTACGAGACGAAGCGAAGCGAAGCGCCGTGAAAGCTTGCGCGCGATGCTAGGGCGGCGGCAGCGACTCGACGATTCGATACATACGATCGCAATTCCAGTTCCAGGCGACAGAGACTCGGCCTCTCCCCACGGGTGGGATCGCTCGCACAGAACGGCGCAAAGCAGAGCGACTTGGCTGGGATGGAGAAGAATGGGGGAGGGAGAAGCGGGCGACAGGGTGGTGCTGGGTTTGTATGGACGGCAGTGGGCTGCAGAGCGCCGTGCAGCGCATCGGCCAGCGCAGGGCCAGCGCAAAAGCCTACCGGAGCCACTGCCAGAGCCAAAAACAGCCACTGCGAGCGCTCCGTCCAGCGGAGGCGGGCCCTTGGCTGGAGCCAGAGCGGCGGGTGGCGCGGACCCTCTTTTCCCTCTCTTTCGGCGGTCGTCTGCGGCAGAGGTACTGCTACCTGCCCGGGCTGCTGCGAGCAGGTACCTGCGTGGGTGCGGCGCCGGTCATGCTCGCTAGAACTGCTGCAGCTAATCGGCGCTGGTGACGGCGCAGCAGTAGCGCTGCATGTACCGGGTACCGCCGCGACCTTGATCCCCAACTGAGCTAAAAGGACTCCATCCTACTAGGGATTCTAGTAAAAATCGACTTGAGACGGGACGCACGCCCCCCGAAGACGTTGCCGGCGATTTCTGGGTCCAGCGGGAGCGATGCCACCGTCGATTGCAGATGCCTGTACAGTGCAATACTTGTAGGACTGTGCAGATTGCAGGTCTTCAGGAGCCGGCAGGGTCTTTGCAGGGTCAGGAGGGAGGGGAGAAGAGAGAGAGAGAAAAGGTCCAACCATCCCGATAAAGCTGGATAAGATACCACCTACTAGAGCTGCTGCTAAGATGGAGCAGCTGATCAGGAAGGACCCTGAGATGGATTGATGGCAGCTACGGTGCGCTAGATCCTGCTCTAGAAGTGACGATGCTCGACTAGTATAGTATACTTGCCTTCTACATGCAAGCATGCATCTGCAAATGCATTGAGCTGCTCCTTGTACTGAATTTGATGTCTTCTTGCAAGTCGAGCAGCGAGACCGACTCAGTTGCCGGAGGGAGCACCGCCTACTGGATTGTTCCAGTCCCCAGCGGAGAATAAGGTGCATGCCTGCACTTGCACGCGAAGAAATAGGAGACAATGAGCGTCCAGATCTACAAGGGCATGGCAAGTTGGCTGACCAGAAAATATCGGTCTCTGAGAACGCACCCTTGCCTCATGAAGATAGCACAATGGCCTGTCTTGTCCAAAGGGCGCAGCTGGTGGTATGAGATGAGGTGGTGGTACCGCTACTTTCTGCATGTAGGCACTCAAAGTATTGCTGCCGCTGTCACTGCCGCTACGCGGAGCTATCCTCTCTACTAATACGCGCACTACTCCTGAGGAAGACTTGCCAATGCATCGTCAATCACACTTGAGCACGCTTTTCAACAAGTGCCAACGTACCGCATGCCCATGTGGCCGCTTCTCTGTGGCGTGAGCGGCACCAGGAAGAGGCCTAGCGCAGGAAAAGGAGACAGCAATGGAGCGTGATGTGTTTTCTGCCAGGGGTTGACAGCGACGGCGGCTTTGCTCGTTCCTCCCAAGGCCTCGCAGTCCGCTGTCAACACTGTCACCGCACACACGCCCGCATGGAGCTGATCTTGGTTGGTCACCCATCCAGACAGTGCGGCGAGGGCGGTGGAGCTTCTGCGTGGGAGACTGGACAGTTCAATGGAGCACCAGAAGAGCAAAAAAGCTTAGGGACAAGAGCGGCTGGCTCCTAGCTCCCACCGATGCGAAGCCTCTTTCGTCGTTTTGCTGCAGCCCCTCCCTCTGCTTTTGCCTCGTTGGAGCTGTTCTAGCACAGTCGGGAAGACTCTAATGCCGCAAAAGTCTAGCAATGGCACGGCTCGGAAGGCCGTTCCCGGCGAAGAGGAGATGATGCGCAAAGGAAGCACGGAAGACTCCGGACGGGGGCTAGAACTCCGCCGTGCTGCCGCGATGCTGGATGGATTGTGGATAAAGACGAGGCAGGGCCGTCTACACAGCGAGCGAACACACTGTGGGCTCTATATCTGGCTTACTGGCGACCCATCTAGGCACTGCAAGCACATCATCAAAGTGCTAATGCCACACGTGCCCACCTCTTGCAGAAGCTCCTTGTGTCTCGTCGCCCAGCAGTTTCATTCAACAAGCTTCCAAGCTACGCGGCTGCTGAGACAAGAGCGTCTGTGAGACCAAACACAGCAGTTCAAGTCTTTTACTGTCCATACAGTGAGAGACAGAAAGTGAGAGAGAGACAGACCATGGAAGAGACTGAGGGGGGGGGAGAAGTGACGAATACTTGACATTCCCACCTCGCCAGTTTTGCGATTGATCACTTCTTTCTCAGGACTTCTCATGGGCTATGCTCTCGTAAAGAGTACAAAGTACGAGCGTATAAGAGCTGGAAGGAGGTAGAAAAAACTGACCTCAGCGCGCTAAAATAGAAATTTCGCGAAAACGACGCGTCTTAACGCGTTTGAGGGGAAACGTGCCGCATCATAAAAGCGGGGCTGCTTTCAATTAAGCGAGCAAGCTTCGACCGATAGCCATTAAGAACTAACAGGTCACTGACACGACTGATTGGATGGCTCTAATGCGGCGATTGGAGTCAATTGATGTAATGATTGCTTTTGATGTCAATTTGAAATCATAATGTTCTGCTCGGAGTCGTCACATTAGAGTCACATCTGCCATGCAAGAGCTTTCGGTGGCTATGTACGATACAGGTACAGATATGATGGGTCGAGCGTCTAAGAGATTGGTGAGAGTGACAAAAGAGGAGGCGGGTAGCATGTATGGCTGGCCGCTATGAAGAACATGATTGGACCATTATTGCTGCCAGTAGGAATCACGCACGTTGGAGCCCTCCAAGTCACCAATGAGGCCATGCCAGACGTGTGGCGGGCAGTGCCGGTCCCTGATACGTTGTAAAGCGAAGAGACCCCGGCAGCGGCTTCGGATAGGCTAATTGGTTGCAGATAACCAGCACGACTGTAAGAAGAAGGCCAGCAATGGCATGGGATTGTGAGTTAGGAGCTTGGCAGCAACAGCGCAGAGTATAGAGAACCTACGTGTACGAAGCGTAAAGCGCTCATCAAGAGATGACTCAGCTGCGGTGATGGCATATTACACGTTATCACTGGCTACTGATACGAGTATGACCAGGGAGTTGGATGCACAATGAGAATACCGGGAACCTTTGCTACTACTGATTGATTCTGACGGTAATTGTACAGGTATTATGCAAATGTACATCTTCACACAGAATGGCAGCCAAGGCACCCGTGAATGTGCAGACATTAGAGCATCGTCCATATCTTGGGCATCAACCACGAACTTCTTGCTAGGTACCTACATACCCAATACCGTTGGGCTAAAAAGATATCACCGGCACACTGCATACGGAGAGTGATATGTGTTCCATCCTTCTCAAAAGGGAAAGTGAACAACCATCAACTGGGCTCTCTTATATTTCATTCCACCGATTGCTTCTTTTATCCCTCTTCCTCCTCGTTGAACTATACGCAGTCCTCGCTCGTTCAATCCCACCACCTTGACCTACCCTACGCTGCTCGACTCTACTCTGCTTTTTTGCCGCATCTCTCGCTTCTGCTCACCGGCTTGGTTGCAGCGTGCTGTTGCTGCCGTTGAGGGGCATCAGCACGCATATGTAGGCGAGAACAGCTCACATGCACTCTCCCAAGGGACACCACCTTTGAGCGACGGCTTTCGCGTTCCGGCAGTGTGGGGGGGAAACATGAGCCCAAGATAATTGGTGGGCTCTCAGAGAGAGAGAGAGAGGAGAATAACACAACTTGTGCGCCATCCTCATTTTGCACCTGTGGCTGAAGAAGCGGTTGAATTGCACAGGAGCTTATGACTGGAGATGCATCTCAAGGCGAGTTCAGAGCATGCGTTTGTCTCATGTAACCTCAGTGCAGGCGGCATCTAGGAACCATGAAGCCGGACGAATGACGGCCGTGAGATGCTGCTCGACGATTTCCCCTTATGAAGGGCCATGCATGGTAGACATGTATGAGATTGCATGGTACGTGTCTCAGCCTTCTGATTCCCTGATTCCATTGTCCTCGCAGTCGTATTGCAGCCAGCTGCTGACACCTCCGTCTACTCTATATATAGCATGCCGTCAAAGTCGAACGAGAATCGTGACGCTCCCGGACACGATGCAGTGCAGCTATGCAACTTCGCTTCATAGACTGAAGCACACTAGCCCCCGATGAGACCATGGACCGAGAGATGCATCCAACTCGCACTTGGCGCTGCTCGTCTGCCAAACACCAGCCCGGCTGCTTGCTCTCTCATCCTCGTCCTGCGGCCTCCTGCCGGTGGTGGCTGCCGCCCAATCACTCTCGTCGGATCCAGGTCAGCCGCGTCCGCCTGGTGACAACCTCGCAGACGCCCGATCCACTCTGCTCCGTCATGATGCGGCAGCCAGACAACATCGCAGGCATTTTGGGTGGAGGACGGCGTACGAGATAATGTAGGGCGACGGCATGGACAGGACGACGCGGTTCCACGTATGCCTCTCTGTACAAGGACGGCGGCGGCGTCCATTGGCTGAGGCCGCAAGGGCTGTGGGTTATTCGACAGATGTCAGATCAAGTGCATGGGCTTTGCCAGTGAATACATATATGGTGGGGGGCCTCGTTGGGCATTCATGCCTCTCCCCCGATTTTTGAACAAGAGAACCTTCTTCCAGACCAATTTCCCTTTGTCCCTCCCCTCGCCACAGAGTCGTAAACCCCAAGATTTCCAGATGTCGAGTTAGCGGTTAAGATTTTACGATCTCCCCCTTAGGGCCCGTCCTCGCGTGTTGCTAGCCGCCAAGGTACCCGGTGCCAGGCGCCTTATTTTTCGGAGATTCGGATCCGTCCGCTAATCCACCGCCGAGCTGGAGACCCCACGCGCCCAGCATGGATTGGATTTTTTGCCAACCAACTTCCTCCCAGCCCCAAGCTCCCGTCGCATTCGGCCTCAGACGACCGATCGACCCAGATCGTGCATTGGGAACACTATTCTGATATTTTTGTGACAGGTATTTTGAAGCTAGTCGCTGTTGACTTTTATTTGAGAAGCTTGAGTCGAGTAGCTGACTGGCCAGCAAGGCACACCCAAAGCTTGGAGCAACGACTGCCGCAAAAAACAGTGCTGAGTCCAATAAAGTGAGGCGGACGCCATTACATCATGCCGGCCGCCAACACGGTGACGCTGGACAATCTGGCCCAGAAGCTTCCCCAATGGCGTCCTGACGACCAGAGCCACTTGTACGCCGTCGTTGATATGGGCAGGTTGGTCAAACTCACATCCTACTCGCCATTCGCAGTGACGCTGACTATGGAGTTCTGAGCTGTCAGCAACGGCATTCGCTTTAGCATCACCTCCCTGGCACCACCCCGGGCACGTCTTCTGACCCCCCTGTACTCCGCCAGAGAAGCCATCTCGCTGTTTGATGCTCTGACCCCGTCGGATTCTGGACCTTTGTTCCCTTCTACAGTCATCCAGTCGGTGTCGTCTGCCATATCACGCTTTCACCACCTTGCCGTCTCCCATGATGTTCCTCCTCAGCACATCATGGTGCTTGCCACCGAGGCCATGCGCCGGGCTGTCAACGCCTCTGATATGTTGGAAGCCATTGCAAAGGCCACTGGCGGGCTGACTGTTTCCATTCTCGACCCTCCTGTTGAGACGCTCCTCGGTGCCGTCATGGGCTCAAGGAGCGGTCTCGGAGGTGTTCCTGGTGGCGCTCTGTTCCTTGACCTTGGCGGTGGGAGCGTACAAATGACTTGGGTTGACACAAGCACAGAAAACTACGAAGTTGAGGCAGCACTCGCTGGCGGGAGCTTGCCTTACGGTGCCGCAAAGCTAATGCGTGTGCTACAAGAACACCCCGAGGACGTACAAGTCATGGAGACGGGAAAGCTCAAGGACGGCTTGAGCCAGCTGTACGCCGATTTATGCTCCAAGTTCCCTGCTCTCCAAGCCATCAGGGCTGCCAACGAGAGAGGAGAGGAAGCTCTCGTCGACGTGTACATGTGTGGCGGCGGATTCCGCGGCTACGGCAGCATGTTGATGCACGACGACCCCATTAGTCCCTATCCCATCTCGTCGTCCAACACCTATTCAGTCCGCGGTTCACGCTTCAAAGATACGACCCGAATGCTGACGATGAACCAAACCTCCGAGGGCAAAATTTTTGGCTTGTCCAAGCGACGCCGCCAGCAGTTCCCTGCCATTATCAAGGTCGTCGATGCATTCATCAAAGCCGTCCCGTATATCGGCTGGGTCACATTCTGTGGCGGCTCCAACAGACAAGGAGCTCTGATGATGAAGCTGCCTCGAGAGATCCGCGAGAGCAACCCCCTTGACGTCCTAGCCAGCGTCCAAGATGGCGAAAAGGCAATTTTTGGTGCCATTTTGGACAAGCTATCGGAATCTCTTCCGGCAAATCTCACTCACACCCGCTTCCCAACCATCTTCAGCACCGGTCTGGGTCTGCTCTTTGTGAGAGAAATCTGGAGCCGCCACGGCCACGGCGCAGACTCAAACACCGCCTTTGCCATCCACGACGCCATCTCTCGCGACACCGACTGCCCCGGTTTGACTCACCTTGCGCGCGCACTTCTTGGCCTTGGTGTCGCCGCCAGATGGGGAGGCAACCTTGGGCCACTCGACACTCAACTTCACAGAGGATTGCAGGGTATCCTGGAGGACAGGGGCGCTGATTCGTCTTTTTGGGCACAGTACCTCGGCGCCGTCGCAGGCGTTCTGGCCACCATCTTCCCCGTCATGCCCAAGCAAGCAGACCAACTAGTCAGCGCTATCAGGTAGAGTTTCAACCCCAACCCCAAACACTACATTGACTTTTTTTCTTTCTTTACAAGACAAGCAGAGTTTTAACTATTTACATAGCTTCGAGTCGCGCGTTGAGAAGAGGGAGGGAAAGAAGGACAAGGTTGTGTTGAAAATAATCTTGTCCGGCGAAAATTCCAAGCGCATCAACGAGGAAGATCTCATCGACCTCGTCAACTCCGCTGCAAAAAGTAATGCAAAGGCCACCAAGAAGATCTCGACGCACATAGTCATTCAGTCATGATTCATTCATCTTATCTAAAAATTTTCAAACTAGTTTTCTTTCCAGGTGAGCACACAAAGCGGAAAACATGACAGCGTAAACCAAAATGTGAAAGAAAAAGGACAGCAAACAAAAGACAAGAAAGAAAAAAAAAATCCATCAAAAGAGTGAGCACCGCTTTTTCCTTTTCGCTTCATTTCCCATTCATACGTTCCATCATTTGCATTCTTTTTTTTTTTTTTTTTTTTTTTTTAAATCATTAAGTCGTAACTCATAAAAGGCATGCCTCTAGAAACGGAAGCAAGCTAATTATCATCTTCACAATCATCATCTGCGTGTTTTGATGTTTTGGCCTTTGGCGCACGCTTTCTGGCGTTCATCTTCTTCAGCTCGTGGTTCACTACCAGGACGCATAGAAGCTGATCAATCTCGCTCTTTGAAGACTGCAGTTTCTGATCTGTGACAAGGTATTAGCGCTACGAACGAACAGTGAAACGGCTTCAGTTGCTTGGCAAAAACTTACAGTGCTCTTTGCGAGAGTCGAGAAGGTACTGAGCAGCCTCGTGGATCGCTCTGCTGTGGCATGCTGCTGCGGGGTATTGAGGAGACTTGAGCCAGTCCAGCGACATCTCCAGGCTCTTCTTTGTGCGGAATTGGTAGTGGTAATACACCACCAAGAGCGGGTAAAAGCTTTCCGCGAGGCGCTTATAGACTTGTCCCTTCATGGCAACTTTCGGTCTTGTCAGTACTCATGTCTAGCCTCTTTTTCTGCTCTCTTCATGCAAAGGGAACTCACTGCTCTGAGATGACTCGCTCTTGTTAGTCGCAAGGCGGCCGATATGGGCCTTGAAGCCTTGCAAAAGATCTCGGTACATGAGAATGAGCTGCCACATGCTTGCCCAGATGGCAATCCTCTCCTGAGGCTGTGGGACACCCTGCTGCGCGATGGTGTCGTCCATCTCTTTGAGAATATCATGCTCAAGTGAGTATATGGCCCGTCGGGCAATGTTTCTCAGCTGAGCCTGGACAGACAAGGGTAGTGTGGTGAGCTTGTTGGTTGGGTCCAGGCACCAGAATGATCTAGCTTTCAAAATGCGGAAGAAGCAGTTCATTCTGTGGACTTTCCTAACAAGGTCATGCTGCAGACTTCTGGTTAGCTCAAGAAGAGAGAGAAAGACAGAAAGTGTTCACTCTGGTCGTACCTTGGGAAGTCCCCAACCTTGTTCCGAGTATGCAAGCACAAAGCTCTGAGCTGCGTATTGGAAGTCTGACCTCTGCTCCGTTTGGATCTGGTCTTCGACCCATCTCTGCAGCAGCTCGTGGCTCGGAACACAGTCTCGAGGGAAGTCAGCCTTTGACAGGCTGCCGTTCTCCTCAGAGCCCCCCTGCGACCGGTAAGCCTGAACCGTGGCGCGCAGGGCTGGGAAGCTGGGGTCCGGGGTGAAAAAGACTGAGATCTCTCGGGGCTTTCCAGTGTAAAACCGTGGGCCGGAGCAAAGTTGCTCCTCTTCTTCGGGATTGGTGGACCAAACATCTGGTGGGAAAAAAAAAATACATTGTCAGTATATGTATACGTTTTGGATTATACCGGGGGGTTTGTTCAGCTGTGCACAAATCTGAGTTGTGCCGTGCGCCACATACCGGGGATCTTGCCCATTACGGGCCAAAACGTGGATGGTGTGGCGCGCGTGCAGGCCATGTGAGAATGGTCTGGGAACGCTTTCCTGCACATTGGGCAGACTCCACTATCATGGCACTGGAAAAGGAAAAAAAGGAATCTCAGCATTGTTATTCCAATTGGTCTGGGGAGGGAGGTACAGTGACTTCTTACTCGGGTCTTAGACATGCGGCATGGGAGGCAGGCTCCACTCTTGCGGACGTCTGCCGTCTGGCCGGGGTCTGCCAGCTGCCGTTGCCTCTTCTCTAGGTCGTTGCCGGATCGTCGCCGCTTCAGCTTTGCGGACGGGTCGACTGGCCTTCTATGCCTGTCGTCTAGGACCTGGATGTGATGGGGGTAACCCTGGACCATGCCCTTGGAAGGGTCGGTCTGCGGGTAGGTCCACTCATCGTCTTGGGCCTGGATCTCTCTAAGGGAAGCCTCTTGGTGGTAGTGGCCATCGTCTAGTGGCTCCAGGAAGGGTGGCGATCCCGAGTGGTCTGAAGGCGACGAGCTTCCACCCTGGACCAGCTCCGGGGGAGTCTGGCCGGGGGAGTACTCGGACGTGAGGCCATCATCCGAAGAGTACGAAGGCGGCATGTCGAAGTAGGGCCTGTTGGGATCAAGGGGAAAGTTTTCTATAAAGGAAGGGATATCGGTGATGATCCTGCTAAGGGATTGCTTGCGGTGATGGTGATGGTGATGGGGATGGGGAGACGAGGGATTAGCGTCCCCGGAATAGGCTTGCCAGTCGAAGAACTGGTTGAAGAGATCCTCTAGCTCCGGGGAAGGGGAGAGACGGGAGTTTTCAAGTTCCATCCGGTCCATGTCCCGAGGGAAAGTCATGTTGATATCCGTGTAAGTCACGGGATGCAGTGGGACCTTGGCTAGCTACCAGGACGAATTGAAGCAGCAGGTGGCTTCCTGTCAGATGGACGATAAGGTGAAGATGCCCAATGTCCCAGGTCTTTTTGTGTAAGATTTGTCTGCTTCAGGGAACTCTGCCTGACACAAAGAGAATTATAGATTTGGCATCCAAAGGGGGGACTCTGGGTTCGTCTGCGTCTGTCTTCACTTACACCATCATCGGATGTGCATTCTCGGTAAGAGCTGGGGGTCTGATTGGTCAATCCCGCCTGTGGATCCTGCTCTTCTGGCCAATAGAAGCCTTGACTTTCACCGATTTTGACCACCGACCAGGTTTTGCACCATTAGCGCGATAGTCAGGTGACTCCCCGCGAGACTCTCCAGACGTCTCCGATGGTATGAGTGTGCGAATCCATTGAGAAGGCGATGCCGGATAGCTTCATTTTTGGGCCGGATGTGGACTGTTTTGCGCGGATGTTGACTTGAAAGTCTATTGGGAGCGCAGGAGACCTGGGGAATGGGCGGATTGGCGTGGCGACAGTCGGTTCTCCTCCTCGAGCTTGAATCGCGGGCGGATGGCTTTGATACGAATTTGATGATGTTCCAGAATCAGTTGAGATGCGTTGTCCCGGAAACTTCTCCCAGCCTTTCTCGAAACTGTGATTTTCCGTCTGCGGGAGCCAATTGACAGGTTTCCAGGAGCCTTTTGTTGTTTGGGAGACCCTTGTGAACTCTCTTGCTCGCTCAACGGTGAAAGTTGAGTTCAGAGAGATTGTTTCAGGTCGAAAGAGGAAAAAGGGCCAGGGTTATCGACGGCTACGCTGAATAGAGCTGATATGAACCGATTTCGTGCGGTGATGCGTGACATGTCCAGCATGTCGAGAAGCAATGGATAACAGGCATCAAAACAGCAACAAGAAAAGCAGAAACAAGGGAAGAGCAGCAGAATGAGAGAATATGACTACGAGAAAACATGAAACTTGGGGGCGACGATCTACTTTAAAGGGAGGGTGTTGGGCAGACCAGGTCACAGAGGCCTCTAAACTAAAACTCAAACTAGAGGGAAAAATTAAATTTGGCCAATTGTCAATACGGACTACTAGGTTTATAATAGAGAAGGGCAGATTACTACTCTACTTTATCTAAACTACATACTATTGGTGTACCTACTACTAACGTCTCAATGCCGCTGCGGAAAAAAAAAGACTAAAAGGTAATCAATCATCCATTGGAGGGGGGAAGAAAATAAAAAAAAGAGAGTTAAAACAAATTACGACAAATGGTGGTGCTACTTTCCCTCTAGCTTGGCGCCGCTAATACTTGTTTTGGAAACGGTGCTCGGAGCTAGACAGGAGACTTTTTTTTTTTCTTAGATTTGATTTGTTGTTAACTTTTATTTGTTGCTCTTTTTTTTGTTTAATCTAAATCCGGATATCTCTATTCGTGGGCAGGGTTTTGTCGATCTACGATTTTGGCGGCTATGGGGAGGGGGGGCGTGATGGGATGGAGAAGATGCAACAGTGCATTTTAGACACCTAGCTTTGTGTAGAGGGAGGGGGAGGCGCTTTCTTGGTTTTGATCTATTGTTCGTTTTGCGAAGATGGCGGTTTTGCGGGGTATCCGTTTGTTTTTCTTCTCTGCATCTGCATCTGCTAACATCTGCTATTTGGCACAGTAACAATTCGGTGCAATAGGGGAGGAAAACCGCTTGCTTGGCTGGAAAACGGAGATTGGGGGAGAAGAGACTTGCTTTAGCCGAACTCTGTTTTTTTTTTCTTCTCCAAGTGGTTTGGACAATTTCTCCACTAAAGGCTTGGGCGGCGACGGCATTGCCGGCATAATAACGGAGAGAAAAAAGAAGAGTGAGCTAGGCAGTAGAGCAAAACAAAAGCCGGGCAGAGGAAATGGACACAGAGAGCTGGAAATAAAGCCGATGCACACAAGGGGGAACAAGGTTCAGAAAAAAAAAAAAGAAAGAAAGAGAGAGAGAGTTGCCTTTTGCGATCTCGGTTTGTTCAAGTAAAGTACTGCTGCTGGACTTGAAGAGCCTCTGATGTCTCATTTGTTTGTCTTCACATGCCCGGATTTTGTCACTTTTTTCTGTTTCAAGCAGCACAAATGGAGAATTTTTATTTCCGTCCCTTCTCGCCTATGCACTGCGCTGCGAGCTGCGAGCTGCAAGATAATAGATAAGATCCATTGGATGGTGCAAGGCGGTTCCACCGAATTAGGCAATTTTCGAGATGTGGGGCGGGCTTGTCATCCCAGTTTCCTGGGCCCGGACAAAGCAAGCAAAAAAAAGGGCCATGGCTATACGTGCATGTGTAGCAGAGGAAGGGGTTTCGATGATAGGTACCTTTTATTCCTAGCTTGAGTGATTCTTTACCGGAGGAAAAAGAAGTCAAGTGAAATGGTGCTACTAAAAGAAAGAGCAAAACAAACAAATAGAGATTGCGGGGGACCTGTGGAGTGGAGAACAGAGCTTTAGGTGCGTATACGGTTTCCACGATTCTGCTCCCCTTGAGCTCTTCAGTGTAGCTTATTTGGTGGATAAGCAGGTACAGTATAAGGTTGATGCCAAAACCTGTGCACTGCATGTACCTACATGCTTCACTCATATAGATTTTGAATTGCGTGTTTGCTGATGTGAGCCTATCAGGATTAGTAGCATGGCGATGAGTCCTAGTGAATCGACTACTGCTAGTCCATAGTCTACAGCACTAAAATGCTAGATCGCGCGGATGCCTTGGCTATGGCTCTGCGATGATGAAACAGTAAAGAATGGCCTGAGTTTGAGGCAATTGTTGTGCGGCCCAACAAATCATCGGATTACCTGAAGCGCGCGCGCGTACGGAAATGGCTCTGTTATTGTTTATTTTCTCTTCCCTCTCTGGTTCTTGTGTTCACTACTGTATTTTCCTACTCATGGCATCGCAGTTTTGTCCGCGGACAGCAGTCTCGAAATGCGCTAGGGCAGTTGTCTTGTTCCCACATGGCGAACGCGCGAGAGGCACGAGTAAAAGGTAAAACACTGGTTCCCTGGGCACGACTCAGAGCTGCGGCTCAGGGCGAATATACCATCTACTAGAGAAGTATTTTGGCGGCTCTTGGGCGAATTTGGTGTTGTTGCTATGATCTTCTCTTCATCGTGACTATCCCTCCCCATCTCCAGTTTCATCTCCATCTCACATCATCTGGCATTGTTGAAGAATGGAAACAGTATACTGTAAATAGTAGCATCAAAGCGCTAGCAAGACGGGGCTAACATGGAGTAAGGATGACGCCTGGCTGTCAGCAAATGCAGAGCTTCAACAAAGCACGCAGCTCCACCAATGGGAACCGCCAATGTCCTTAGTAATCAGGGCAAGGTTTGCATGGCTCAGACGCAGTACCCCATGGCGCTTTTAGCAGCGTCTGTGTGGCGCAGACCTTTGACGTCGCCCAGAAGCTAGGTAGTCATGGCGAAATGTAAGAGGAATAAGAGACACACGCCCCTTTTTATCAAATTGAAGAATGAGCATGAATAAAAAAACAAGCGTCTTACCTCGTTGTAAACATTTCACAGCTGCGCCCCGGCAGGACCTTTTATTTGCTTTTCGTCAGCGGGAGATGAATTGCGCAGGCGGAGATTGTAATGCAGCCTTGCCCGATGATTGCACCGTCCCGCATATGATGAGCAGCCCGTACCGTATTAGCACACTGATGCGTTGATACGGTGCCAAATGCGTAACGGGATGCACATGGCAGTGGCGAGAAAGGAGAATAACGTACGCAAATCAAGTGACTGAGCCACGCGACGACGTCAAAGGGCACCACAATACGAATGTGATCGTCACAATATATACGAGTACGATGGTGGTTTTTCTGTTTTGTCAATTACTGCCAAGAGGCGAAGCAGACGCGGACAGCAGACAGCAGCATACATATACGAGCACCGGGCCGCATAGTCGGCTGGTGATGCGGCGCCGTGATCCAATCTGCCGTGCCAAGCTGCTGTGCTGGCGCCGTGCTGTGCTGTGCTGTGCTGTGCTGCGCTGTGTTTTCATACATGCCTACCGACTAAAAGCCAACACGAAGCCCGCCACGTGCGATGCGGAGATGGGACGATTATACGAAGCATTGCTTGTTGCATCTCTAAGCGAGAAGAGCGTCGACGTCGTACTTCGCAGCAATTCTCGGCGTGTCTCTTTCTCGAAGCCCAGCTGCGAGTCGTATTAGTGCTAGGCAGTTCGCAGTACGGCCCATCTACCCATCGACCTGCCGCCTTCGGTTATTCGGGCCAGGGTACGCTTGGATCTCAACTTAATCAGAAGAGAAGCAAAAGAATAGATGGAAGCACAAGAGAGCAGCGAGTAGAATAATCAGCCCAGCAATCGACGGCCAGATTGGCGCGGGCCGTGGGTATTAATCTCCTTTTCCTGCTCCCGTAATTATCTCAGCCCCTTTGATCTGGCCTGGGCCGTGCAGCTGCATGTGAAGAAGGCATATTAGCACCTCGTATGTTCAAGATGCAAATCTGCGCACCATGTACATAGCTGTTGCAGCGTGCCGGGGGCTGACTGCAGCGGCGGAGACGGGGAGATCCTGATTTTAAACGCCCTACAAGTACCTACATGCACCTGCTAGGAAGAGGGAGCTTGAGAGAGGATTCGGGAGCCTCCTGACCGGGTGGGAGGTGTATTTGCCCTCGTACTCGTTACCTGCTTGGTAATGAGATCACGACTTTTCTGCTCTGCCCTCTCCGGCCGCGGTGGGTACCGGTACCTTCAGCTGCCCCGTCGCGGTACCTCGATGAATCGCAAATAGGCGTGGTCCTGCGCCTTGTCGGAAGGAACGTGGCACGGTTCTGGAAGCAGGCACTGGCTAGAACGCCCTGCACGGGGCACCTGAGGTTACATGCTGAGGTAGCAGCAGCGCACGGCACTGGTACCAGTACAAGGCCTGCCGCGAGTGGCCCCTTGCAGTAGCATTGAGACCCTGGGGAGGATGTGGCCTGGAAACAGCACCAATAATGCAAGATTTACGTGTAGACAGCTGCTAAGCAAGCAGGTGGTAATTAGCATCGTCCTGCGCCTGGGCGAGACACAAAGTGAGCCCGTAACCCTACCTAGTAGCTCTGCCTGCATTTTCGTTGTGCACCACGGGGCCCGTCGTCGCAGGTACCTCCGTTCTCGTCGACGCTGTGAACCGGCGTATCTCGCCTTGGCGCTCGAAGGAAGCGCACGCACCTCGCAGCACCAGTATAAGCCACCCAGAGAGGGGGAGCTGAGCTGCTTAGCCCTTCCGCCTAGTGCACGGTTTTTTTTCTCTCCGAATCATCCTCTCGCACAAAACCGCAGAACCGGCGGACCCAAGCAGCTCTGCACGACGTCTGGCCCATTAACACCCCCCTGGCCAGGACCGTGTGTTCCACCTAAGCGGAGCTTTTTGACATCAAAAATAGCGACCGGCTGGCGCTAGCTGTGGGCCGCCGCCGAGATGTGCGTGCCGGGGTTCCTGACAATGGCTGCGTCTGTCTGCAGTTTAGCCATCAGCCGCATGTCCGATGACTGGTCTGGGTCAGCGTGCGCATTTTTGTTTTTCGACGTTGCCGCTATAAGACATATTTTGTCGGCGTCGCAGAAGAGGTGTTGCAGCACGCAGAAATAAATACTGGCAGAGGGTCCTCGCGCGCATCTCTGGCTCTCGTCCTGCCGATACGAAGACCAGGGGACCAACAAACGATGAGACGCGATTTCAGACTGCCGCCAAGACTCCCTGGCCCTGCTTGAGGCAACCCCAAAAAAAAGGAATCCCCTTTGCCGAGAGAAAAAAAAAAACGTCATCGAGTCCCCACCGAGCAGCCTCAAGACCCGTCGCTCACCTCGATCCAGCGACCACAAGGAGTTTTTTGTCCTAGTAATCCTCGACGACTGATTCCTTTTCGCACGCCTCCCGGGCTCTGCTTTCTCTGCGCCCCCGGTTGCCCTCAGCCATTCCGCCGTCCGTACCGAAAAGCTTGCGCCAGCGACATCTCCCCATTAGCCTCGCCTCAGCTCTGTCGTGCCAGTCTATCCTCACAGGGGGCGTGGCCATTGCGAAAAGCCTGCCCTTTCGAATACTGTGCTGTACGGAGGAGTAGGTGCCACCGCAGCTCATCAGTCTGACACAGCTTTGCCCGCTCAACTGCCAGTGTCTGAGCACGTCGACTCGCTGCTCCACCCGACCTCTGATCACTCCATATATACAAGAACCCGCCGGTTCCCGCCTGCTGTACGCTCGTAGCAACTGCTTGCTTGCTTGCTGCGGACGGACAGGTCATATCAGCCCAATATGACTTCGAGTAAGTCCTTTCGAGCCACTCTTCTGCCTTCTTCATTTTCTCGTTCCTCGACCCGATCCCATGCGCAAAATGGCTCCTCCGATTCGAAAGCAACTTCCGACTCCGACAGCTCTCGCCGCAAGACGCCACCCGAACCTCTAGCTCCAGCTGTGAAGCCCGCTGACGGGCCACAGAAGAGCTTGGAGCCTGTGGTCGAGAGGAGAGACGACGCCGAACGCCCTCCATCTAGAAAGAACCAGAAATCGAAGCCATGGAGCACTCGGATCTCATCCTTGATCCCGTCGCTTACACTGCAGACAGACCACCGTCCGATGTCTATCCAGCGGAAGCCTGTTGGTCATTTGGTGCCTCCGAATGAGCCACCACCACCGCCGCCGCCGCCTTCTTCTACATCTTTCGATGCTCCTCTTTTCGAAGATCCTCGTCTCCCTGAACCTCTCAATCCTCCTTATATGGCTGCTCCCCTCGATGCTCCTCCGCCTCCACCATCCGGGCCACCACCTGGACCACCACCGCCTCCTCCTCAGCAGCCATTATACTCGGTAGCCGAATCAACAAGCCCCTCCAGCGTGGCCGGCGATAGTTCGACCGTTTTTGAATCGGCACAATCCGATACATCATCCTTACCATACCCACAACACAGCCCTCCGCAACCTCCACAGTCAAAGGTGTATCCCGCTCCGGATCCAGACACACCGGCTGTGTCATCTCAGATATCGCTGCTGGTTATGCAGCAGTCGGATATCATCAGCCCTGTAGACAGTCCGCTCCCGCCTCCGCATATTAATGATCCAATTCCGCCCTCTCCTTCTGTGTATTCTGCACCAGACACCCCACAGGTCGACAATGATGTGCCAGTACCACCGCTCCCTGCGCTGGGCGGTTTCGACTTTGAGACTCAGCTTCAGGCTAACCCGGTGATTATGAATCCTATCATGAATCCTATCCCACCCTCACCCGAACCGGTGAGGACAACCTTTACCATTGCGGAAGCACTCGAAGAAAATGTTGCTGCAAACCCTGACCTAGCCGACAACAACCAGGCCTCTGTTGGACTTGGCGTGGCATCAGGTGAAAGCGCTGAGAGCAGCATAGCTAGACAGCGAAGCATGTCATATTCCGAGCGAAAGGACTCTCTTCCACCCTTGCAGGTGCTGAAAACTCGATCAACGGCTCCTTTGCCGGAGCCTAGGGGACGAAGTGTCTCTGCACGTGTCAACTCGACGATTATGGAGGGCTCAAGGATGTCCATGTCCACGTCGACCACTAATCTACGACCTATTTCCAGCATTAATCAGAGCCCAACCAGGCGAAAGTTACGCCGAAGTTGGATGCCAGGTCGATCCCGCTCCAGTTCGATAGATGCTAATCATGCCAACAAAATGGCTGCATGGGTCATGTCAGATGGGAGCAAAGCGGAATACAACACGGCTTTCCTTACAAATGGAGAAAAGGTAAATTGCTCATCAACGTCCAAATTTAAACACTGTTGAAAGTAACTAACAAAACGTCTCTAAAGGTTCCTGAACTCTGGAATGAGAATGGCGCAGTGCTTGTCTACTTGTACCCCAAGTCTAGTGGACGCGGGCCATCCTTCAAAGTACCGGAGTTTTGCGTCAGCTCCTCTTTCATCTTCAACGAACTCATTCGAGCAGATCTGGAGTCCTCGGGCACAAGAACCAGGGCCAGCAGCTTTACAGGCCGAACCAGCCTCAGTACCGATGACGCTTCACGGGTATCATCTCCGACATCGTTCCCAGTCGATCCATCTGGGGATTTCCTCCACCTATATCTTCCTCCTGCACCATCAAATGCCTCATCGAGCCAGCTCGCGGTACCTACCGCCGACAATTCGGGGTCGGAGCTTGATCGTCTGGTTGCGATTCGAAATGTGTTTGCTTTCCTTACGGGCCAGCCTCTTGTGGGAACTGCGGCACGACCAACCAACTTCCACGCCTTCCTCCAAATCTCAGATCTCCTACAAGAATTTTGCTTCTCGAGCCCTGATGGATATACTTTTGGTAGCGCGGTTGATCTAAGCTTCGGCTTCTACTCTGAGTCTCTTGGCTTTGGAGATTGCCGCGCAAGCCGAGAACAAACGCTGGAAGCTCTGATTCTGGGCGAGCGCATGCGGTGCCTGGAGCTTTACAACGAGGCATTTGTACATGCTGTGGGAAAATACTCTTCCATTATGGATCTGCGCCTGCCCTTGTTTCAGGAAATATCCCCAATCACACGGCAGCGACTGGAAAAGGCTCATTTTGACCTTGAAAATCGCTATCAGAACGTAAAAGACCAGCTCGAACAGTTCGAATTCCCGTCACTGTTTGCTGGTCTCGCAAATTCGTCTTCTATCCCTGAGCTGAGGCAAGTTCGATTCAAGATTTGGCGAAACTCATTCAACAAGATGAGGCAGTTTGTCTTGAGCTACTACAAATCTGCATTCGGTAGCTGGCCCCCTAAAGCTAGCAGCAAGAAGAATCCTTTCGTGGAGAGCGGCTTGAATCGCATCGTGCTGAAGACCTTGTATTCAGACCACTGTGCCCTCTACGACTTGCTCGTAGATCGAAACAGCCTTACCACAAGAGTTATCGATGAGGTACCCACAGTTTCCAAAGAGGCTGATGAGATGATTACATCGGCTCTCCGCGTTATCGAGTCTGAATTTGACCGTTCTAGACCTCCCGTTCTGCCCCCTGTTCCTTTTGACCTCCCTCTAATCCCGTCAATGACGGCCATTCTCGAAACGTACAACAATCTTTCTCCCAGAGAACAGGCTAGATTTGACAAGAAGGTCAAGGAGCCCGAAATGTTGCTGGTGTTGAATGGCGCTTATAACTATGACACTGCTGGCATTCAACTTCCATTCTTGGATTACTTTAAAGAGTTTGAGGCTCGAGAAGCCAAGGGAAAGACGGCTCAAGATCTCATCGATCAAAGGATTGGTTACTTCCTCTTCCTCTACGTTATTCTTCAGTCACTGCCCATGTTGGTTGTGGATGCTCCCGACCTCAAATTTGCTGAAGGTGTTGAGTATTTCTTGTGCCAACCTCCTATGGGTAACCCGCCGTGGGTTGATGACAAGGGAGTCCGAAGAATGTGGTACGAAGTTGCGGGCGGTGGCTATGTCGAGCTTTCCGCAGATGCCGTCATGTTCAGTGTGGAGGCCATCTATCATCGAAGCCACTGTTGGCTGGCCGCCAAGATTTGGGAGGAAATGGGCAACTCGGCAACTCCGCCCCTTGAGGAGCCAGCTTTAGCACCTCTTGAGCCTCCTCGGCCCATGTTCCAGGATGCCGACCCCGGCTTCAACAACGGCTCAAGTGGTCTCTCCGGTCAAAGCACCCCATCGTCCATCCCGGGATCACCCCAACTGCGGCCTCGACCGCGTAACCAGTCCCCAGCTAGTCGTCGTATCAGTACCGCGGGTTTCAACATTGCGGGGAACCGCTCAAGTATTATGTTGGGCTTGGAGCCTGTTCCCCTCGAGCCGCCGCCAAATCTTTTTGGCGTCCACCAGCGCAGCAGCTCGCTGGGCCCACGACCGCCAAGCAGCCATCTTTCCAACCGGTCTTCGTCCGTCGGAAATCTTGTCGGTTTGAATCCTCGGATGTCAAGACCGAGCTCCCCGGCCAAACCTGCTGCAGCGACGTCCGGAACCACTTTTGATGATATCTTGGGAGAAGCAAATAAGAAAAAGGCAGCTCCCAAGAAGAAGGGTAGATTCTTCTAATCTCTACCACTTTTGATGACTTTTTTTTCTTCCTTTTTCCCTCTGTTCCTATTTTCCCTCTACTTTCTACTTTCCAAGTCTTTTTTTCTTCTATCTCTCCTTAATGACTGAGGCCTCTCGGTGGCAATCTCGTCCATTTTTTATTTGTTAATTTCTTCATCACACACATTGCATATGAAAAAAATCTGTTCATTTGTTGGAGGTTGGGAATCTTTTGGTGCTCTGGAATCGTGTCCTTTGCTTTATTGAAAGAGCATTTTCTTTTTTTCACATATCACACGTTAGAGTCGGATTTTTGTTAATAGGGTGTATAAAACAACCTGTTGGGCATGTTGCCATGAAGATAAAAAGAAACATTCAGGGCACTAGATGATGGGTTAGAAAGGGGGGAGGAAACAAAACGAGCGAGCAAGCGAGCGAGCAATGCAGAGCAAAGTAGAGACAGAGCAAAGCAGAGCGTAGCGAGCGCTATGCAAAACAAGCGACACAAAGCAAAACATGAGTAATGACTAAGTAATTCTAGATATTATTGCATATTGATTTAGTATTTACTGTTTAATACATATTGAATCACATTTTTTGTTGTCTGTACTTTTTGCCTTCTTTTTCCTTGAATCATTAGGACCGGCTGGGCGAATTTTAAAGATGGTGTTTTTTTTTGTTAAAACAGAAATACTCAACTTAGGAGTGTATTTAATACTACTGCTATGTTGTCATGATATCGTTGACTGAAAATTTCCAAATCCCCTTCCGCAACCTGTTCTCTCGTGGAGAACTATGCTTCCCACTGCCATTATTCCAAGAAAAAGGAGAAATATACAAATGAAATGCAAAACGGCTTCTTGTTACCTCCCAAATATGAAAAGATATGATAGGAAAAATGGAATGAAATGAAATGAAAGGAAAGGAAAAGAAAAGACAAGTGTTATATGGCTTCAATTCTCTGCCATCTTCCCCTTTCAGTATGCCACCACTTCTCCTTCTCCTTCTTATCAGCCACCTCGCCTTCCTTCTGGTTCCATCGCCCTGTGCACCCTTCCCTACTGCCACCGAGAGCCTCCCCGCCATCGCCCACCATGTCAGCCACGTCCACGAGCCCGCCTTGTTCATCTACTGCCCCGTCATCCGGCAAGAGGTGATACGAAATCTTGCTGCCCAGCGTGCCGATGAAGCCAACGGTGCCAAGCGTCTGGGCCAGGCCGTCGTCGGCGGCAATGGTGAATCGGAAGCGAGGGGCGTTGTGGGCGGCTTCGAGACGTGATTGGGCGGCGAGGCGGGCTGTTTGGAGGTCTGTCCCTGGGAGAGGCGTGGCGTAGATGGTTAACGGAAGAGACATTGTCGTGGAGGATTTGTGGAGGGGCGAGATTGGCGATGAGGGCGCGCTGAAGGATCCGGAGGCGGGGATGCCGCCCATGGCGTTGAGGCGCTGGAAGCGGTCGTTGGGGAGGATGATGTGGTCCACGGGGCGGCAGAGGGCTTGGAAGCGGCCCTCGGGGTCGTTGGGCGTTCGGAGGGTGGTGAGGGCTGGGAAGCCGCCGGCTTCGATGCTTCGAGCGAGGATGTCGTCTGCTTCGTTGGTGGTGTTGGGGTGGCTGGTGATGTCCCAGTGGAGCTTCACAATGGTGGATGAGGCGAGGTAGGGCATCATCCAGAGCGCGAAGGAGTCGGTTTCCGGCATGACGGGCGGGAACGATTGGGCGAGGTAAAAGTACTTCAGGGCGGGGAGATGGGAGAAGATGCGGGCGAGAGCCGGAAGAGATGTTAAGGGCGTGTTGCGGAGTTCGAGGCGCTGGAGATGTGAGGTATTGCTGCGAGTGGCGAAAGATGTAAGGCCGTTGGAGGTGATGCCCACGATGCGGGAGAGGATCAGTGACTTGAGCGGAGGTAAAGATAATAGGTTGTTGTCGTTGAAGGCGTTTGGTGGGAGGTTGCAGAGGTGGAGATGCTGAAGCGAAGGGAGATGTGTTAGTGTTCTTGATAGGAGTCTATGGGGAGCCAATGTAGCACCGGGCTGACAGAGTATTGACAGGCTGGTTAAAGAGGACCAGTTGCGATGGCTATCGAGGAAGGCGTCTCCTTGGGATGGCTCTAGCATCGATGGGCCGCTTTGTCCACGTTTGGACGGTGAGTCCGTCCGCTGCCCCCCTTGCTGTTGCGCCGGTGTGGACGCGGGATCGATAACCCAAGTCATGTCCTTCAAGCACTTCCTCGTTGACAACGCGTGGAATATTTTTCTGAACGAGTGGTCGTAATTTGGTGTAGGGCCCGAAAGTCTCTCCAGCTTGGGACAAGCCATAATCAACGTGGCTACCTGATCTTCATACTGCTCCAGCCATAGCATGCCCTTTGAGACAGACCAATTCAACGGCGGCTCTGGATGTGGCACCTTTAAAGAGCGTACTAAGGACGCGATATTCGGGTTGGTGCGCAAGGTGCGTCGCAGCATGCTCATGCGATTGCCTTGATTCTGCTTAAACTTCTTCTTGTGCGCGGCTGAATCTGAGCCAACGAGCTGGATATCTTCATATCTGCGCGTTTTTGGTAATTAGATATTAGGAAGTGTTCCTTATACAAGTCAAAAGGACAGAGAGACAGAGAGAAGGAAGGAAGAAAAAGACTTACAATGCTACGCGGGCGTGTTTGTACAATCTACGACTGCAAAGAGCGGCGCTGCAGAGATCGCGCATCATACACGTCGCACAACTCTCACTGTTCCAATTCAGATGTGATCCTTTCAGCGATTGCAGGACCAGATCGAGTACTTCGCCGGGCAGGAGGTTGAAGAGCTCATTGGGGCCTCTGTCGAGCCTATCGGGCCTAAACGCCGTCCGGATTGGTGACGACTGATAGACGCTTTCGCGCACCCAGCTGCTGGTCTGAAGGGTATTCAAATTCATCCTGTTTCCCGTGGAAGCTGCCCTTCTCCTTGGGCCCTCGATACCTTCGTGGGCAAAACTAGTGGGAGAAGTAGGAGAAGTAGGAGACGTGGGCGATCTAGGAGAGGTAGGCGATCTGGGAGATGTAGGAGATGCTGGAGGGGTATAGTTGCTGCCGTTTTTACTCGTCGACGTGCCCGTCAACTTCGGGGGCCGCTTCAATGCCTGGAATGATTCCTGAGATCTTGATGCGTTCTGCATGCCCTGATATACTGGATGCGCTCCTGATTGACTCGCTGCCCTTGTCGTTCGGTTCATGCGTGATACGCGCTCAGCATTCACTGCAGCCGCGTTGCCATCTTCATCGATGGAGTAGAGATCCGCCGCGGTAAAGGCTGGCGGCAGGGGGAAAGACTTAATGGTGGCCGTGGAAGCCATGATGTCGGATTTTTGCTGTAGTTTAGCACATGCAAAGATCTGGCACAATTTGCATCCTGTAGAAAAGTTGCGTACAGAAAAATGGTGATGGACAGAAGGCAGCAAAGCAACAGTGACAAACAGCAAATCGACGTGGAGCAGGGCAGTAATGAAAGAACCCCGTGATATTCAGCCTGAATGCTGGTTTCCTGGGGTCCCTCTGCCTCTCTCTATCTCTTTCACGTCTGCTCGCTTGTCGAACTCCAGAGGCTCTTGACGATCAGTTGGAACGATCCGCGTGTACCCTTCAAGGGTTTTGGAGGAGCAAGCAGGCTAGTGGTAGCGAAGCCTGGGGCAAAAGGGGCGGAGAAGCACATCTTTTTGATTGATTTCTCCCGGGGTGGTGGCCCGCATGACGGATGCCCAGCCCAAGCCCAGCCTGCTCGCCAATGCTATTTTTCTTCTCTTTTCTGTTTTGTCTTCTTTTTTTTTCCCGTCCCTTTGGACTATCATACCATACCATTAACAGGCAAGGCTCCTTTTTTCGCATTTAACTACCCTGACGACCGGGAAAGCCAAGAGCTTCAAGCCCCACGAATCAGTGCCCTCGAGTGCCCATGGCTTTTCCCTAGTCCAGAGACTTTGACGCAGGTACAGAATGCTAGTGCTAGTAATGCACACTAAGCGTCGACTGCCGGGTTAGGTACAAGCGCAGCGATCCAGGGGTAAAAATTGTGGGAATTAATCAAATAAGAAAAAGTGTCCACCCCATCGAAACGCGCCGTGGAACCGAAAGCTGCCTCTCGATGTACTACTTCGTCCCGCTAATTCGTATTTATAATTTGCCCTTCTCACGCGAGACATGGGGTGGGGAGACCGATAATTCGTGTTTGCCTGGATCGGGAAATGTCCAATATATGCTGGCCCTAGTGGGCAAATCCTTGACAGCCAGGGGAGGCGGCGGCTTTTGGATGATTCGACCGGCCCTCACTTCCAAGACAAGAAGAAAGCGGATTCACTTGATGCCAATTCCAGCTGTCGATAAATTGCATGAACCACATGCGTGTATGAGCAGATCATTGTGGTTCCAATTCCTGGCAAAGAGCAGCGGCCGTCCATTGTCTTCATTTTGCTGGGGCAGTGGAGCCCGGCGGCACGAAACGCTTCCAACCCTCCTCGGCGCGTTTGTTGCTAGGCTCGGAGCTGAAAGGGCCTAGAACTCGCGATCTCAGCCTCCACCGTCTTTGGGCTTTTGGGCGTGCTCGTCATCCAAGGCCCGTGCTCTGGAGCAGCTCCGCGAGCTCACTTCGTCGATGTAGATTCAGCCGCAGGGGCGCTTCCGTGCGGCTGTCACGCACAAAGGCGCCATCTCAAGGCTGGCAGGGCGCTTTCTACAAGCCTCTCAGTCGGCGCAAGGCACTATTTGGTGCGCCGTTCCTTTCGCGTGGCTGTATTGGCTTTGAGAGGGGCTGCATGGTTGGTGTGAGCAAAAGCGTGACTACGGTTCAGCTGGGTGGCGGAGTGGCTTTCAGCTTTCCCGAGGGTGCCTATACTACTGGTAATGTCTCACTTGTTCTCTGCCCTTGCTGGCGAATAAAATGATCAATCGTCCAGCTTACTGGGATTTCTTCATCCATTGTGCGGTGGTATCGGAATATGACGCTGTTTTTGGACGAACGTGATACTATGAGATATGATCAACCATTCTCTTCAGATCCATCTCCCAAAGAAGACGGAGAAGCTGAGGGCCCATTATCAGCCAGCTGTAACCTAAGCTGTGCGAGCTCGAGCGACGGACAATTGTAGTGCATCACAACGAATGCGAGTTCAGCCGATGTCCAAATACCATCAATGTTATTAAAACTTTGCACCGTCAGTGTGGAGATGACTGTCCTTATTCACATGATCCTAAATCTAGCACATGCCGGCTTCCATATGGTCGCCAGTAAGGAGCATTGCAATCGTAACTCGGAGCCGATCCGAGCTCATCGTTGCGTTGCTCAATTTCTATTCAAGCAAAGCGAACCCGCCGAATTGGGTGAGATATCGGCTCTTCCTGGGGTGCTGTATAAATTTCAACATCCTTTGTCATTCCTCCACCTCCAGGTCCGTTATCATACGATCTCTTCAACATATTCGACACTATGAGAGGCCTTTGATGCCTTGATGGTGTATTGTTCGGCGCCTGTTTCTCATCTAGGATAATGCCGTCGTCGGGATGCGCCACAACTCCAAACCCTTTGCCAAATACAGCTTGTGTGGTTTGAAGCGCGGCCATCTGCAAAGTATAGTCGTCTTCGCTTGGTTTCATGGGAGCAACTTTGGTATTTTTGATCCAGTTATATATTGGTCGGACATCCAGAATGGATTTGGCTTGGCGATGCTCTTCTTGGGACATATGTTTCTTGCGTTCGAGAATGACTTCGTCCAGACTGTTCTTCAGCACAAGTGTTTCGACAGAGACTGGCCTCTTTTGGCTAATTCGCCGCGCACGACCGATGGCTTGCGCCTCTACCTGCGGATTGAGGACTGGATTGATAAAGTATATTCGAGATGCCTCTCGCATATCTAAACCAAACGCTGCCTGAGATAAATCCATAAGGAGGACTCTACATCTGATGATTAGAACCCTTTGCCTCATATGCTTTTGATGCTAGGATCAACCTACCTAAATTTTTCATTGTGGTTGAACGTATCGACATAATGCGCTCTCCTCTCTGTGCTCAAAGTTTTGGCATAAATCAAATGTTGGATTTGTAGCTGATATTCTGTCAGTATAGCCTCGCAATCTCCAATGTAGTCACACAAACCACGTCAAGCATGCTAGCTAAGTACCATGCTACGTTTTCATTCTCGTAGAAAACAATTATCTTCTCCTCTTCTTGGTATTTCCCCAGGCAGTCAACCAAGTAGGAGAGTTTTGCGGACACAGTCGCGGTGATCTTTGTCTGTTCAAGGTGGCCGGCAGATGGCTCGACAGCGAGAGTCTTCGGCTCAGTTCCGTTTATGCCATGGGAACGTATCTTCTTCGGGCTATCATCGCCTAATTTTGTATTACCAGCAAGTGTACTAGAGGATTTTCCCTTTGATTTGGAACTCTTCTCAGGAGCTGCCGCATCTAGAAGTTTCGAGCGCTCCAGTGCGCCTTCTGAGATCAGATCGCCGTTTAAAAGAGAGTTGAACTTCTCTTCACTCCTCGCTGCTTTATATACTAGACTCTGTAGCGATAGTATCATGCTGGTAGATGTACAGATACTGCCGTCTGCGGTTGTATCATCAAGAGACCAGGAGGCGCCAGCATTGCCGGGAAAGCCTGTGATTGACACTGCCGTTTCGTGAAATAGGTTGGTAAGATTTCTAAGTCTATTATGCATGGCTAGATTGCCGAATTGAATAGCTTGTTGAAGTAGCGACTCATCTTCAGGACTGATGGGGATTTTCCGTTCTGCCAAAAACTTTTCTGCGGTTTCTACTGATTTAGCAATTTCGTCAGCAGTAAAGAAAGAACCTCCAAAAAAGCTTGCCTGCTTTAGATTGTGTACGATCTGTAGCAGGGATTTTTTTTGCCTTTGATGAAAGAAATAATCCATATCCGTTCGCTGCGATTGGACAGAGTTGAACACTATCATCATAGAGAATAAATTTAGTGACAGTTGATCCTGATATGAACCTTCGAGAATAACGACTTTCTCATTGACAGATGGTAAAAGGGTCTTAATCTCCGATGTATGATGGCGAATAATAAGAGAATTGAGCGTAGATTCTAGGCTTTCGAATCGGCCTTGACTCTTGGGGTGATGCTTGGGGAGCATTAAGTATTTCGTCCAATCAGCCACTGTATCGCCATTCTCAATTTCTATGTTCGCCCAAGGACGGGCTTTTAAGTATAGGGCAGTAATGGCCCCGATCCGATCAAGATCCTTTTTTTCCATTTCCGTTGAAGAGTTGCTTTGGTCGGCATGAGAAGTCACGGTAGGAGCATGAGGTATTTCAACTCCGTATAAACCATGCGAAGGGGTTCCTGTAACGACCCAGCGAGAGGAGAAATACATCGAGTCTAGGCCAATCAAGAGATTGCTTTTCTTGTTAATTCGTGAGTTACCAAGTATGTGCCCCTCATCCACTATACATCGCTTGAAATGGATGGATGACAAGATAGAATCACTGATCCCGCCAGACTGCTTCACAGCCATCTCAAACCACGACTTATGAAATAAGATGATGTCGTATGTTAGTAACTCCTCATGCGACGACGGAAGCCTGTCGTTTCTCCCAAGAATTAGAACTTTTAATCCCTCGGTATGCTTAAGTATCTCCTTTTTCCATTGCGCAAGAAGGTTGTTGGGAACAATCACGACTGAGGCCGAACTCAAGTAGACTTTTTTGGGTGGCGGTGTCGTGACGGCTGCATTCCGTCGTCCAGAACGTGGGGGCTTCGCTGCGGGGAGAAAATAATGCCCGGGATTTCTCGAAAGAATCTCGTTACAATGGGTAAACTCATATCCATGCTGCGCTTTCCACGCTTCGAAATAGGATCTCCAGGGAACGGCATGACGCGTGGCGCATGAGGCTGCCATATCAGCAAGAGATGCAATTCTCTGTCTGATTGGTGGTTGACCTTGTTTATAAAAATCAGGCGGATTTGTTGGCAAATGCATCGTCGCAAGTATCAACGCAAGGCACATTATTGTCTTGCCCGAGCCCATTTCCTCTGCCAGTATCCCTCCCGAAACCGCATCGTAATATCGTGGCCCCAAGAGGACTTCGCCAGTAACGTGGTCCATATACCAAGATGAGCCGCGCGTGTCTTTCAGATGCAAGAGCCTCGGATCGAGAATCTGACCGGGCTGCACTTCCTTCTGTAGCATCAAAGCTGCAGATCGTCTTTGGTAGGGATGTAACTCTGTCTTGAGTCCTGGCACTTTGCTCTCCATGAGATTATACATTGCGTCCTGTGTATATGGCTCTTTGACTAAATCCAAGTCTGGGCATGGTGAGGGAATGGCGTTGAAGAGCTCCAG